TACTTCTTTAACTATATAAGGAGCTTTCTATTCTAGAATTATCGATATCTTTACGAGATCTATTCGTACGCCTATTTCTACTTCGATAATAAACCTAAGATATTTAGTAGACTTTACTTTAAACTCGTATTTTAAGATATTAATTTAGAGATTCGCTTTTTATAGTCGTTAAAGGACTTATTATATATAATTCTAGTATTCTTCTTAAGATTCGAAAGAATAGATAAAAATATCGTCTACGTACGCTAAATAGAAGATATTTAGATAGTCGCGAAGAGCCTAGTTAATATACTTCTAGAACGTACTAGATACGTTCGCGAGCCTAAAGGAAGTAACTATCTATTCGAAAAGGTCGTATCTCGTACGAAATATCGTTATTTATTCGTCGCCTTCCGCGATTCGAATCTTATAAAAAGTCGCTATAACGTCGAGTTTCGTATATTACTTTATACGTCTAATATTTCGTAAAGTCTCGTAGATTAATAGTAGAAAATAACGATCTTTCTTCGTAATCTTATTAAGACCGCGATAGTCGATATAAAATCTTAAACTATCTTTCGATTTCTATACGAAGAGTATCGAAGCCGCCGTAAACGACGAACTTACTTTAATAAAGCCTTTATCGAGTAGTTTCGTAAGAATCTTTCGTAGAACGAGTAGCTCGTCTCGAAATATACTATATAGAAGCTCTTAAGAGACTTCGAGCGTCTTTCTATTTTTTATTACTAGTTCGATACTATAGTTAATCTCTTTTCCTTATATAGAAGGAAGTTAATTCGTCTATAATTAATTAAATATATTAAGATATTTATAGAAGTATTTAGGTAGCTTCGTACGAAGGTTAATCGAAACTTTTATCGTTAATATTTTCTTAATATTCGCTAGACTAGTAGCGAATACTTCGACTTCTTTCTACTTTCGTTTTCGTTAGTATTATATTAGTATAGCGAAGGCTAGTATCGAAATCGATATAAAGTTTAGCTTAGTACGTTATCTTTATCGTATATTTAGAATTCGAATATTAAAGTAGTCGATATATAGATATTCCTTTCGTAGACTAATCTAAACGTTATTCTTCTTTATCTAGAAAAGACTAAGAATTATATCGTACGATATATCGTACGATATATCGAAAATTATATAAAGAAAGATATCCTCTTTATAATTATTAAGATTAATTTCTAACTTAATAACGTTCGTAATTTCTAACTTTATATTCGTACTAAAATTAATAATTAAACGAGAAGTAATTAAAATACGCTAAAGACTATTATAAGAGAAGAAACGAATATTAATTAGTCTATAAGATAGATAATCTATATCTATTAATATTAATATAAAAACTTCTTAATTTACTCGTATAGATATTAAGAATAATAAACTATTTATTAACTTCTTAAAGTCGCTCTACTTCTACTTCGTCTTCTTTATATACTTCTAACGACGATTTTTATTAGAAGCTACTCTTTTAACTACTCTATCTCGTCCGACGCTAACTCTATATCTCTAATAGTAATTATCGTCGTTATCGTTATTTACTTTCGTAGTCGCTAGGCCGACCTAAGCTTATATTTCTAGATAAAGTAGCTTAGTCGGTCGTAGTATAGATACTATCCTTTTTCTCGACGTTAATCGAGAGTCGCTTAAGTTACCTAGGCCGCTCGTTAATAAGGTCTTATAGCCGCTACTTAGGTTATCGTCTACGATTTCTAGTCTATTACGTCTTCTATCGAGAAGGATCCTTTTATTTCGTACGTAGATATTATAGCTCGCGTCTTCCTTCTATAGAGAACTTCTAGGTTCGTACTAATACTATAGAGAAGTATATAGTATTTTCGATACGACGCCGGAGTCGGCGCCGCTATAACCGCGTTCTATAGCTCGTACGAGATATAGTTCGCGAGAAATATCTTCTTAACTTAATCTACCTAGTTAAGACCTTCTACGTCGAGGAGCGTATAGTCGAATTTAGCGAGGAAAGTACTAAAAGCTTTCGATCCTTATCGTAGTATTAAGAGTTTCCTCGATACTCTCTCTATAAACTTACTATCGTTATACGTAGCCTTTAGTTAGCTAATAAGGCCCTCGATAGTTATTTATAGCGTTAACTATACGAAGTTAATCTATAATAATAGTTAAGAGAGTACGTCTCCCCTTAATCGACTATAAAGGTACTAAAACTATACGGCTTTACTCTTATCTACTCGGTTAACGGCGAGCTTTACTCGCGCTTATATTAACTACGAGCGGAATACCGTCCTCGTTCTATTAAATTCGAATAGCTCCGAAAGCTTATCCTTCCGTCGTACGACTACGGTTTTCGTAATAACGTCCGCTACGACTATCGATAGTATTATCGTCCTCGATAGAGTAGTAATATCTTAACTATTATTTCGTTACTAGAGCTACTACTCTAGTACTACTATACGTTAATTCTATACGACTATCTATTCGTTCTATATCTAAATTATTTAAAATAATTATACTACCTACTATAGGAAAGCTTTCGTTAGTACTATTAATATATCTATTTTATATAATAAGAACTCTTTCTCTTAACTATATAATAGGAAGCTTAACGTAATATAAGGGTTTTAATAGGAGCTTATTTAACTACTATAGGACCTATTTAATAAGGACGTTAAGCTAAAGTAAAGAGAGAAAGAAGTCCTACCGCTATCTATAGGGAAATATAATCTCCTAAGGTAGGTCGCCTAGTATTCTAAGTAACTATTAGTATTACGTAATATCGTTCGGCTATATAACTATACGGTCGAATCTAGGTATCGCTAGTTTAGTCTTAGCGTCGCTCGCTAAGATATCCATTAATATTACGTAATATCGTTCGGCTGTATAACTATACGGTCGAATCTAGACGTCGCTAGTTCTTACCGAGACATCCTACGGGTTTAACCCGTGACACTACCTTTACTTTATATAGCTTAGACTCTAACTATTCTTTATAATACCGTCTATAAAATACTTCGCGGACTTTAAATTATAGAAGCTTATACTAGGATTTCGTCTTATATACCTACGCGCTAGAGTCTACCTTATTAGTAACGATAAGTACGATTCGTACCTAGGCGGGCGAAGGACTTATTCGTCCTAAAGGTCGGTTATTCGGTCGTAGTTTAGTTTAGTCCTAGGTTCGATAGGTTTACTAATTCGATCGCTATTTACGTCGGCGTTTATAATTAGCTACTAGCCGTTCTCCTCCGCTTTATTAAATACTTCCGCCGCGGTTTTCTTTCTCTTCGGTATCGGGAAATAGTAAGCGGGATAGTAAGCGCCGGAGTATAGTAGAAGATTAAGGAAAGATAAGCGCCGAGAGGAAAGAAAAAGAAGACGACTAGGGAGGAAGGGTTAAAGTACGACGAAATACTAGTAAGGTACGTTTAGGTAGTTAGAAGACCGAATAGAAGGAGTAATTTATATAATAAGTAGAGGGAGGGTAGGAGAAAATATAAGAACTAAGAGAGGGAGAGGAAGAGGAAGGAAAGATAGGAAGAGAAGTATCGTCCTATAGAACTAGGGAATCCTCTTAGGGATCCTACCTTTCGTCTAGGGCCGAAACGGACCCTTATCGATACTATCGGGTAAAGTTACCACGAGGCTAAATATACGTAACGTTAGCGCCTACGAGACTAGAGTCCGAACGGAAGCCTTACCGACACGTAAGGGAGCACGGTAGGAGCGGGCTAGAGCCGTGAGGGAGTAGAAGGGAGTAGAGGGGGAGCGCGAAAGAGAGGAAGGGAGTGGAAGAGAGCGGACGAGGGAGCGAATGGACTAAATAGTCGTTAGCGGGCGAGTAGAGCGGCGGGGGATGAGTCAGCCGAATGGGGGCGACGGACGACTGTTCGGGGATTATATATATATATATATATTGAGAAGAGATGCAGCAATACGAATGTTGTCAGACACCAGACTCTGAACCTGTATAAAAACGGGCACATAGTAGACAGCGCCGAATACAATGATAATCGTGACTTCAGAGCCCCGTCTCCATTCCCAGTGTAGCGGAAAGCTCCGATATTGAGTTCCTATGGATAATGGATTCCTTTTCGCCTGTATGAGGAGGATTTTGTTCCCACTCGCCGGACTTGGCCATCGGACTCATTTGTGTGGGAACACCCACAGACCCACGCACACCAATACTCACACAGACGGTTTTATGTGCTTGTACTATAATTGTTGGCTGTGAAGTGGTCATGAGCCCATACCAAACGGAACTCTACGGAAAGCAGACCAGCAACCCCAGCAGCAGAATCTAGACAGGTCAGTCGCAGTCCCGAGATATTGTCTGAGGCAGCCAGTGTAACATTGCGTAGCGGAGTCGAGCGAATAATGGTGTTTGCCATTCCCAGTTTCCCCTCAATGCAAGGAAAATTGCCCCGCTCGCAAAACAAAAATTTTGTTTGAACGGCCGCAAATGGCCACTGGCATTTGGCGTTTGGCGTTTGGCGAATGTGCCAGAGCCAGAGCCAGAGCCAGAGCCAGAGCCAAAGTGTGTTAGGATCCGTACATAGACTCAGAAAAGACAGAGAAACAGAGACCGCACCCTGCCGTCACACGACGAGGTTTCTGAGCCCTGATTTCTGAGCCCTGATTCCTGAGCGCTCAATCCCCATATTAGAGACCTTGAAGTGGCTGCTGCCCAATTCGGTTCGCTCCTGCTTCCTGACTTCCTGGACGTCCATTGCACCTTCCGCTACCAGCGACTGGGCTCATTCCACCTTCCCGTTCTAATTAAAATTACTCCATCCTGTCTTCCAAGGTCTTCACCTTTTCTTCCCGCCTTCGACTCTTTGATAAACGGCCGCCGACCAGCCGATCACCTTCCGTTCGTTTCACCCACCATCGCCCTCGTTTGTCCCCCTCCAACATGTCTGAAATCACCCATCCCACCATCAAAGGTAAAGACCAAGCAGTCCTCGCCCTCTGGAAATCCTTCCTGCTAACTCCATGGCGCAGATGGCTGGTTCAGAGAAATCTCGGACATGTGGCCTGGCCAGGCAATGATTCTCAAGGTCAACCAAGTCCTCCACCACGAAAAGTCAAAGTACCAAGATGTCCTGGTCTTCGAGAGCAGCGATCACGGCACCGTCCTGGTCCTTGACAACGTCATCCAATGCACCGAACGCGACGAGTTCTCCTATCAAGAGATGATTACACATCTGGCCATGAACTCCCACCCAAACCCCAAGTCCGTCCTGGTCATTGGAGGTGGTGACGGAGGTGTCCTCCGCGAGGTCGTCAAGCATGAGTCCGTCGAGAAGGCCATTCTTTGCGATATTGACGAGGCCGTCATTCGAGTCAGCAAGAAGTACCTCCCGGGCATGTCCATTGGATACCAACACCCCGCAGTCGACGTCCATATCGGAGATGGCTTCAAGTTTCTCGCAGACCGCAAAAACGAATTTGATGTCATCATCACCGACAGCAGCGATCCAGAGGGTCCTGCTGAGTCTTTGTTCCAGAAACCTTACTTTGAGCTTCTCTACGGAGCTTTGAAAGAGGGTGGTGTTATTACTACCCAAGGTTGTGCGCTCTCATCTTCCCTCCCAGCACTGTCCCGGAGCATCTTCTTGCCCCATCCCTTGCGCACACCCCAATCTTGATTCATGATGTGCTGACCCTGTTACTTGTTGCAGCCGAGAATCAATGGCTCCACCTCCCACTCATCACCAAGCTCAAGAAGGACTGCAAGGAGATCTTCCCCGTGGTCGAATACGCCTACACCACCATCCCCACCTATCCTTCCGGCCAAATTGGCTTCATGGTCTGCTGCAAGGATGCCAGCCGAAATGTCAGGGAGCCACTGCGTAGCTGGAGTCCAGAAGAAGAGGAGAAACTATGCCGATACTACAACAAGGAAATCCACCGAGCGAGTTTCGTGCTGCCAACATTCGCCCGCAAATTCCTGAACTAAGTCAAATGGTGGGTGGAACCATTATTGAACTTTTGTAAACGGCATTGCTCAAGCAGCTTTCTCCACTTCAAGCATGATACCACGTTGATTTTGGCATGGGCCTTTCGATTAATGCCTCTTTTTGGTGATTTGGAGCGGAGGATGTGTCCAATCGGTGTCGCATGTTGGGCTCTTACGAAAGCACCAGATTTCAGATCTTAGATCTTGGGGACGATTATTAGATGCTTGGAGCTATTTTGCGGTTGGCGGTTTGCGCAGCCCCCTTCCCCCAAGCAACAGAATAGATACATGATGACGTATGAACCACACTTGTTTGCTTCCATAAAACACGACACGAAGAACGCCCTTCATAGACTTCGCGGATCGTGAGATTCTTAATGTATTACTGCCTAACAAGATAGGTGGTGAGTTGTTGACTTGCCACGAAGCCTCGGGGTGGGAGATGACATCCGATAGATGGAGTGCGAGAAACAAGGGTTTCGATTCCTTCGGGACATTCTGACTTTTCACACATGATGTCACTGTGACTCTGGCTAAAGAAAAACTGGGGGTTATGCGATCACTGATGCACCGATGATGCATTTTGAAGATCGAGAGGAAGTGGCCGTATATTTCGTCATTGCGCTGCCTGGGACCTTTTTTCCATTTGATTTTGCTTTTGATTTTGCTTTTGCTTTTGATTTTCCATTTCTCTTCGGTATAGCAAGCAGGCTCCCCCAGAAGCAAAGTGACCGTGCTACGACTATTTGCTGGGCACTCAAGCAGCCCCGTACTTGACTTTCCTTGTTACTTGAATCATCCTTCGCTGCGGACCGGACGCAGTTGTGACTATCGACTTTTCTCGCCGGTTGTTGAAGTTCCAATAACAACGCATTCGAAGTCTTACCAAGTCCCTTGGGGATAGAGGCCTCAAACCAACGGAAGGACACAGACACAGACACAGACCTCAATCCGACTTACTCTCCTCGAGCCAACCCAAAGCCCAAACCAAAACCAAACATGTCCTTCGCAGCAAACCCACGTGCCGACCAGCCAGACCCCTCCTCTGCTCCCCGCGAGGCAGCGGGACCCGTAACAGCGGACTCACTGGCGGCCGAGTCCCTGCGCGGATCAGGCGGCTTCGCAGAGAACGAGAACGCGCACGCACTCGGCGTCAAGGGCGGGCAGTCAACGCTCAACACGACGGACACCTCCGGCGCGACGGCTCTGCATGCCGCGCCCAGCGGCGCCGTGCGTGAGCAGCAGGACGCTCGCGCAGCGGGACCGGATGAGAAGGGCCCCACGGGCCTCAAGCTCGATGCCCTTGGGCAGCCGGAGTTTGGCGGAAAACATTCGCTTCAGGGATATGCGGGTGGGCCGAGTGGTGCTGGTGCTGGTGCTGGTGCTGCTGGTGATAGTGCTGGCGTAGGCAGTACCGTCAAGGCCGGGGATTCTGATTTCGGCGCCACGGGTGTTTCCAGCGGAGTCGATCGGGCGGACCCGAATATTAGATCTACGGGTGTGGGCTTCTCGGGCAGCGGCAGTAGTGGCGGTGCTGGCCAGAGTGCTTCCTCCTCGACTAGAGCGGCAGCTCCATCAGGAGCAGGATCAGGAGGAGGAAGAGGACCATCCGCCGGCATGGGCGTGCGACCACACGTGGACGCCGCACCGGTTTACACCGGCGTTGTGACGGGAGCAGCGCTGTCCGAGGGTACGTTCAAGCCCAAGGGAGACAACCTGGAGGATGCAGGCGCTACAAATAGCATGCCACAAACCAGGACCTTCACAGGAGACGTGGGCGGCGTCCACGATCCTGGCCGGCTAGCTGAGCGTGCGTTCGAAGGCCGGAACACCGATCCGAACCCTGAGTTAAGGCACGGAGGCGACAACGCTGGCACTCAGAGGGCTGCGACCGCGGAGGACCGTGGAGGGCAGTATGATGTCCTGGGAAGTGAGAGGGCTTGAAAATGGAGAGGGGAGAGAGGGTTTGTGATTTGAGTCTCCCAAGGGCATTGCTGGTGGTTAACGGTGTCAGCATTGAATCGTGCATGTTGATCATGACGGAGACTGGGCTGTAGGTTAATGTGTGGTGCCATGCAGGGGCAGCCCTCTGCAGACCGCTACCATTAGTATCTTATGTTGTGTTGCTACATCGGGTATAGTCGTGGTGAGCTTGCAATACTCATATATCGCCCAGTCCAGGCCTCAGTGGCACTCATAAAAAGTCGAAGCAAAAGATATGATATTCAGAATTGCGTCATCGGAACAGAATCTAAATCTTCCTACACGGAAGACCCGCGTGTAGTTTTGGTTGACGTAGAAGCGGGAGGGAGATGATGCTTCCAGCACGACACAGAAGTGTCTGATCTCGTGTGTCGTTGAAGTCTAAATTCATCTTGAGTTTTAAGCAGCTGACCGACTTGATTCTTGCTAGAACGATCAGACCAAGCCAAAATGTTTGGTTTCTGAACATGTAGGTCTCCACGCAGAGTGTGGCCGAGTCCGCTCAAGCTAGCCAATCCCGCCTGTTTTCACTTTGCACATATGGCGACGGCAAAACTCGCGTCTGGGACGCGCGATTGAGTCGCACTGTCGTGGAGCAAGACCTCAAGACTCCAAGCTCTAGCTGCTCGCCATTGACGACTGAACAAGCTTGGACGGAGTCGCAAAGCTCATCCGACACTAGCACCAGTTTCGACACTCAAAAAGCCGTCAAGCCCAGTCAACACATCGCGAGCAACACCACCAGCAAAAACAGCTTGGACCACAGCCTTGAGGGTGCTCCTCTTGATGCCTCCCAACCGAGGCTTCCAGACACCGGGAACATCAACTCCTTCTGGAGGTTCACCGGATTGGGGCACGCCCTTCATGGTATCTCTCGCAGGAGTGTCGATCATGCGAATCGCCAGTAGCTTCAGGATGTCGGTCTCCTCGCCGCTATCGCTCCCGACACTGACCGCAACGACACTGTCTGCAACTGCCAGCTCTTCCCTGCTGGGATCAAAGAGGACACTTTCACCCACAGCTACAACCAGCAGAGTCACCGGGGGTCGCGCGGCGGATGCGACATCTCGTTGATACAGGTATGTGCTGGCCATCCAGTCGTCGTCTGCAATGGGGTCTTCTTCTCCCTCGCTTTTCAACTTTGGGATCCTGGTGTCTCGCAAAGCAAGATGGGTTGCCATGCTCAAAAGAGGCAGGGGATAGCTGGCCAGTCCGTTGGGGGAAATCAAGAGCACATCGATGTAGATACGCCAGTGCCAACGTGTATTGATGATGAGCTTGTCTAGCAATGTAGGCGAGGGCTGATCCGTCCGATCTGGGGAAGTAGAGGCCACAACCAGGGGCTCCCGGAGCATCTCTTCCAAGTATATCAAATTGGTGTCATCGTCTCGTAGACCGGGGAGCGTCAGCGTGAGTGTCACCCATTCGGAAGGGCCCTTGGCCCGTCTGTGAGCTGGTATTGATGTTGACTCTTCCGCGTCCACGTCCATGGCGTCTCCATCCGGTTCGGGCCCTCGACTAGTCCCCGCTGTCTTTTCAACTTCCAACTTCACACCAACTATGGCCTCCCTGCCATCACTGAAGCCGACATGCGCGCTGCCATTGACGGATGGTAGGATGCCAGTTTCAGCACGGAGAGGTCGAAAGTCTGTGGACAATTGACGGGCATCTGGTCGCAATGGAGGAATGGAAGAGAGAGAAGTGTGCAGATATGCGAGCTCGGCAGGTGAGAATGGAAGGGCGGTCGTGAACGAGGGCATCGTCTTTAGATTGAGGCCTCGGAGTCGGTGTCGACACGCATTGGTGAGAATCTGTTTGACTCCCACAAAGAACAGAGGTCGAGTAAGCCTATGGACGATGTTGAGAAGGAGGAAGGGCTTCGAGTGAATGGGAGTCCTTGCTCAGTCCGATCTTGAGCGCGCAATTTGTTATTGGCGCTGCTGCGATCCTTCGTGCTTCAGTTCTGACGGCTGATTCTCCAAAATAAAAAATATAAAAATGGTAGAGCGGAGGACATCACAAGTTGACGAACTGCGGGGTCCAACGTTAAATTCGTGTCTGGGGAATTCCCTCCGAATTCATGTCCATGACCCCTGGTTAGAAGTTGCACATTTCAGACAGCTAATTATTGGTACTTAAAGGTCTAGAAAGAGAATACAAGCATTGACTCGTGTTCATATCATACATACAAGAGCAACCGTCCAATACAGCCCTGCTGGAATTCACCCCCGGCTGTTCGAGCCCTGAGTTTATCTGGCATCGATTCCAATGCTTTCCAATCCACCATTGACACCAACAAGTCTTGTGCGGCCGGCCCGCGCGCCGTAAACCATTTCCATGAGTTTGCTTTTCTGTTTCTCTCGGACGTCTTTCAGGTAGAAGTATGTGCCCTCCAGGCCCTTGATCTGCTGGTCGATGGCGCTACCGTTGTCGATCGTCACCGAGTCATTCCTCCTCACCAGGGGGCTGACCAGCTTCCGCCGCAGTGATTCCAGATTCACCTTGAGTGTCTGCAAGCGTCCGTGATGCTCCATCAGTAAGTGCTTGTTGTTGACTGTTCTCGCACGCAAGCTGGATAAGAGTTGTTTGTTCTTTTCATACTTGCGCAATGTGGCTGCATTCGCCCCCATAACTTTAGTCCACAGCGAAGATAACAGATCATTTTCAAGTTTTTCCTGAGTATCGGTCTCTCGGACAACTGTTCTCTGTAGAGTCAAAAACTGCCGATCGATGGCTTCGAAGAGCGAGAACAACGCCGCCGAGTGGGTCAGCTCGTTGCTGATGGACTCTTCGAGGACATTCAAGAATTCATGGAAGGTCCTGGTTAGTGTTGCTCTGGTTCTCTGAGGCGAACTTGACCCAAACAGCCCAGTCAGCTGTTTGCCCAATGCGGTCGGCCCCGTGGGTGTTTCGAGCAAGCCTCCCCGATTCAATAGCCCGTGCATCCGATCAAACACCACTCCTGTGATCGAGGTCCCTTGAGTCGATGTCACGCCTTCCAGCTCTCTCTTAGCCCAGTCCATGACAATCAGAATACTGTCCACGTCCGAATCGACATCGGCAAAGAACCTGGTCAACTCAAGGCCAAGCTTTTGTAAGTTGTCGGAAAGCTCATCTAGGGAAGCCACAATCAACGGGCCAGAGGTCATGTTGGCGCTTCTGACAGATTCCCCCAGATCCCAAACCGCCACACTCGTCTCCTGCAGAGCTGTAATCTGGGTATAGCCATTTTCTGAGTAGAATATCAAGGGTTCGAAGGACTTGGCTAGAGTAGACAGCTTGACTAGGTCTGGTATGGGAGGAGGTGTCGGTGGCACAGAGATCATCCTCAATAGCAGCGCAGATAACAAGGTGACGCCGGTATAAAATAGGAAAGTGGATTTTGACCTAGTCAGCGCACCAACTGATTGCCGGACAAGGTTCACTAGAGCCATGATCGGTTCACGGTGTTGCACTTCGGCGTGGACTTGGAGTCGAATGTCTGCGCATTAGAGGTTAGCATCATCTTGTCACGCAGCAATTGTTGAGAAGCTTACAGTTGTTGTGAGTGTCTTCTGGCGAAGGGTCAGACTGACCCCAAGTGTTTCCTTGATTGCGCTGAGGCTCTACCTCCGGAGAGCGTTCCTTCATTGGAGAGTCTGCGCCTGCAGGCAGTGGTGTATTCACAGCAATTGTGATATCTGGATCCCCCTCATTCGCATCCTGGTAGACTTCAGGGCTTGTCTGCCTCGACCGTGAAGGACTGATTGAGGGTCTCAAAGAATATTTCCCGTAAGGGTCCTGCCGATACCACCCAGTCACACTCGCGTTGCGATGTCGAAAGCCAGGAGGTGACCAAGGCAACCCCGTACTCGATCTATCGTCGATCTCACTATCTTCATGCTCAGATTTGAATGCGGGAAAGAGGGGTGATCGCCGCTCCTGGTCTTCGAAGTCCTCTATCGACGCCTCCATCAAAGAATGTGTGTCTCCGTGCGGGTCCTCTGCATAAAGATGGTCAATTGGCGCAGCAGCCATCATGGCAGCCATGGATCAAGGAACGAAGGTCTGAGGGGTGAAGAAACATGGGAGGAAGGCTGTGAAGTGGTCAAAGGCGGAGCAGAACAGCTGGTCACCCAGGCGGTCACTCTTGCTGAAATAGGCGTGTATATGTAAAAAGAGAGACGGCCAGGCAACAAGCAGCAAGATGAAACATTCGCCTACAGTGGCCCGATAATAATGGTGTTTCGTTCAACGACTTGAAGATTAGCAGATTTACGACACAATGAAGAAGTCATTGATGTTTGACACGGCGAAACAGATGAGTCCATGTTTGGATAGATGTAGACGCAGGCCCAGCCACTTTCAGCAAAAACGCGAGCGTGGATAATGCAGTGTGAGACTTATCGTCAAGGCACGCTCAGGCAACATTGCCAGAGACATAGGAAGCGGGACAAAAGTTGGAGGCTGGGACAGTTGGCAGTTCTCTAGAGGGGTTCTGGAGGGGTTCCGTGCCACCAATAACAAGCCATAGATGGGTAGAGAGCAAGGATGCTTGATGCAAGGGGACCTGCCGGCCGCATATCTAGCGTTCCGTCAATGGAAGCAGTTGATTGGACTTCTTGGGGAGAGGGAAGAGCCATTTTGCTATGAATGCACGGTTTTCCAAGCTTCTTTCGTACCGAGGACGGTCCTTTCTGAGGGCGTGGTGACTCCATCTTGAGTTGTAGCTTGTCTGCGGTATCTGGACCCACTACGCCCAACTAGGTATAGTCTATTTTCCATAGGGGTTTGCTCGGTTAACCTTCCTTCCGCCTCTCAGTACTCACATGAGCAAGGGATCATGACATCATTGCTAGGCTAGTGACACCCCACGCAAGAATGATCTGCATCTTAACTCACTAACTTCAAATCCATATGCAATCCAGACCAACCGTTAATGATGGCCAATCCTCAGGCTCCGTATCATCAAGACGAGCCTGTAGATGTACCTGGAAATACGAGAGAAGACTTAGACCCCAGAGGAGATCTTATCCTCGTTGTCGGGCAACGGGAACTGTTGGTCTCGTCGAGGGTCCTCGAGTTGTCCTGCCTGTTCTTTGAAAAGCTGCTCCAATGCAACGCGTTTTCAGAAGGCGTCGAACAACCAAACAGGAAACAACCACCTGTCAAGACAATCCATGAAGAGCACTCGGAAACCTTCATAAAAATATGCGAAATTGTGCACTACCGTCCGGTCCAGCCACCAGAATCAATCGATGATTATCGCCTCGTAGCAGACCTATGCAATTTTTATGGCTGCAGCTTGCCTGTATCTGTTCATGTCAGGGCGTGGCTGGACGCATGGGAGTACTCTGCTCTTTCTAGTAATGACCTGCAAACATTGCTGTGGGTAACATACGTCTTCCATCTCCGAGATCAGTTTCAACAGGTCAGCCTCCATTTGGCCAAAGCTTTATCAACTTCGGAATGGAGGGCCTGGGAAGTGCATCCCATGCCTGCCCAATTGAAAGGTATGCCGCATGAAGAATTCAACTTCCCCCCGACCACTGCTAAATATCTTGATAGACGATATGAGAGAGCAGTGCCAAATGATCAAGGTCAAAGCTCAACGACAAATTGAAGCCGTCATCGATGAAGTCAGCACCGACGATGAAAGACACATCAGCAAACGTGACAAGGTTTGTGGGCAGTGTTTTCTCAACAAACCTTTGGCCACGAAAAAGTGTGGTAACTGTGGTTGCAGCGACTTCCATGATTACTTTTGCACGAGAGAGGTACGCTTATTGCTTCTCATGCAATGGCTTCAATTACAAGGGTATTGGCCTTTGAGTCGTCTCGATGAGCAAAGCTGCGCGAGCTTCTTGGGCAGCATGCCGTTCCCCGCTGGTGGTCGAACTCCATGCGGGTTCGACAACTCTTGCTCTCTGACAGGAGCCAAGGAGCGGCTGATTCTAAGCCTACGAACGATTCTAAATAGCTTTGCCGGCTTGAAACTGGAAGACTATCACTCCGAACCTCTCCTGGCCATATCCCCTCGCCATTCCATGGGGAATGGACAAATACCGATGGAAGGACCACGTTGATGAAGTGGGCCGAGCTATTACTTGGATTACCGGGGTTAGGTACCGCCCAACTAGGATCCCTAGCTTCCGAAACGAGTCCTGTCGTCTACTCATAGAGTTGAGAAACGTTGGCTTTATGAATGAAGTGGAACAGGGTAGAGCCAAAGTCCCACCTCGAAAGGAGTAGTGCCCAGGGATCACTCGGGAAACAGAAGGTTAGCCGAGGGTGAGCATAGCGGCGAGCGGCTAATCAACAAGAGAAGACAGACGAAGGTTTAGCATGATACTGTTATATTCCATACTCACTCGCAAGGAGGTGAAAGAAGTCAAGAAGCATGCAATGAGCCAAGAACAGGTCAGACATGAACGCGTGACAAACTATATGAGCAGAGAAAAGTTGCATTGAATTGTCAGTCCTTCGTACCTGTTTTCTGTTTTTCTGGTTTTCCGTGGTTGGCCGCCAGCACGGCACGCGAAGCAACGCAGGTACAGTACTCGGTGCGCCGCAGAAGGCACCTCAGATCGCCCTAGTTACAAAAAGAGATTATGTACAAAGAGCTTCGTCTACCGGCTTCTCCGGAGTCTCTTCGGCATGGCTATGCATTTTCCAAACAAGACCGTCCATTAGCTAAGTTGCGCCTCCACCGTCTTTGATGATACAGCAGCCGATGATCCCGAGATCACTACCGAGTAACTGTTGGTATGATCGGATGGCCGGACCCGCTCCAAGCGAGATGTTCAGAGAGAAGAGGGGTTTGTAGAAGGTTTCCCATTACTTGGTCTCCTCTCGCAAATAGCTGTAGATGCGTCAGTGCAATCCGTGAAGGAGATTTGTAAATTGGAGAAAACATACGTGATCAAATCATTCCTGTCCTTGCCCTTCTTGAGACCGCCAAAGGCCATCTTGGTTCCAGGGATGTATTTCTTGGGGTTTTCCAGGTATTCAAACTGCGATAAGGTTAGCATTCCACAAAGCGGCGGCAAGCTGAATGGAGTAAACTTACCAGTGTTCCCTCGTCCCACGTGATGCCCTTTTGCTTATTTGCATCTGTGTACGAGAAGCCGTCTACGGAACCAGTCTTGCGGCCGAAGAGGCCGTGTAGGTTGGGACCGATCTTGTTGCCCTCAGATTGAACTACGCTGTGGCACTGAGCGCATCGTGTCTTGAAGAGGTTGGCGCCCTTCTTGGAGTCACCTACAGCATCGGAATGTAAGCTTGTGCTCATTTTTGTGCTCATCTCTGGTGTTCTCCATAGCAGCTTCATCTTCTCGTCTAGCAGTTCGCTCCTCGCATTCCTTGCAGGTGAAATGTACAGTAAGACCACGCCATTTTCAGTGAACGGATGTCTCAACAATTGATGTAGAGAGCAGCTACCAGCTCGGTGGCAGTCGGAGGTGGTAACACATTGAGCTGGCTAAAGACATAACGAGGAGCGCAACCAGGCTAAGCGGTAGCAGACAACGCCGAGCGTGAAGACAGAAGGTCGGCTGTGACGACTGAGGCCGTGAATGCGAACAACGAAGCTGCTGTGAAGCTCTGGTGGCGAGGAGAAAAGGGTGAAGACTTACCGTCCTTGAACTCGTCCTTGCCCATGGTGAATTAAACGCAAAAGGCTGTGAATGTACAGGGGTGGAGGAGAGAAATAGGGAGGGAGCTTCTGAGGTGAAAGGAAAGCTTTGGTGTTGGTGGTTGAGTAGTGATAGAGGTGAAGATGGAAGAGCAGGAAGGGAAACTTTGAAGCAAAAAGTTGAGACGGAAATGTAGGAGAGAAAATTGTATGTATGACGGAGTGGAAAGGCACAGGGATTGTTAGGTTGGAGTGGAGAGGGTGAGTGGCTTGTTCGGCCCAAGGCGCCGTAAAAGGACCTAAGAGAAGGACAGCTACGGCGACGGCTAGGGGGCACCACCTCCCGAGCAACTGCCAAAGCACCACCAACTCACGCCTAGAACCCACCCAAAGAACCACCTAACGCCTACCTAAAGCGCCGCACCCAAAATCTCTGCTCCTCCCGCCCAATTATCGCGCGCGCATTACAAGTCTGGCACGCGTGACCCACCAATGCCACCCACGAATATTTCCCGGCGCCTCACCCTGTGCATGCGCCACACTTTGGCAACTGATATTCTCTCAAGCTTGAAAGGCCCATCTTCCTTCTGCGGCCGCTTCCTGTGCTCCATTTAAGTTGGCCGATTGTCATCCATCTGGCCTGTTCTTCCGTCGGCTATGGGTTGGGACTTCCTGCAAGCCACGGTGTTTTATTTTTCCAGACGCCCCAAGTCGTACTACTGCACGGAGTAACAGGAGCAAGTTTCGGTGCAGAGACCTGCTGGTCGGCTACTCCTTCTCCGTTCGACTGTTACTAAGTAGTGACTTCCCTTAGTGGGAATAAGCCGCAGGTGGCTCCTTCCCTTGCCTACTGGCTGGGTGCAGAGCTCCTTCCTCTAAATCAAGCCTGGTCCCCGAATTATGACGTCCGCCCACTCTGGTACAAAACTCGGGACAGCAGCAGGATTGTTGGGTGATTGAAGGACGTCAACACGATTCTCTTTGCTGGACAAACTACTTCCTTATCCGTACTCCGTACGGTACAGTGGTTCGCACCCGCAAATCAGTCTTGGTGCAAGGGCCAGAAAATACGAGTCGGCACTCAGACTCTTCTAACCGGAACCATCTTATTCCGGTCTAGTCTTGTCGTCATGACCACTACGGCCTCTATCTCGTCCATCAGACCACCATGATCTACGCACCCCAGTGACAACTCACGCATCATTAATCCCTCTGCCGAGTACGGAGCATAACTACCAAACGAAGGAAGTTGATCCTGGACATGTTCACCCATTTCCCCGTCATTCTAAAACAGCCCAGAACTCGTCCATCAGTTCGTGCCTTTTCACGGCCAGGTCGAAGTCTGCGTACGGCTCTCCCGTAGCATAAGCCTCATATAACCGACCGATATTCTGGCCTTGCGTGGGGAGATCCGTCCACTCACTCCCTCCCTCGCCAATACTGATATCCTCAATTTCACCCTTTTCCGCGTTTGAGAATCGGATACTCGTCGCTGCTCCAATCTGTGGCCCCGCACTGGCGAATTCCACTCTCAGTTCTCCCTTCGTTCCATATATCTTCCACACCGATCCCGAACTGTTGATGAACCGGTCTCCTGCTCTCAGGTGGAAACTGAACACCGCCGGCGGACTCCTACCCAATCGTCCCTGCAGCAGGATCTGGTCCGGGGTGTTTTTGTCGTATAGTTCTTTCGACAGCGACCCATCCTCTTGCGTGATGTGCATTTTCGGCCTGAGGTTCGCTGCCATCGGCACATATTTGCCAGGCTGTAACTCCCCGACCGCGTAGAAGATTGAATCCAATATATGCCCACCGTATATGGTCAACAGATTCCCGCCCACTTTCCGGTCCATGAAATAATGATATCGACTCCCCGCCGCATTGTTCTGCCACACATGGATGGCGCCCTGGAAGTTCACACTGTGAATCTCCCCCAATACACCCGAGTCGACGAGCTCTTTGACCTTCTTGACGCTCGGAGCAACCCGCCCTTGCAGTCCAATGATAGTCTTCAGGTTCTTCTGCCTTGCGAGATCCGCCATCTCCTTGGCCTGCGCCGTCGTCGCCGCCAGCGGCCACTCGACGTAGATATTGCGCCCGGCTTTCAGCGCCGGCATGGCGACGTCATAGTGCGTGTCTGCACGAGTGGACACGACGTACAAGTCGACCTCCGGGTCTGCCGCCAGCCCTTCGTACGTATCATACGCTCTCGTCGTCTCCGGTAGGCCGTGTGCCTTGATCGCCGCCCGCGTCGACTCCATGCTCGAGTTGCACAGCGCCACGATCTGGTAGTTCGGCGAGGCTGCCAGTCGAGGCAGGTGTGCCAGCGTCGCCCAGGCCCCTGGCTTGCTCGACAACCCCACGATCCCGACCCGGATAGGCGCCATGACGTGCAGGTCAAGTCTAGTCTAGATCTAAATATCGAATGTATAAAGAAGTTGGGGGGGGGGGATCGAAAAGCGTACGCCGCACCCCAGAAAGTATGAGAGTAAATAAAATAGGACTTCTCCGCCCCGCGTTACACATGTACTTTAATTATATTTTAGAGACTGGAGATCAACGATGCGTCACACTCCAAATGTCACTTTGGAAACCCCCTCAAACGAGCCCAAGCGATAGTATCGCGATCCGCGGCCCGCTGACAAATCGGGGAACAGTATCCGACATATCACTATTACCACTGATCCTTCAACTTGGGATTCTATCCGACAGTCGACTTCTTGTGTCGCTTTAGATGGTTCTTTCGTCATCCTTTTTACCCGATACCGAGCTCGTAAGGATAGAGGAAGCATGAGGCGCGCAGTTGCGTTTGATAATCTAGGTAGGAAGTGCCCGCATCATTCTATCATGGTCATATTCTTTTTCGAGAGATGTCATCGCCTTTACGGTCTCATTATCTCTTTCCCCAGTCTGGTTCTGTATTTTGGTATTCTCCCCGTGGATGATGGTACCTAAACCTTTGATACCCCCCCGCTTCATCTCTCATCTCGCATCTCTCATCTCTGTGTCTATGTGTGATCGTGCTCTGCTCACAGTTTGCCTCCCGGCTGCCTTCCTCCCGCCAGTAGTCAATTCGCACCGTTCTGTTTAGTTTCGCCGATCTCGCAGAACGCACGGAAGGTGACAAGCTCGCCCGACGTGCTTTCAATGATTAACTCAGCAGTAGCCCCGACAAAATAGACGTATCCCTCCTTAATGTCCTCCTTCTTGGGTCCTACGCTGATCGCTCCCTCTCCGCTCGTCGCGATGATGATGCTGGGACCCGCAATACCCTCAAACGTGGCTTTCGCACCACTTCGTTTCAACACTGTCCGGACAACGCTGAACTCTTCAATGGGCGGGTCGTAGAGTAATGATTCGCTGTTGGAGCTGTACGCCGTGCTGTTCAAGGTGACGTAAGGGTAGTCCACTGGTTGTAGGAGCTGTTGCTCGGGCGGGTCATGGTCATATGTCAAGATATCTGTCAGAGTATTCACATCCTGGAATTTGGGTGTGAAGCCAGATCGAATCACGTTGTCACTGCTAGCCATGCATTCGATGATGTCGCCAGAGATGTAGGCATGGATGTCGTCCGCTTTCAGGTACATTGCTTGGCCAGGCTGCAGCTTGACAAAGTTCAGGAAGAACAAGACAAAGAGGCCTATATCTTGAGGGAATTGGCTGTTGCAGCGCTGGACAAGCTCCGAGAGCTCTTCGGGAGTATTGACGCTGGGACCCGGGCTGATCGATCCTGATGCTGCGAGCTCCACGAGTGCTTTGGATTTTTCTGCGACTAGAGCACGGTCGGACTTCATCAAGTGGCTGAATGCGGCTTTGAGACGTGCCTTGGCGTCCGAAAGGGGTGGAGAAGACTGCTGAGCAACTTCTTCGAGGCCTTTGGCTTCGCTTTCACCCACCAACTCACGGAGAGGAGCGATGGTGGCCAGAAAATGAGCAATTTCATTCAGAGGTCGGAATCCGCAAAGACCTTCAAAAGGTGTGATTGCCAGTGTCATCTCAGGCTTGTGGTTGTCATCGGGATAGTTCTTGGGGTCCTTAGCGTGAAGTTGTTCGGCGAGCTTCTTGTTGGGATGGGCTTGAATTGACAATGCCTTGTTGATGGATAAGACCTTGAAGAGGAATGGTAGCTTGTTCTTGTACTTGGCGGAGATGTCGCCTCCCTGTAGCGCTTGATTGTCCGCAACGAGGTCAAGAAGTGATCGACCAGTCTCGAGATCCTTAGAGGGAAGTGAGGGATGGGTGCCCATCCAGAGCTAGACGACAGTCGTTGGCAAGGGAAGAAGATAGCGAGAAGGAGGCATAGTAGACCTACCTCGGCATATGGCTTGTCTTCCTGAACTGAGAAGGTATCAGAGGGAGTTGCTGCTGCATACTTCGCAGCGGCAGAGTCCTTGCCAATTTTGCCTTTTGGACGGTTAGCAAGCGATAGCGCTGGAAGCCAGCTTTGGATCCTGGCATACCCCAGTCATAGCTATTACAGCCTAGAAAGTGTTAGAGTCCTTCTTGTAGGAGTATAAAATATGACACTCACCACATTGAAGGCGGATTAGTGGCACTTGCATCGTGACGAATAGATGGTCTGTCGTTGTTGGTATGCGAACTTGAGCCAGTATACTATTATGACTACTTCGGCAGTGAGCGAAGGGAGGTTTCAAAGCGAGTAAGGAAGAAATATGATAACAACGGTGAAGCGGTGAAAAGCTTCGAAGCCACTGTCCCGATCGACAGTTTTGAAGTGGAATCACGGCGCACCCTGATTGGCTCAATGGTAGTGTTCTAGACTGGACATACGGAGGAGCAGGAAGTACATGGTCACACTCTGATATACGGCGGAACACTTTACGTTCCACGACCCTCAGGCTCGATTTTGTGGCTGGATCACCAATGATTGACCACGCTTCTTGTTCGTGCCGCAACCGCAACCACAACTCAACGCAAACAATATAATGGCCATTTTCTGCTGTTTCTTTTGCTTATTCTCTTGAAGTCATTCTGTTGACATATGGGTGGTGGCACGGTCTGATTGTGGTCAGACCCAGTAGGAAACCAGCCACTTTGGCACCCCTAATACCCTCTTGACAGGTGCGCCTTTTCATAGTCTTTCGCTCAGGTGCAACTGGGCTCTTTTTCTGGGAGGGAAAGAGGCTATCTTTTCCCTCCTTCAGTCTGTTCTTGTGCGAGTCCATCTCCGAAGGGAATTGCACAAACAAATCTCAATCTATTCGATTTGGGTGTGCTGATATTCCAATATGACTTCCCGCCCAAGGGCTGGCCGTGGGACGACTGGGCGCGATGGCAAAGAGTCAGATCTCGAGAACGAGATGCTTAGCAGAATCCTTGAGAGTCTTCGGAAAGCCCAAGGATTCAATGATCAATGTCGGAGTCTAGGGCAGGAGATCGTGTCCTTGGAAGAAGAGATCAAATTGATCAGTCGTACGTTGGCTCCATTTTCTTGCGCACTCCATTGTGATCTATTGCCATTTTAAAGCAAATTTGTTGGCTCTGTGTCCATCGTGACTCTTTCCACAATACTGCTGAAGGTTTTGGTGGGCTGATCAGGTTTCATTTAGACTCTACACCAGAACAACATAAACGGCTGGATTCCCTGTACAGAGAAAATCTCCGATATTCAGAATTGGAAAAGAAGGTTCACGACGAGGAGGACATTATCAACAATCTTGCCATTTTGGCCACGATGAAGTCTAACGATGACCCAGCTCCCCGTAACGGCCAGCCAAAGTCTCGCAAGCATCAAAGACCTGTTGTTGAATCCGACGCAGCGGTGGAGTCTCCAGGTCCCAGTCCAGGAGATGGGAGGCTGGAAATGATCAAGCGTGTTAAAGGGACGTCTCAGAGAAGTTCTAGTACTGCCAGTCAGAACCGGGCAGCGGCTAGCGCTAAAGACGATGGGGTTGAAATACATCGAGGGGTTCAAGCGGAAAAGGCAGGGCAGCTTATTGCTGGGACTGAGGTTTTCTATAAGTATCCGAAGGACCAGCAAGAACAGGAAGAAGGCGTGGGGATTCACGGGATTATCAAGAAAGTGTGGCAGGACAAAAAACCGTGAGTCCAGAGTCTACTCGGTGAGATCAATACTGACTATGCACAGGATTCAATATGATGTTAGAGACCCTGAGGATGACCCTTCTGGCAAGCAAACAGTGCGCAAAGCAACCGCCAGGGATCTTGTGCCTATCCCACAGGCGAACACTGGCGGACCACAATTCCCAACAGGAGGCAATGTCTACGCCAAATACCCGGATACGGACACGTTCTACCGAGCTCGAGTGAAAAGTTTTCAGAAGACTGTTTATAGTTTGAAGTTCGATGAGGATGATAAGGAGATGCTTGTCGACGCACGCTTCGTGTTGGATTCGCGGTTTAAATGAAGGATGAGTTCATGACACTGACGACGTTGACGACGGCGGTGAATGGAGTTGGTGGGATTAGGTGATTGGAGAGTATCTATTACATATCACATAGGTATGACATTAGTGATCGAGCAAGCCTTTGCTCGCCAGATAGGCGGCGCCGGAGTCGGCCCAGATCTCATATACCCTGACCTTGTCGTGGTCGTTGAATTCTAGAACATATGTGAAGACCTCATTCCAAGCTTGACCAGTGCTTGTCCATATGAAGCGTGCCTCGCCCCGCACAGAGACTTTGGAGGTCTCTGCATCAACAACGAAGTTGCCGAATAGCATGTTCTCATAGCGAAGGTTTGACGACAGCAATTCAAAATACTGTTTGAGGCCGTCTTGACCACGGAAATCACGGCCTAGGAATGGTGCTAGCCGTTGGAGTCCATGCTCAATGGCCACAACGTCACTTGAGGTTGAGAAGTGAGATAAGATCTCCTCCAGCGGCTTCTGCTCTGCAAAGGCGTTACAAAACGCCTGAGCTGCAAGGAGGAGATGTTGACGAGTAGCACGAGGCATTCTCGGCCCATAAACCTCGGGGTATTTTATAGGCGAAGATAGGTATAACTGAACAACCTGGGATTGCCTGGGTGCCTGGGCCCCGAGGACGTATTATTAATATTACTATTAATTATTGCTGGCCCGTTCCCGCCCGCTGTTTACTGGCAGGGTTATTAAGTGGTTACCAACCGAGGCCAATTCCCACCGACGCGATTCCGTCAGCAGAAAAGCCTTCCTGGAACCATTCACCCACATTGCACCTTCCTTCCGAACAGCCGCCGCCGTCTTCTTCCCCCCACCTGCCTTCCTCACCACTGGCTGCGTTATTGCCCTCGCTCTTTCCTGTTCCGCTTTTCTCAATCTGGGGTTCCATTCTGACAATATCTTTGCTATTACCATTTTTCTGTACATGCCGTCGCTCTCATCTCCCGTCCTCTGAGCATTGCCATGTCGTGGGTTTCTCTGCATTAGCATTTCTCAAGCCAAATTTTCATTTTGCTCATAGACTGCACCATGGCTCAACCAGCAGAGGATCTCCCCGCTCACTCCTCGCCCATGATCTCTCCTCTTCCACGCCCTTCTGCCGCCTACTTGAGCAACTGGTCTGAACTTCACGATGGTTCGCCTGGTTCGCCTGGTACACCCATGCTGCCAGACAACCTGATCTCTCCTGCCTTTACCCCTCCGGCGACTCCAGGAGCGGGCACTCCTTCTCGTCACCTCCATTCTGAACCCAAGTCCACCCCGGTCGACACTTCTCTCGACGATCCCTCCACAAAACAACCTCGGCTGGTAGAGAAGATCCCCCACGTAGAATGTCTGGTCCGCGCTCGGATTCCCACCACCTCTGGAACCGAGATGTTCCTCCACTTGTACCAGAATGACATTGACAACAAAGAACATTTGGCGATTGTCTTTGGCAATAATCTGCGAAGTCGAAGTTTAGATGCTGAAAGACCAGGAGAAACCGAAATGGATCGCATGATCAGAGGTGCATATACTGGCAGGTTAAGGCCAGGTCGGACAAGTTCCAGAATTGACCCGGACCAGAACAAACGACCCTTAGGTCGAGCCCGCCAGCGGAGTGGTTCGGCTCTTAAAAACGTCACTACCGTTCCTGAGGACTCGGTCGTGGAGTCTGCATCAAGTCAGCCTGTGCAGCCAGTGAGCAACGCTCAAGATGAACAAGTTCCGGGACATGTCAAAGAACCTGCGGCTGGAATTGAAACCCTCCTTGGCAGCGTCCATTTGACCACAGGAGCCCCAAAGCCCCCGCTTGTGCGGATACATTCAGAATGTTACACTGGCGAGACAGCTTGGTCAGCCCGTTGCGACTGCGGTGAGCAGCTCGACGAGGCTGCACGCTTAATGTCACTTCCAACCTCAACCGGCGGTGTTATCGTTTACTTACGTCAAGAAGGCCGAGGAATTGGGTTGGCATCCAAATTAAAGGCTTACAACCTGCAAGATCTAGGCAATGATACAGTGGAGGCAAACCTTCTCCTTAGGCACCCTGCTGATGCAAGGAGTTATGGTCTTGCAACTGCAATCCTGCAGGATCTGGGACTGGGAACCGATACCGATGCGGATAAACAGGCCTCCGAACGAGGCATTCGACTCCTGACGAATAATCCTGACAAGGTGAGAGCTGTAGAAGGCCCGAATAAGGAGGTTCGTGTCCGAGAGAGAGTTGCGATGGTTCCAATTGCCTGGAGGACTGGAGGAGTCAAAGGCATCAGGGGCGCCGAAATCGAAAAATATCTCGAAACCAAAATCGGGCGAATGGGCCACATGATCCAGGAGGAGTGACATCAAGCCATCCAAAAGTTAACATGACTGGTTATCTCCAAAGTTGTCTGGGAAGCTTAATCTAGAACACGACAAGCCGTTTGAGTTTCGATCAATGTCAATCTTTATCGGCCTGACTCGATCAGCGAAAGTAAGTCACAGTTCACAGCCTTAACTTGAGGTTTCGGTCGAGATCTCGCTTCACTTTGGGTCGAGAATCCGCCACATGAGAGCGGAAGCACTTGCCCGACGATAATTCCGGGATCTTGCGAAGTACGGGGAGCTTCATGGTCTGCGCCATGTAAAGTCCTGGCAAGCGACGCCGGCCAGTCCCATGGTTTCCCATACCTGGCAAGGGATTTGGTTTATTGGCCGAAGGGGCAACCTATTCGCCCATACACCAAGTGTCTAGTAACGAGCAGGTGTATACCGGGCAATTTTCCCAAGCACTCAATCGAGAGCATTTTAGTAGTGGATACCCACGTAAAAGGACAAAGCGGAGGAAATTATAGCATATCAAAGGTGTGTCAGAATGTATGCCTGTACATATGCTTGGGTGTGGGAAGATCTTGGGAAAAACCAGGATCAATTGTTGGAACATTCATCTCACCAGATGGCGACACGGCATGTATTACCGAATTGTCGTGTCCGGATATGCATAAATATCGAGGATATAGAGATCTTATAATACAGCTATCTGCACAGCACATGTCTCCATCGAGAGTAGCCAGCCGCATTGGTTCGAGACAGTGTTGTTTCCCTCCTTTGCAAAGGACTTAATGCCTCCCTCGCTCGTTCGCCTTGTGCATCAATAGATGGCCGGCCGGGTAGACCTTATTTTGTCTCCGTAGCAGGACACCGAGTTCAGGCCAGCCACTACCATATTCCAAAGTAGAGCTTGCGCTTTCTCTGCGGCTGCTGTGGAGGTACATCGGTCTCAGCACCAGAAGTCTTAGCACCATCGGCTCCATTCGGCGCCACCGCAGCAACCTCCATCCCCTTCTCCTTCTTCTCCTTCGCCTCCCTCGCAAACTGAGCAACATCATCGCCAACCTTGCCCCCCATAGCGATGACATCTCTCCCAGTCATGACCTCCTCCCTCCCGCCCCTCTCCCGCTCTTTATTGGTCAAGCCATCATCCCACGGCGCAATGCCCCTGACATCGATGCCCTCCTCCTCCTCGGCGTTCAAGTCCTCCATGCCGTGCGCCCGCCGGTACAGCCGCCGCTTCTGCGCGTCCAGCACCTTGCGCTGCCGCGACGCCTCAGCCTGCTCAGTCGTGTAGTCGATGTGTAGCCGGATGACGGAGAGGGATTCCCGGATGTAGGAGATCGGATGGAACGGGAGCGTCGAGATCGGAGGGATCAGGTGTGCGTAGGGCGAGGTTTTGAAGAAGGTCTGCGTCAACGAGATGGACGCGAGGAGGAAGAGTGTGCCCTGTTGGGGGGGGAATGTATGTATTAGCATCAAGAAATATATCCAATGAGAGCGAGAGGGAAAGGTCTACAGAAGCCGGGGTGGGCGGGACGGAGCAGTCTAATATGGAAATTCGCCTTCATCTTTTTGTGGGTTTCCTCGTTCAATTTGCGATCGGTCAGACACAGTATCCCTAAACTCTCACTCACCATGGTAATCCACAAATGAATCATGCGATTCGTCAGGAACCAGTGCATGAAGGTACCCTGGTTGGGGAACGTATGCGGATAGGACCTTGTCTTCTGCTGCTCACGCTCCGAGCGTGTGGTGCCCTGGTTATACGCCCCAGGCTGGAACCGGCGACGGGTGTTCAGCCGTTGGGGGTGTGACGGCGGCCGGAACTTGTCTGGCTGTTCGAGCACGATCGGTTTGCTGCCACCGGTGGCAGGAGGAGAATCCAATGCTCTTCTGGGTGAGGCGGAGGTCGAGAAAGAGGTGCGGTATGGAGACTGGAGGCTCCGTTGAGCCCGTTGCTGCTCTTCTAGAGGGGAACGTCGGATAAGTCGAAGCTGTTGCAGCGACGCAGGGCGTGTTCGTAGCCCGGCTCGCAGACATGACTGGCATATCGAGAGTGATAGACTTCGTGAAGCCATAATTGATTGAGCTGTCGTTGGAAACCAACCGATCTCTGCGATCCGCGATCCGCGATCCTCTTGTGGGTGGAGTGAGACAGAGACAACCTGCAATCGGACATTTTGTTTTCTTGGGCGTCCATTCACCCTCTCCGCTTAAACTTCGGTCTCGTCATGGAAATCACGTGCGCGTAGATATCCGTCCTGCTGCTCTTGAGGGGCGAAGGAAGTTTCTCAAGTTCCGACTTACGAGTCGCATGTGCGAACATTCATCAAGTTTCCAAATTGACAAGGGATCGACCATTTGAAATTCATATTGGCAATCCCCCATTGGGTTGTTTATCTCTGTCCAAAGGTCCGTCTCTATGTCAACCTGGAACCCTAATGGCTCCGGTGTGGACAACTCCAGCCATAAAACCCCTTAAGACTTTCCTTATGTTCCGTCCAAACATATGATATCTAGCTGTACAGCCTCTCCGCGAGGGTAATTAACAAATGAAAATATGTCGCTGTAAAGAGCTGACAATCGGTTTGTTCCCTGGCCACCCCAAAATGCAGCCTGTGCGCAGACAAAGCTGTTGCTAAACTTCAACCCAAAACCAAGAATCAAAAAAAATAAAGGCTAGACTTCGAATGCAATAACCAGACATGATGGATCTGTGTCCACTGCTTTCGTTAAAAAAAGGAGAATTGAAGGGTGTCACACATAGTAGAACTTCGCGCTGAAGTAGGACCGTAGGTTAACCGAACCACCCCCTTTGTTGACGCAGAACGCCAAACACTCATTAAACACCTGCACCGTGGGTAACTCTCTTGAGCTTTTCGTACAGGATATCAAGGGACAATATATCGTTGGTATGATGTTCAGAACATAAAACTTTTGAACTTGAACGAGTGATCAGAATCGTCCCCGAGACCTGTCCGTCTATCGATAGACTGATCCAACTGTAAAAATACTGTTAGCTGCGCTTGCAGCCCAATCATTTTCTTCATATGGCGGTGTTGGCCAATGCGATGGAGCATGTTCCTGCTCTGCTCGTTTTTTGGTAATATTTAACGGCTGTGTGCCGTGTAAACTACTCGGATCGAATTGAACACCATTCTTCTTTGCAGACGGCGAAGGAGTAAGGTACGCAGCCTGCCCCTGTAAGGCAGAACCACCTGGTATCTGCGGTAACGACTGTCGGTTATAATCTTTCTGTGCAAGTGCTGTTCGATTAAGTTGTTGATTGGAACGCGTACTATGGTCAAGTCGCTTTACTGCCCTAGTGGCAGATCGGAGTGCTTCATCCAAAAGTTCGTCTGCTTCCTCCGGAGTTTCGTATTGGTTGATTTGCAGAGGACGTCTTGACCGAGGGTTGGAAGGAGCTGGTGCCGAGGTAGGGGTTTCACCTGATCGGCTCCCCTGAGACCTCGGAACGGAATGGGTTCTCTTCAAGGACCCGGTATTTGAGACATTGCCAGACGATTTTCCATTGGCAGGTTGTCCTTCTGGTCGATCCAGGCTATACCTGACATTCTGCAAAATTTGATCCAAATCAGAGAAATCGTTGTTGGTTTCAGGGATAACGTTGTCAACCATGATTGAAGATCGATTCGACCAAGGGACAGTTGCAGCATTAGCCTCTACGTCATCCGTGTTGGGTGAGGCCAATCCATGCCGACCTGAGAATCGTCTTGCCCGTTTCCGTAGATGCGAGAAGAAACTTTCCTTTTGACCACTAGGTGGGGAGACCAGACCGCTGTTGGCATTCAAGGCACGCTCTGCCTCCAGACGATGAGCATCGGCGTAGTGATTGCCATGAGAGTTAACAGATAATTGTCGTCCAATCTTCTTGCTCTTTTCCTCATTCTTAGACATGCTGAGCTTGGGCTCCGCCTGGGTTGTGAAAGTTGAGCTCGCTTGTGCAGTGACGGCATTGGGGAGAGGGGAAATAGGCCGTATTGATGGCAGGATTGGCATAGGAGCTGCTCCTGTAGAATTTGTACCATTTGTCCATGTTGCACGTTTGCTTGCTTGGGGCCGAAGTTTGCCTGTCACTGGTTCAGGTTCTGGTTGCGCGGGTTTTGGCTCGACACTATGTTGTGGGACAGCAGGAGCACTCTCTCGAGCGATGAGTGACCTCCGGAACCATGAAGGTTTGGATGTAATTGTCGGTGTTTCTGTAGTGTCTTTAGAGCGGAAGCTAAGATCAGAATGCTTCCGACCAAGAAGTCGAGATGAAGATTTAGGTCGTAGAGGGTCAACGGCATCGGAAAAGAACTCATGGTCCATGGCCTGCTTAGAAGTGGGACGATGTTTAGGGTCCCACATCAAACACCAGGTTACAAAGTTACTGAAGCTAGTCGGCCACTGGGGGGGCGGTAAGATGGTTTCCATCGCATGGGGTGCCATCTGCCACGAGTCAGCATATGGTACATGTCTAGTAGGAGTTTTGACATACCTTTGGGAACGAAAACCCGAGTTTTTGGGCAAGTTTCGTCCCATCCCTCCATTCACCGCCGCCGACTCGAGATCCGGATTTGGTGTACCAGTTTCCTGGACTTCCCATTATCTCACAAACTCGCCAAACTTGGTCCACTTCGTTGCCTCCGGGAAACAAGGGTTTTAGGGTAGCGATCTCGACCGCCATGGCACCAATAGCCCAGATATCGACGGGTGCGGAGTATTCTCCAGCTCGTAACAGTACCTCCGGAGCTCTGTACCAGCGCGTCGATACATAAGTGGTATATGGGAGTTTGCTGTGGGTCTCCCTCGCCAAGCCAAAGTCGGCGATTTTGATAGAGTAGGTTGGCGGTGTAGCTGGTGGAGTGACCAGGGCAGAGTATCTGCTGAAAGCTGATTGCGAATCCTGTGGTGCAGATGTGGAGACGAGGATGTTTTCTGGTTTGATGTCGCGGTGAAAGAAGTGGTGCGCATGGATATGGTCCAGACCGGACAGGATTTGGTAGAGAATACTCTTGACACTTTTGGCATCCAGACACTTGTGTTCTCGAGCCTTCATCAGCTGGTAAAGATTGCCGTCCATGTACTCCATACAGATATGGAGCTTCTTGCTGTAGGGGTCGAGGAATATGTCCAGAGCAGGGACCAAATGTGCATGATTTGGTAGTGTCCGTAAAAAGATAACCTCACGAAGTTCCAGACAGGGGGCAAATGATTCGAAGGACTTCTTCATCGTTTTGATAGCCACCTAGAGGCAGTCAGTAAGATGCTGGTCATAGACGGAATGCTTCAACAGACCATAGTATTGCGCCTGGCAACGCTGGAGCCATTGGCTCTGACTCTTGCGAGAGCCACGCTCCCGAAACTTCCATCACCAATGTCCTTGATTACTTCGAAACGATCCTCCAATGCTGAAGGAGCGTAGGACGCCGGCCGTTGGCCATATTCTGTCACAGCCATCGTATACTGTGAGTTATGTTGACACAGTGCCCTCTCTTTTCCGCTTGCGTGTCCGATATAACCAAGGTTCGTACACTATTCCGCCCTATAGCCCATGCAGTGGGAATATTGTACAGCTCAACACGTCATTGCCTTGTTCGACAAGTCTTCAAGCACAAGGTGAAGTTGCTTCAGTAATGAGTTGAGAGGAGATATGATTTGGTTTCTGAGCTGGATGAACGCCGTTGCAAGGGGTAGGATAAGAGGCGCGTGATATTGGAGCAGTACAGTGAGCAGATGAACCCGCACGAGTCGACATTCACGAAAATGATACTCAGAAACGAGACCCAATTCGAACTGGCTCGAGGACCCAAGGGAAGTGAATACTAGTGGGAGGGTCGATTGGCGGAAGAAGACCCGCAAGGGATGGTGGGAAAGTGGATAGTCGAGGTGATCCCCTTTCTCTTGAGTCTTGATTGACACAGAGGGGCAGGTACCGAGCAGACTAGGATGGAAAAAGATTGTGTTAGGGGGAGGGAAGTGACAGATGTTTTCGGTCGTGTTGACGACGTGCTCGGACAATTTGCTGGGAGTCGGGGAGTGGGAGGGTTTGGTGATGCGGGAGTCGCGTCGTTGTCAGTGTCGAGTTTGGCGGATGGGCAGGGGGGGGGGCTGGAAGGCTTGAGGGAGTGGAAGTGAGCGGAGTTTTGGGGGCAAGCCAGGGAAGCCAGGTACAATGCCCAACGTGCCACAGTTGTTCCGTCACCGCTTGACCCTGCCTGTGACTGAGCGAGATCACATTCAGATTTCAGGAGGGAGAGACAACAGCTAGATGATGGACGAAACAAGAGAGGAGGCCATGGTCCATCTCCATGGCGGACATGCTTGTTGGTTGTGGTTGATGGCCTGAGTGTCAGCACAGCAAGCAAGGACCTTTGGGACTCTAAGGTCCGGGCGACGCCATCCTGGGCTGGGCTGAAAGAGGCTAGGCATGGTGCCGGGAGTCTCACTTAGTGGATGAGGCCCGAAGTGCCTGGTGCACTAGAGCACCTAAGTTAGGTGGGCAGTCACCATTCTTGGCCCAGGGCTAAGCCCCTCTAGCGTTGGCCGTGGCTGCGCGGCCCTAGCTTCCCCTAGCTAGCTCAACCTGGCAACTTAGCTCCAGTTAAGGATCGACCCATTACCATTGTCCTGGTCTCCGTCGCCGCCGTGGCCCCGTTCCAGTTCCCAAAGTGTCTTCCTTTCTCTTCCTTGGTTCGATCCACGACAGCAGACGAGTGCATGCAGCACTACTCCTGTACTCGTACTCGGTACTCCGTACATACTGCGGGAGAACGGCATCCGTACCTGTACTGCACCTGGTACCTGTATCTTAAATACGCCCTGCATCCACTCCTTTGAGCGGCTTCACAAAAGAAATATCTAGTAAAGGTGTTTCTAGGGAAATGCAATCACGCTCAATTGCTAGAGCTCCTTACACAACACAGAGTACGAGAACATGGTGGTTTGGTGGTTGGTGGTTTCGTGTTATCCTTATCCCATTGTGGGCACGGCTCCAGGCGTTCGAGCACTGGCACACCAGGCCAGGCAAACATAACACAAATCCTGGACAAGTAATTTCGTAAACGAAATCCTCACTGCTCACCGGAACTCTGGCGGTTTGGTCCTGCTCAAGCTGTGGATTAATCAACTCGACCATGAATCTTATTTGCTGGGTTCCTCCTTGCAGCTGGTCATCATGTTGTCATCACGACTTGGAATACATGGTACATACGAGTCCCGAACTCTGTCATTGGCAGCAGACACAGAATACTCCTACGGCTTGAGGTTCCTTGGATAATTTACATTACGGAGCCCCAACATTGTAATGCTACGATATGAAAAGATTGCCATGCCACCCCTCGATGCTTGAATTAGTTTGGGAGTGAGTTGACTGAAATTCACTTCCCACTTATGTTCACGAATTAATGTACTCCGTACCTCTCAGCAGTAGGTATGGCTTCACCGCATTCTCACAACCGCGTTATTTCGGACAGTACATCACAAGCTTCGCAACAGCTACCCAACTCACATGATGTGGCATGAAGAGACAACAGGCAGGTGACCTAGTCTGGGAGGTGGCTCTCCCGAGTATCCTGCACACAGCCATCAGGCCAACGCCACGTTGCCAACAGCAAAAACAAATGAAGCAACAGGGTTAGAGCTATGTACCAGCCACCTGCTTGAGGTGCCCCTGGGCTAAACCTGTCATGATCCTCTTGTTCCTGGTTGACGGACCGACAGCCCTTGTCAGAAACAGGGTTTAGACACGACTTTGTCCCTGGAGCTTGCTGGTCGTGGAATGGGCAACCTGGGCCGGAGCGCTAATAGTGCCGGCCAACGGTGTTGATCAAATCTCCAATCGATGCACGATTGGCTTGCCCGCTTGTCGATTACGCCGCGTTAAAGTCTGGAAGTGCAGCCTGCCGTTCCGTCCTAGTTTGCGTCGATAAATGGGGCCTGAATCCACACGGATGGAACATGATTACCATGATGGTATTATTCGCTCCCTTTCCAGCCGTTTTCTCGCTCCCATGGCCACGACGACGGCGAGAGTCGGTGATGCTGGCTCTCCTCGGTCCATCGGTTACTAGTTCTCTGGGCACCCACTGGGACCAGCCAAGTGGATCAGAATTTTGTTCTGGAAGGTTGAAACCTCCTTGAGACTTCGCCTCCGAGATGACACGACTCAATGATTCCCTTGAGATTATGAAGGAGCTTGGTGGTCAGAAAATCATCCCTTCTGAAGATGGATTGAATTTCCTGCAAATTCAATGAGCTCTCGAAGGTTAGCCGAGGCATTCCAAACCTCTGTTGTTCGGAAGGATTGGAGGTTGCTCGGCAGGCAGTGATAGCTTTCCAGGTTGGCATGAAAGCAGCGGTCAACAATAACAATGCACGACTATTGCAATGGATATGTACCAGGGGCAGTAATCTGAGTGGAATCGGGACGACAAGACCGATGGCGCGAAGCGACGTTTTCGCAACAGACCGCTGTCGAGCCATTTTCATTTATGCACCTACCCGCCAGTCGTCTGTCTCCAGAAGCACGGGGTCGGTGGGTTCGGCTCTCGGACACAAGTTCCAGAAAGTAGGCAAATAGGGAGTCTGCAACTACATATGTACGAGTACGGTGTGCTCGTACGGAGTACCGACTCTGCGGTACAAGGCCCCTCCTGTTGCGTTATGGAAGCCCTCCATCTGTCGTTGGCTGCTCGTCCTCATATACTCTACCAATCTCTGAACAAGGGAACATATTGCCTTGACTAAATGCGTTCTGGCTACGCAAAAATGGAAGGTAAGTGTTGAGTATGCATATTGCCAGCATGTGTATATCGCTTCCGGGAAACAAAGATCAGTGTTGGCCTGCAGCAACCTGGTCTGTGGTAGCAAACATGCCAAGAAGCATCTCTTGTGACCCAACTTCCACATATCGTCACGACGGGGATGAGTGCCATAGCATCACGACAATTTCTATGATATCTCAACCACCAGGCTGATTCGAAAATCTGCCTCCATATATACCCCTCGTACCAGACGGTAAGAGGTGTTCTTCGCTGATTCATTGGAGCTATTGGCTTGAGAACCCAGATTTCACCGCTTCCTCTCGGAACAGCTAGGTCATCACTCCCCTTAGACCCTCGATTTCTTCACGCTCAGATTTCTGGACACCCTGAGCGTTTAAGATCTAGAGTATAAAGACAACAGGCTTGGGACACTAAATATCCCATCCGTCCACAGTGACACCGAAACTTGTGTACCAGCTATTTAGCGGTGAGTCTTGGGAATGGCGGGAAGATGCGCCTGATATACCTTACCGCGATATGTGCTGATTTCATGCTGCGATTGCAGGTCTCAGTGTAATATGAATATTCGCTGCAAGAAGTGAGGGGCAAAGGGTATCTATCCTCTGAAGCTTCTTCCCTCTCAAACCAACCTCACTTCACTTGTCGCATTTCTTGGCATTTACTCACCCTTGGATCAGTAGAGTGTATAAATTCTACCAGGCATGCCACAGAAACAGAGACCGGCATGGGAGCGGAAGCGAGAATCGTAAGCATCCTATTATTTTGCTTGTCATCTCATTCTCAGTCTCATTCTCAATCCCACCCTTCACCGTTCTTGATCATTGTACACCATTTCAACATTTTTGCTCCCTTTCATGATGGTTATCTGCCTTCTCTCGGACACTTGTTCCATACCCACCCAAAGCTTTGAACGACCATGAATCCAGTAACAGATCCCAGGGTCGCAAATGTCGACATCGGTGCCATGTAAGTATCGGACGAAATGTCACCTGTTGGTCCATTTTCTCACACATAGCAGGATTCGGTGCTCGGACTGCAACATCAACCGAATGGTGGGACGCTTCTCGAACAATCAGCTCAACAAATACAGAATTGCGATCCTAGGTGCCGGACGGAGCGGTAAAGAGGCACCACGTCCTAGATGTAACACTTGCACAGCTGGGAACGTTGAGGAATTGAGATGTACATGGTGTGGTCTAAGCAAACCAGTTGCCGAGTACAGCGCACGTCACAGGAACAATCCTGACGAAGCGGTAAGCTAAAGCCAACCAAAAACACAACTCAAGGCGTGGCTGATGAGAGACCAGAAATGCACGGCCTGCCAGCAGGAGATTGATGATCGGGAACCGGATCTGCAAGCTGCTACTCAAGAAGAAGAGATATTGGATGACTATAATGTTCGCAACGGCGCATCATATTCCAACATGTCGAGCGTAGGCTCCGCCCTCCCAAGCATCAGTGGTAGAGGTTCCGAGGCTGGGTCGGTGCCGGGTCTCTATGACGCCCGAGAGACGGGGTTTGGAGAAGCAGCAGAAGGCGTTCGGTCGACTTCGCCTACATCAAGTCAGTTGTCCACGAGCACCTTTACCCAGACACCATCATCCGTCTCATATCCTAAGCTAAGCCCTGGGTCTGTGCAATCTCATGGTGGAAGTAGTAGCAGATTTGCCAAACAGGGAGCTTATCGACCTCCAATCGAACAACGGGCGTGGAACCGGGCGGCACGGGACCGACGCCAACAGCAGCAAAGCCAGATATCCAGCCAAGCTCCCACATCTGTCACTCATCACGATGGTGGAAATCAGAGCGCAGAAGACTCAGACTGGGAGCTTTGAAGACGCCGACAGGCTTAGGATACACCGCAGCAGTATCGACATTCCTAGCGAGCAAAATCTAGCAAGGCATGCCCCCAAGAGGTCCAGACATGCCATGGCATGACAGATGTGGCAGGCGGCGGAGAGGCTACATTATTGCTTGATGTGCTATTCACATGTATATGTAACTACTATACCTAGCTAGAACGATTGGGGACCAGGCCAGTACCACAGTAGGAAGGGTACATCCTGTCCCAAGCACTACGACTTAGAATAGACAGCAGCCATGCGAGTCTGTGTTTCATTCATCAAAGCAGACAGCCTAACACTCGGTTCGCAGGTACTCATGTGATCCTGCGCAAGAACCCCCAGGGCATAGAGGTAATCGAGACGGGGTCCCTGGGGTGCATGAACATGTGATCACGTATATTTAGTAGGAAACGCCAAGTCAGGAGGTCGACTTTGATGCAGACCCGGCACACCTCATGCGAAGGGGATGCAACACCACGAATACCATGGTGCAGGCGACATGTCCGTGCTCAAGATGGAAAAGTCTAGGAGTCCATCTGTCCACAGCATGCCTGTGCAAGGTGTAACCCAGTTGGCAAACAGAGAGTTCCCAGAACACCACTTCCTAGTAGGGAAGAATGACGATTAATCCGGCATCTGTAATTCGGCGGGTATGTTAAATGGTTCACCGGCGGAGCGATGATGCCTCTGTAAGGAAAGTCTCTTATTTTGAGAACCGGAAGAAAACCTTGTGAGGTATCCGCCCTGGCAGAACGAGAGAGTTGCAAGTTTTATTAGGGAGGTGGGTTAAGAAACGGGGCGCAAAACTGAGCGGCGCATGGCCCCCGGGGGGCCTGGGCCGAGAAGTCCTTGGCGGTGCCTACGTACAGAGTACATACTCGTCGTGGTGGTGGTGGTGGCGCCTGGGTGTGGCTTGCCTAGGGCTGGTAATTGGTGAGAATGGGAGTGAGGACTACATAGAAGGGACGAGGGGGGACGAACCCTCGGTCTTGGGTTCAGGGCTGGAGACGGGGGGCCATACGTAGATGACGTAGCCCAGCCAGTACCTCGTACAGTATGTACCCCGTACCTACATATACAATAGAGCACTGCGACTGCCGTCCAACACTAATAAGAGTCTACCGACCCAGCCTCTAAGCTGGAATTGCCGGGTTATAGTTATATCCAGCCTGCACTGATAAGGTAATCTATTCTTAGCGCCTCCATTCTTCCATGCGTCGGTTGCATGCAAGATCGTGGGGCTTTCTCCTGGTTGCCAAGGACTGGTACCAAACAGGTAGATATTCGGCAACGGCTCCTCGCGCACACGGCCTGCCATGTCCGGGAAGTAGAAACGGGTGCAAGCGGTAGGTGGTACGTGGGAGGAGTCGGACACTGGTAGCCCGCAGCAAAACGTGCCAAAAAGCAAGTATTCAACGTCCAGCTCCATATGGTCGGTAGGTACCAATCATCGCAAACAAGAATGAGGGGGCTTTTCGACTCTTCGACTGCGAGTCCCCACGAGCAGTTCCTCTGCACTACTGACGACACAGTCCAGTCCCAGTGGCAGCCCTCCAGTGAAGATGAGGGACCCTGTTCCTTTCCCCTTGGTCTGGCCGTGTCTTCAGTGCAGCGCTTCACTGTGAGGGTCGATCCACACCTCCATCATTGTTCTTGACGTATATGGAGTCCTCGTGTCGCACTCGGCTGTCATAGGCCACTGTCTGCTATCGAGCCTCTGAGCCTCTGAGCCACGGTTGACCGGTCGCCCATCCCTCAAAAAGCACGCTAACTGCACCCATGATGCAATCACTTCACTGGTGGCTTTGAGTCCTGCGAACTGCCACCGAGACTAACACCTGCACCACGGCTCCAACTGCTTCATGCCGTGCACCAACACCATCGACCGATTACAGCATTCTTCTCGCTTCACCTTTTTTAGCGACGGCTGCACAATCCATGCCTCCTCGAACATTCCTCGGACCTCCCTAACCTACCTACACTACTACCACACGCCGCGGCGACCTTCGTATCCGGACGTGTTGATCTTCTACTCATGAACTTACCACTCACTGACACCTCGACCCTATTCCCTCAGCCTGACCCCGATCAACACTCCCACAAGAATCGCCGCCTCTTCATCTCAAGTTGCAATCATCTCCAGGCCCTGCATAGCCTTACCAAGTTATCATTCCTACCGACTTGCAATAGGACACCAGAACCCATATCCTGCATACCTGTCTACCCTCTCACACCTTCGGCCTAATTCCCACTGTGCGACGTCAATCGCCTTCTGCCGCTGACCTCTTCACCTGTATCACTTGGATATCCTAACAGCTTCCTGTCGTCTTCAGCCTTCATCCGGAGCACCTGCTCGATCCATCCCTGCGATCGCGACAGAACCCGCTTCCACAGCAGACAACGCGAGCCTATCTTCTACCACCCCAGACTGCTATCACAATCAATCTCAAATCATCGATTGGAGGTAATAAACTGAATGTCGTAAAGGCACATCTCGTCTTCGGCGGAACTTCTCCTTCCCCCACAATGGCTTCTCTCGAGGATCGCCTTCCTTCCCAGCCCGGTATGGGCACTTTGGCCGACCAAGGAGACTCGAGACGGCTTCATCCCGTCCACAGCAACTCCTCTTCTGATCCGCGCCAGCAGAGGCCCCGCGGTTCCTCAAATACTGCCTCAGACTCAGGAAACATTGAATCTACCCGTTGTCAGCAAGCCAGGCAACCTATAAATGATGCCGTCAAGTCCGCTTTCAATTCCACTGACGCTGCTTCCAATGCTACTTTCCCTCCGGATTTACTGCAGCAAATCACCTCACAGATTACTGCAAACGTTCTATCCCAACTCAGGGCGTCCAACATCTCTCTTCCCTCCCAGCAATCTCATCTATCTGCCTCACAAATGGATGCCCTCTCTTCCACAGCCGGCTCGCCTCCATTGGATCGATCCACCGTCTATACTCCTCCTTCCCCGTACCGCAACTCGGAAGATTTGGGACATAGCCAACAGTCCCCACAATTTCCTCCATTCTCATCAGCCCAATCCTCCTTTAGGGCTGCCTCACCTCCGGTCGAGAGGAGGCCGATCTCCCCTTCCAGCCAAGCCAGCCATATGTCAGAGGCTGAAGCGCACCCAGACCGGTCCAATCGACCTAAAGGCCCAAGAAGGATATCAACGGGCGCTGATACGACAATCCTGGAACGGATCTGGGGACCATTGTTCAATGAGCAGGGACAAGCCACAGCTCGGCTTGGACAGTTTCTACGTGGGATCGCCGTTCACCTCATAGACAACTACGAGCCAAAGCAGAGCTTAGTCGTCACTCCATCCAAGTTGCAGAGATACTACGAAGAAACCAAGCTCACCAGTGAGCATTACCCGTGGAAGATCATATTCGACGACAGGACATCGTCAATATCTCGGATGTTTCGTGAGATTGAGGCTCAACATCATCTTGTCCAGGACAAGCCTAGCGAAAGGCCAGATACCCCTGGCTTGACTCCGCAAGGCTTCGAGACCTGGGCCACCCTTCTCCTCCGAGCACATCCAGATCAGGAGTTCGAGCGGCTGGCCAAGACTGCCCTCGATATGCCTATCAGCAACCCGGATGAGAAGAAAGAGAGGTTTCCTAAAGAATTGTCCAGACGACTATTCCCCAATGATCCCGATACGGAAGTCGCCTATAAATTACAAAAGGCCATGTCTACACACTGTAATGTCACGTTTTCTTCCTCTGCGAGACAAGGTAGCGTCGCAGACACTCCAGGCCCGTCTCAGAACAACAATCAATCCCAAAGTCAACCCCAATCCCAATCCCAAGCTCAACCTCCGCTCCAGCCTCAGCTTCAAAGCCAACCACAAAACACGGCCACAACTCAACCCACTCAACCCACTCAACCCAACCAACTTAGTGAGGAGCCAATACAAAAAGCCAATCTTCGTCCATCTATGGACACCCAGGAGCCGGTGGTGAATGGGATCAAATCAAGCCCTGCATTGTCACATGCAAGCCTGGAACGTCAGCGGCAGCCCTATTCTGGCGTCCCAACCAGTGATGCTGTCAGCAGTGGAAGCGCCGTTGAAAATGAGGAAGAAGGCATGCCAACCCCTCAGCCAATCGAGAGAGAGCGAAAGCCTTATGTGTCTACACCCGGCCTCGGAAAGAACTATGACAATCTCGATAAGCCTATTACGGCTCCGGCTCCGGCTCCAGTGCCTGACACCAGGTCGTCTGCTCCTCAAAGCGAGCCCAAATTAAGCAGGTCGGGCTCATTTCATACCGGTTCAAGACCAACTGTGATACAGTCGAAGCCAGGCCCAATACCCATCCATACGAGGGTGCCACCCCCTCCAATGGACATACCAGAGACTCGTCATCATCGCTCCAATAGTGTCTATCATAAGGACCAGCCACGGCGTACCCGTTCACCGTCAACAAGTAAAGAGAATGGCACGACGGGGTACATCAGGAGAGGCGAGAGTGATGTGCCATACGTCCCTGCAAGCCACTATCATGCCAGCCCGAGCGATACATATGAAGACATGAGGCGGCATAGGGAATACGAAGCCCAGCGAGAGCGACTTGCCAATGACCGTTACGATGCCGCAAGAATGGCAGCATATGATCCCCGTGAGCGGGAGAGGGAGCGGGAGCGGGACAACCGACCGAGGATGCAATCGGTATCTGGATACGACCAACAACCTCGGCCACCATATAACGGAACGTCCAACCTTAGCGAAGAGGAGTACTATCGCGAGCGTAGACATCTTGGAGAAGGTGGTGGTTCTTACACGACTACCACACCCATCAGTACTGGGTTTCAGTTTCACCCGCCACCAGTCCATACCAACTCAACCACTAGTAGGGACGGCGTATACGGATCGTATCCTTCCAGTGCTAGGTATCCTCCTAGCAGCTACAAGGATATGCAGTGAAAGAATGCTGGATTGGTCAGATGAGAAGATAGATATGGAGACGACAGGGAAACCCAGGTTCCAAACGAACTTTATGTATGATTATTTCAGTGGCGAACAGGATTACGTGTTGCGCCGAGTGCTTTGGCGTTTTTGGATTATGTCTTCAATTAGCCGCCGTGATTGTTTTTCTAATGGCCCTTATCGCAAGCGAGAGATATCCATGACACAATTTTTTCTTCCATCATGTACATGAAGACAAGCAGGCATCGAATGGATATTTTACCCCCCCAGATGACGATGTTTCAGGCCTTTTATATCTTCGTTTGCAATACAATGCCAAAGCAGCTTTCGATGTGTACAGTTGAAGTGGGAATTCTTTGCATAGTTTCCTCAATACCCTTTCTGAACGCGCGCGCGGCGCAATCAATTCAACTGAAGACATTTATTCGATTCCCTTATATATTTACTCTGCTGTGTGGTGCTGAAGCAGCATCTTCTCCTAAGGTGCTCCATATTTGGTCGCAAATCTCTATCAGATTTGATGCTGTGCCTTAACGGCACACATCAGGGCAGGGCTGTGGAAATGAAGCTATCTTTACACGCTAGCCCATCAACTGGACAATAGGCTTGATCGTGTTCCCAGTAGTCGCACAGGTCGAAACCAAACTCTCCTCCCTCAGAAGTAGTTCAAAAAAAAAGGCAGACTCAGATGAGCAGCGTGTTCTTTCGATTTTTGACTTTATGATTGATCTTGTGTTCTACGAGTGAACCTTTAGAACCCCAGGAGAGAGCCCCCCATGACGTCGCCTATTGCATCCTCTAACATGGGTATCACTGAGAGATATCCACCAGCAGACCTGTGTCCACGGAAGGATGAAGAAGCAGCCACCAACGCCGAAGCTTATCTGGGACGCTTAAATCTAGCGGGAGATATACCTCCACTGGGCTCCCTCGGGTCCTCTCCAGGGCCCCTGGCGCCCAACCGATGCCCCTAAAGATGCCCCTGTCGCTCGGCAAAAGCACCGGAAAAAGGCAGCAGCCCACCATCAGTCAGCAACCATCCACAATTACACACAGATCCAATACCAATTCACCAACCCACCACTCCCCTCACCAACACGGCAAAGACCCTCGACCCTCACTCTCACAGACCACCACCATCTTTGGCCACTCACACTCCGTCCGATGCCGCCCTTTCTGGTTGCTTCGACAAACTTCAACCATGTTGCTGCCTCATAGTCTTTATCGTCTCCTCTCTAACCTTCGTCTAGAGCACGGAACACTGTCACCCTCGAACCTCCCTCGAACACCAAATGCATTTGAGCTGGCACCCTCTTCACTGCCAGCTTGATTACGAGCCTGTCTCCCTTGCTGATAGACTGGACAGTCGACTCACAACACCGACAGAATGACCCAATACCCCTCATGATCTTCGCCGCATCATGGGCTATGATCATGCCGAACAAAAAGAGTTGGATGCTCCCGTATCCAACTCCAGCTCGAGCTCTGGTGCCAGTATCGGTGAGAAGCGGAGACAATGGGACGAGCCCGACCAGAGCAGGGACTCTATAACCACTCTACCGGATGAGAAGGGCAGACAGGAGAAAGATTTTCAAAAGAAGCATGGACACTCCTTAGGAAAGCTGAGGTTGAGGTCTGCGGATGACGACCAGCCCACTGACTGGTGGTTCGCCTCCACTGCCATTCCTCTCATTGCCGCCACCTTTGCACCAATGGCCAACTTACTCTCCATCGCTGCCTTGGTTGTCTCCTGGAGGAATAATGTCATCGAGCCGGAAAACGACATCACCTACCAGTCCACCTCGGTTCCCTACCCAGACCCTCGCTGGTGTATCAACCTTAACATTGCCTCCCTGGTCTGCGGTTTCGTTGGCAATCTCTTTCTGTTGTTCAACTTCACGAAACGAATCCGCTACATTGTCGCCCTACCAGGTACTATCATCTTCTTCTACCTCGCTTCGGGAATTTTGATCGGGATCACTGTGTCGATGGACATCCATGACCCTCCTGGAGTCGACCAGATCTACTCACAAGGATTTTGGAATGCAGTCCTTGCGGCTTGTCTCTACATGTTCAATTCTATGATACTCATGATCAACATGTGGGGTTACTTCCTCGGCCATTATCCTCAGCATTTCGCCTTGTCGGATGAACAGCGAAATCTTATTCTTCAAACCATGATGTTCTTCATCTGGCTCGGTGGCGGTGCTGCCATTTTCTCGAAGATCGAGCCGGCCTGGTCATATCCTGACGCACTGTATTTCTGTGATGTCACTATTCTGACCATTGGCTTTGGTGATTATTACCCCACAGACGACGTTGGGCGCGGCCTTGTCTTTCCGTATTCGGTTGGCGGAACTATCATTCTGGGTCTCATGGTGAGCTCCATACATAAATTCGCCGGAGAGTTGAGTACTGTGAACGTCCTGAGAAAGCACATCGAAGCTAGAAGAGTAAACACTCTGTCTCGAGTCGTGACTGTCGACAAGGAGGAGGAAAAGAGGAACACCCTCGAGGCCGAGTTCGAGCAGTTGCGTCACCACCACCTGCCCATCTCAGCGCCGTTGCCCAATCCTCAAATTCAGAGAGATCTAGATGCCGCTGCGGCCAGCGCAGACGAAGAAAATCGTCAGGAGAGGCACATTGAATTCACAAACTCCAACGCGGAAACACCAAAGAAAGAGGACGTTCCAGAGGAGGAGCATCACCCTCACCCTCACCAATTTCTAAACTCCGCATTTCACAATGGCCCAATTCGCAAAACCTTGAGACTGATCACCAAACAGGTCAACACGATGAAGAAGGCTCGAACTGGGTCGCAGAAAGTCATTCTCATGCGCGAAGAGAAGGATCGCTTTGATGCGATGCGAAATATCCAGCTCAATGCCAAAAAGTTCAAGAAATGGTATGCATTGATGGTCTCCGTCATCGCCTTCGGTATTCTGTGGTGTGCTGGTGCCATCGTATTCTGGCGGGCCGAGCGACGCACACAGGACATGAGCTATTTTGAGGCTCTTTACTTTTGCTATGTTAGTCTTTTGACTATCGGCTACGGTGACCTCAGCCCGAAAAGTAATCCTGGCAAGGCCTTCTTCGTGGTGTGGTCTCTGATAGCGGTTCCGACCATGACAATCCTCATCTCCGACATGGGTGATACCGTTATCTCGAGTTTCAAACGTGGTACGTTCAAGCTCGGTGATGTGACCGTTCTGCCCAAGGCGGGATTATGGAACGAAATCCTCAAAAGGAACCAGTGGCTATGGAATTGGATGAGCAGAAAAGCTGAAAAGAACCGAAGGAAAACCGGCCTTCCAGTAGGGCCAGCCCAGTGTGATGGCCTCCCCAATTTGACCATTGAAGAACTCGCAAACGAGACTCCGAGTGAAGCTGAAATGACAAAGCGGCTTGTCTGGGCGATTCGAAAAACAGCAGAGGACCTGCAACATGCGCCAGGGACACAATATAGCTACGAGCAGTGGTGCGAATTTACACGTCTGATTCGTTTTAGTAAAACTGGACTGTCACGCCTGGACTACGATGAAGACAGAGACGGGGTTGTGGAATGGGATTGGCTTGAGGAAAGTAGTCCAATGCTCAGCGGACAGACTGAACCCGAGTGGATCTTGGATCGGCTCTGTGAAAGTCTTCTGCGGCTGTTGAAGCGGAATATGCTTGATTACCAGAGTGCACCGAATTCGGCGTTTCCTACCTCGGCTAGTACCGATCCCTCAATGTCCAACCTATCACGCCAAAATACTTCTTTTAATGATGAATGGTGGAACTCGAAAATCGGAGATTCCACTGACAAAGGCAAAGCCCCTGACCAATCCGGAATTTCGCCTAGGGAAGAACGTCAGCGGAGAGCTTCTGGTGCAGACGCAATTCTCACCTTCTTCACCGGCAACAGGAGAGGTACACATACATATGCTTCTGATGCTCCACTCTGGAGCAAGAAGGCACAAGAGAAGCAAAAGGAAAGAAGGAGAAGCAGCACAATGAAGAAGCGAAGGGGCCCTTTCAGCCAACTTCAACACTCTGAGCGGACTGGTCCAATTGGTGGCGCACGAGGTGGAGCAGGTTTGAGGACGCTCAAGATGCGACATTTTGCTGGAGACGGCACTGGCGCTAGGGGCTCTCGGCGTAGGGAGGACGATTGAATACTCCTTGTACCCTGAATCTCATCTTGTCCATATGGCTCCTGTTGTGCTCCCCCAACCTTTGAAACCTCTAAGCGAGCAGGAATAAAGACTTTCATGATCTCGATGGCGCTCAATGTCCATTGAGTTGCTACCAGGAGCTTCATTTTGATGACGACACCGGAGTCACACGATTAGATCTACAAGGAGTGCTCTACGGACCGAATGATGTCTAAGACCGGAGTATATATAGGTTTAATCACGATCAGTAAACGGGTTCGAACGTACAGTCTAGCCTAATGGTCGATGGCGTTGCAAGTCAATGACCTGGGGAGGCCTTTGTGCAACCATAGTATGAATATACATGATCAAGGCTGAAAGCACTCGAGCTGATGATTCAGGACTGGTCCACAAAGCTCTGTGTCTGGGCAGGCCCATAATCTCACCATTCTATTTTTTAAAACCGTTCTGCGCAAGCCATTGCAACGAGCGATACATATCTGCCACTACGAGCTCTCCCATGCTTCTACTACACGGACCTTAGAAAATCGTGAACTCCGTATACCGCAAAGAATACTGGGTTTCTTCTCAGCTCCTGCATGCCCCGCACCTGAATGAGACATAGTCGACAACGCCACAAATCAACAAAAGCGAGAATGTAGTTAGTGCAGCCTCATGCAGGCCTTGACCGCTCAGCTCACCAATCCGTCTCCAGTCTTTCGAGATGCTTGAAGTGACAGCAATATTGCTCTGCGTTGTAGCTGGACTGCCTGCTTTTTATCTGTACCGCGCTTGCACGGATACAGGTAGGGCGGATACCACATTCGTATATCAAGGACCCCGTGTCTTCCTGTTCCTGCTATGCTTCTCCTCCTCGCTACGCGTACTCAAGTCCAGTGCTGCTGCTGAAGTGTTCATTTCCGGTGTTTGAGCACGGAAGAACTCATGGCCAAAAGCCTGGCTGATCAGGAGATCGTCACCACCATCAACGCCAAACCTCCAGCAAAGGAGTTCCACCCCTCTCCTCTGGCTTGGGAAGATCAGCTCCTCTACTTCTTGCTACCAGATCGCTTCTCTGACGCCAATGAGAATGGTTACAAGGACATCCAAGGCCAACCTGTCGAATCCGGCACTACTCCTCAGTTTCAGCCTCAGGATAGTGGCAACGCCACGCTCACCGATCAAGACGCTGCGGAATGGCGCGAGGCAGGTACCGTCTTCGTAGGCGGCACGCTCGACGGTCTCAAAAGCAAGCTGGGTTACCTAGGTAGATTGGGCGTCACCGCTATATGGGTTGGTCCCATTTTCAAGCAGGTGTCCAAACTCCAGACGTACCATGGCTACGGAGTACAGGATTTTCTCGATGTCGACCCACGCTTTGGAACCCGTGAGGAGCTGAAGGATCTCGTTGCCACCGCCCACCAACACAACATCTACGTCCTTCTGGACATCATTCTGAACCACAGTGGAAACGTTTTCCAATACGTTGCCAGAGACCCACATTACACGGGTGACACATTCGACGTTAAGGGTTTCTACGACCAAGATCGCCAGCCTAACATCCCGCTCGGCAAGGTCGACGAGCAGAAACACCCTGGCGCGTTCCCCAACGCAGCTGTGTGGCCATCGGAGCTCCAAGATGCAAACTGCTTCACCCGCAAAGGCCAGATCAACAGCGACGGCTGGGACCTCGAGCCCGAATACCTGGACGGGGACTTCTTTGACCTGAAGGACATCGCGCTCGGCAACTCCAACCCGGACAATTTCACCGCACCCCCAGCCCTTCGGGCCCTCTGCGCATGCTACAAATACTGGATCGCGTACGCCGACATCGACGGCTATCGCATCGACACGGTCAAGCACATGGGCGACGGCCCGACCCGATACTTTGCAAGCGTCATCCACGAATACGCCGCAACGCTCGGTAAGGACAAGTTCCTGCTGATTGGCGAGATCACAGGATCCCGCGCCTTCGAGACCGTGGAAGTCACAGGCCTCGACGCCGCTCTGGGCATAGGAAACGTCCAGGAGAAGCTCTGGCGCGTCCCTAAAGGCCAGGCTTCCCCAGCCGAGTACTTCGACCTGTTCCGCAATGCCCTGTTCCTCAACAAGGGCAGCCACACGTGGTTCCGCGACCGCGTGGTCACCATGATCGACGACCATGACCAGGTCTGGCGCGGCGAGAACAAAGGCCGCTACTGCTCAGAGGGTTCCGGCAAAGACCTCATCGTGGCCGCCATAGCCCTCAACCTCCTCACGCTCGGCATCCCCTGCATCTACTACGGAACCGAGCAGGCCTTCGACGGCTCCGGCGGCGCAGACACCTACATCCGCGAAGCCATGTTCGGGGCCCGCTTCGGCGCCTTCCGCAGCAAGGAGCGCCATTTCTTCGCCGAGGACGGCAACCCCGTCTGGACGGGCACCGCAGCGCTCGCGAGCCTGAGGAAAAATGAGATTGCCCTAAGGCGAGGACGCCAGTACCTGCGCGAGATCTCGGGTGATGGCGCGCATTTCGGGTTTCCGTTTAAGATCGGCAATGGACCGATTCGGTCCGTACTGGCGTGGTCGAGGTTGTTCGCGGACGAGGAGGTCGTTTGTGCGGTCAGTACGGATCCAGCCAATACCTTGTCCGTCTGGGTGACGGTCGACGCTGAGGTGCATCCTGCCGTTGCGCGTGATGAATTGCGGCTGCTCCACTCGTCTTCCTCCTCGTCTTCCTCGAGCAGCGGGACTGGCGTGGTGCCTGACACGATCAAGGTCGAAGCGCGGAGTGGGAGGAGCACAGTGAAGTTGACTGTGCCTCCTGGCGGTGTGGTCGTCTACAAGTGAAGTAGACTGGATGGAAAATGCATGCCATATATGTAAGCGAGAATAGTTCAACGCGCGCCAATCCTGCCGCTTGGTGGAGTACGTCAGTGCGGGAAAAGTTCCCAATTAATATCTGGTCTGGTGCACAGGGTGGAAACGGAGACGGGAATTTTTCAAGATCGAGGCGCCTTTTCAACGCACAGGAGCTGAGAACAAAAGTCAAAAACTCGTAATGTGTTTCTAAGACAGCACTATGTCGTGTGTGTAAGACATCATAAATGTCGGTAGCGGGGACCTGCTTGGACATGTCGACATACTGGCCTCCTTAACGAGGGATTAATTAATGCGAGAAGGGGCTTAGTTATTCAAGATTCACGGATATAAAGCTACGGGAAGTAGTAACACTTGTAATCGTGCCCCGTACAGTGGTCAATAATCAAGTCAGGAGGTACATAGCCACATCGCTGGAAACGTATCAAAGATATACGTACACGTATATATTTTCACCACCGTGCCGAACTTGAGTCTGTCGTTGTTACTTGATCCTTGCTGTTTGGTATTGGAAGAGCGAGAAGTCTCGCCTGGTCCCCCCTGCCCGCCTCCTTCTCCCCCGGATGTGCTACTTCAGGTCGGTGCATAATGGGCGTAGTGATAATCATACTTCCTCATAGATCTCGCTCGTGTCGTTTTGATCATTGCCCCCATCGCCCCGGGCTCCCATGCCGAATCGGCGTCGTTTCGCATATTCTCATACTTAGACGCATGCATGCGTACATACCTGCCAACCAATACTGTCACAAGAGCAAAGCAACATGAGTTCCTCCTCGAGCAGAGCAAAGCAGAGCAGCCCGAGCTCAAGCCAGGGGGAGCAGGTCCTCGTCGTCTTCAATCCGGACCATTCCATCCACAGCGAAGAAAGAGAGCATCAGCTCCTGCAACTGCGCATGTGTCGTGATGTCCAGAAGACCCATCAGCGCGGTCGCGCGCGTGCCGAACCAGTGCACTTCGTCAGATAGGTGCACCCTTCGCGCGGTAAGGACGCCCGTCACGAGGATCCAGAGCAACAGCTCATCGGAGTCGCCCGTCCAGATCTTACTGCGGAGGCTTAGGCTCGTGGTCATCGGCGACGGCGGGCCCCTTGATGATAGCTGTCGGGAGAGGCCGGTAGTAGTACTCGTACTACGAGAGATTTCGTTCGAGGGCAGTAGGATCTCATACTGGAGTTGGCGTCTGAGGCGCTGAGTACTGAGGACTGCTTCTCTCTCTGTCTCGGCCGGGCCGGATGGAGAGGGAGGCACCGCAGCCACGATCCGTGCAATGTAGCGGAGGTTTAAAATCAGTGCCAGCCTGCAGCACAGCTCGTTCCCGTAACTCGGCTTCTCAAGCAAGCGTTCAGCCAGGTCGGAGCAGCTTGAAACCAATTGATTGGCCGCCGCGCTCGCATGATCCTCTTCATCGAGCCGCGGTGGATTGAAGTGTCGAAATAAGGTGAGTATTGGAGCTAGTCCTTGGACCTTGTCCCTAAGGTCCTGGCTGTATGAGGGACCCTGCAGGGCCGAGCGTAGAGCCGAGCAGCGGCAAGGTGCATCAGGCTCGAGGCTCTCGAGATCCCAAATCTGCCGGTCCTGTGGCAATAGCTGATATGGCACGAAGGAAGAAGTCTTGGGCCCCTTGGGCCGCCTGTCTGATCCGCTCGGTAGGCCCAGGCCAGCCGGTGAAAACCAAGAACTATCGTAGCTGAGCATGTCGTAGACATATTGGTCGAACTCGGACATCCCTGGAGGCAATGCCTTTAGCAGGCGTTTCAAGAAGTTAGAGTGCGTGTAGGCGGCATCGTAGCTGCCAAGGTACCACTCGCAGACACTAAGATAGTAGATGTCGAGAATAAGCTGGCGGTCGGAAGAGGCCATCTGGACGGTCAGCAGAGCTCGTAAGCCCTGAATGGCCTTTGACAGGTAGCTCTCCGGCCCATGATCAGGCGCAAAGTGTATGCCAGAAACGCGCTTCATGCGACTGGCTGTTGCAGCCAACAGTGCATACAGGTGGACGGTTTCCTGCAGGCATCCTTGCACAATGGCTCTGATGGTCGAAGAATGTTGGATTAGTCTTGTGTCCCTTTGTGGCTCTGACTGTGGGCCATCGCCCGGTGTCGGTGTCGGTGTCGAGAGCAGTACAAAGGACAAATAGTACTGCAGCACCGACTGGATGTTGGGGTCTAGAGAGATGCATGGGATTCGAACATAGTCGAGAATAGAGGCTGTGGAGCCACTGAAGACGGCCAGTGGGCTTGATGGCGTTGGCAGCGTTGGATTAAGCTCGTGTTTACTTGGTCGTTGGTCTTGGTGGCTGGTGGTCTCGGTTGTGTTGTTATTACTCGATCTCGTAATGGGTGACTGAGAATGGACTTTGGGGACCCTCTTCTTGCTTGACTTGGATTGGGAAGCAGTGACAGATCGCCTTGATTTTGATTTGGTCGTCTTAGTGTCGCTGACCCCCAGCCGGTCAATGCGACATCGATTCACGCAGTTTTTAAACCGCAAGTCGGCATTTACACTGGGAGCCGGCTTGTTGGTGTGGAGTGGTAGAGCTCCCTTTGACCCGCCAACGTCCTGTGCCCAACGCTGCGCATGGCTGTTGATGCTGGCAGCAGCGCTACGGGAAGTAGATCTTGATAAGATATCTGAGTCCGGCGTCTTGACAACGAACAAAAACGAGGTGTTGGCGGGTGTCTGTCGTGGCAGATCAAGCGGGAATCCTTTGTAATGCTCAAACTCGAACTGCGAGAATCTGTGAGTAGATGCCATTGCTCTAGATTATGCTAATGGTTTATAATGGATGCATCGCTGACGCTTGATGTCTGAGAAGCCTGTACTCCGTACCAGTAGACCACCAAGCAATGAATCGAGACGAGCCCCGAGATGTTGGTCGTAGTAATTCAATCAGCCAGTCCATGAGCGAACTTGCTGGCTTCGATAGCAAGCTGCTGACGGCCAGTCGTGGGCGAACTGGCAACCACAGACCTGGAGATAGACCTGGAGATTCCTGGGCCCGGGTACTCAATTCCAAGCATGTGCGTCTCCTTGACGTCGGCACCGAACCACAGGAATTGTAATGCTGAAAGAGGTGTCATTGATGGTGTGAGGGAGTCCGGACTGTCCCCTCGCCGTCGGGCCTTGGTTCGGGCCTTGGAGCCTTAGCTAATCATGCAGCAATCTAACCATACGGGTGCCGCCATATAGGTGCCTTACGAGTAACTCAGTCCCTCCGGGTGTCTCCTTACCACCTATTTTTGTGGGTGCCTTAGGCGCCGGAGTCCCCCCGAAGCGTCGGGTGAACGCCACAGCGATATGATTGTTTCCTCAAGAGTGGACGATCCTGAGCAAAGAAATGCCATGGATGGGGCCATCGGTGCCATCGACCAACTGTCGCCTTTAATTGCCCAAATCGTGGCCTGCTACTCGAAACGACAAAAGCGCTTTGACTTCGTCTTGAGAAAAGAGACAGACGCCACCATTCCAACACCGCTGGCTTCCTCTGGTGCAGCCACTTGAAAATGACTGTGCCCCTCTACATATCAGCACGCCTAAATAGGACTTCGCGGCACCTGGCCATTGTTCACTTAATGGAGCAGTCTTACTACCAAAGACTCAACATTTCGTATCGGAACCTGGAAGGGCGCGGCCTTTTAAGTGCCATGATCTAACTAGGCGATCTATCTAGATCTATCTCGAGGGCTTGACACATGCCTCTGTACCAAACGGGCCATCCAAAGCGCTGTTCAACGTGCCTTCAACACTCAAGCTCTTGTCGACGGAGATATTGATCTATGCTGTTCCCGCCAAAGCATAGGCGTCCTTCTGAAATTGAGCAAAGAGCTGCTGTGTCAACGGGTCGGCTGGCGGGTACAGCTCAGCGATATAAACTCCAGCAACACCTCTCTTGCGGTCAACCCACTGGTGGTGAATGCAATCAGCACAGTTTCTTCACGGGGCTGGGACAAGAGATGGCAGTCTCTTGTTTACTTACCCAGTATGAGTTTGGAAGACCCGCCCACTGCAGAGATCCGGGGCTCAGACGGCCTTCAATCCCCTCGACTGCCAACGCGCCTCCGAGCCCGTGATTCCATTTATGTCCTGCCCCATAACTGGGAGCCAGGAACGCCGCAGACTGTGGATTGTCCATTTTCTCGGCGATATACTTGCCGTCTGGGAGCTGCGGAGCGAAGAGCTCCCGCACGCTCTCGGGTTTCAGCAACACGCCATCGTCTACCAGCAGGGATCTCAAGATCTTGATATAGTCCTCGGCCGAGCTGAACAGCCCCGCGCCACCGAAATCGTCCGCAGGCTGCTGGGTAAAGTACATCCCGACGTCAGGAGCGTCAGTCACAGCTTTCGCCTCCGGAGTGGGACGAAAGGTCCGTCCTAGCAGCTTGTCCTTGATGTTGGGGTGGTCCATCTGGAAGGTCGTAGCCTTGACCCCGACGGGTTCAAAGACATTCTTCTTCAGGTATTCGCCTAGCTTGATGCCGCCGTTGACTCGCTCCACCGCCTGACCCGCCCAATCGATCGCAGTGCTGTACTCCCAGCCCTCTCCAGGCTCGAAGACCAGCGGATAAACGAGGCTGTCCTTGATCGCCCTCTTAAAGATGTTGAGATCTATTCCCGTCGCCTGGAAATATTGCATCGTCAATGGGCTCATAAAAGCATACGACAACCCGGACGAATGACTCAACAAGTGCCGCAAAGTGATCGCTTTGGTCGCTTTCTTCAAGGCCGGCTTGCCGCCCTCGTCAATCGCTGTCACAATATCCGGGTTGGACCACTCGGTGAGCACCTTACTGATCGGCTCATCGAGAGATAACAATCCACGCTCGACACACTGCATCGCAGCGATGGAGGTACTGATCTATGCGTGGAATACTTCAGTCTCATGGATTTCGTCCCGCCCCAGGGGGCTCAGTCTGCCACACATACCTTGGAGCAAGATGCAAGCCACGCAACTGAGTCGAGGCCCATCGGCTTCGTGCTGTCTCCGAGCACTCGGTTACCAAATGCCTTTGCATATAAAGTCTCGCCTGCTTTGACTGTCAGTGCGTCTTCTGTGTTTTCCAGACAGACTTTCACGGCGGTCGCAGTCTAAGTAGAGGGGCAGAGCCAACGAACCGTTCTTGCTGACAGCAGCTACAGCAGCTCCAGCTACGATGCCATCTTCCACCGCCTTTGTTATGGCCGTTTCGAAGCTAGTGGCCATTTCTAGATCAGATGTTGGCATTGTACCTCGTTTCTGGTACAGGGTTCACGTCGAAGTCTTCTTCGTTCTCTTTCAGTTCTTTAAAAACCTGATAGATTCCTTGGAGGTCTACGATCAGGTACCGGGCATGGAGTAAACATCCCTCCCTCACATTCGACGTCAATTACATCGTACTAAGTAGTAGGTAGTCAAAGACCAACGTGGGGCTCATCGGAAAATCCCCTCCGGCGAAATGCGATAAATATCTGCCAGACTCCCCCACATTCCCCGAGTGGTGCCATCGGAACCCATTTGGAGCACCGACCCCTCGACACCAAAATCTAAACTGGGGGTCTGCCAGCCTTGCTCGGATGTTACGTGCCCACACAATAAATTAGACCTCGTGGTCGCCAGAAGCATATGCGCACATGCACCGGTTTCTAGAACTATCTGTAATCAACGCGAAAATCCGTATCAACATAAACCTCAAGACCCCGCGGTCATGAATCGAATAGGGTTTATATGTCACAGCTATCGAACATTCAGACAATTTATGGAGCCTGATGCCTGCTTTCAGTTCCAAGGAAGATCCTGAAGTGCGGTGGATGGACATGTTTGTATCACTCTCCGGAGAGTGCCTGGTCCTGTCTCACGAGTGAAGATATCAATAAGATGAGGTACAATCGTTGATGCATTGAGAATTTGATCCTGCCGACCAAAGCTGGACATAGTTCTCTGCTATCGTCTTAGCCCTGGTGTTGGGCAACGCCGTCGATGGACTGGACGCCAGCGCATATTCGTGGGAAGGATTTCCATCATAAGATGTTCCGGCACCCAACTTGGACTTAGTGCTCTCAAATTGCCCAAATGGCGAGGACTCCTGACCTCCTGCCTTCTCCAGATATCGTTCGCTGGCTCTGTGAAATTTCCGTCTGTTATTGGAGACATCATTTTGTGCAACAGCGAATCCTTGGTTCTCAGTATTCGCCTTCCAATTCCGCGTTGTTCCCCACGGCATGACCTTCGGCGTATGTTCATGCGAACCCCGCTGCCTTTCCCGAGGCTCGAAGTCGTCGGTCGCCGTTTGCGGAAACCACTTTGATTGGGAAACATCGCTCGCCTTTCTTTTAGGCGGAAATTTAGGTTGTACTTGGGTCGGGAACGTGTTGACTGGCTCAATTTCATGCCAAACATGCGTTGTCGCCAGTATTCCTGAGCCCCATTCATCTCTAGCAGGACTATTGTACATCGACCTATTCTCGACTTTCTTAGTAAAGTAGCCTTCGACTGGACTGGCTTCCGTCGGAAAATCCATTCTTGAACATGGGACTGATGGCCCAGGAGCAAATATCATGGTGTCGTTGGTCGAGGAAACGGTTGAAGCAGTGACATGCGGTTGACTCATTGCGCGAGAGTCGTGCTGATGGAACAGCTTTGTCAATCCATTTGCATTCTCAGCTCGTTGGTGATGTGGCGGGCTTTTCTTTTGATCGCGAGGGCAGATTTGAGGAGCGTTGCCAAAGAAGAATCCGCTTTGGTCATGATGCATGTTATCTGGGAAGATATATCCCAACCAAGCCTCACTATCACTGTCATAGCAACTCGCAAAGGAAAGATCGGTAACTTCGGCGTGCAGCCAGAGAGAAGGAGGGGACAAGGGCTTTGCAGCGCGTTCCTCTAGTGCAGCAGTATAGACTTGTGGGCGTTCAACTTTGTGTCTGTCGGAAGCCAGCTCTGGAGCAATACGTGCGCGTGCGCCTGCTCCCTTGTTGCAAGGTCCTGCTGCTGTTCCAGTAGGTGGAGTTCCTTGTGCGCAACCGACATGACTGACTTCAACTGACCTCGTACGGGTTCCTACAGGATCACTGCACAAAGTGCCTGTTGTGTTGCTCATCAGTTCAAGTTCGACCTGCTCATCAATCGTAAAGCGATACTCTCGAAGACAGCTATTTCTTGGGGACGCATCTGTCCCTTTCGTCTGCTCCGGAGCTTGCTCGTTATCAATACGTTCTTGTAGCAGTGGCGATATATATTGACCGTCAGCGAATGCTTCGGACGCAGGTGAACTAGTGGAATCGTTCCGGGACAAGTCCGCCTGCCGATTTATGCTGCTGTTTAGGACTTCTTCTGTGCTGTGATCGAGTCTTGCTGGGGTTGGTTGTGGCGTGGAGGTCGAGCGTACCTTCCTGAGACTCGGAGCAGATCGTTGGTGCACTAGGTCGAAAGAGCTAAGGTGTCGTGCCTCGTTTAATGGAATAAGTGTCGAAGGCGATTTGGCTGGCCCACTCCGTTTTCCAGTACCCGTGGGAGTTGACCTGGCATTGTCTCTCGGCGACAAGATTGACCATGTCTTCTGCTTGTTGACAGACGGGACGGCAATGTTTCCACAACGGTCTAGCAGCATTGAATGATCGCTCAGGTCATCCGATAATAGTTGCCTATTTTGCGGTCTAGTTGGCCGATCTTGGGGTGCAAAGGCTTGCGTGTCTTGACTGTTGCTAACCTTTGAGCCAAATCTGACACCATAGTCGTCCCTTTGGAGCGTAGTGCTGAAAGTTTGATGACCTTTCCCAATGCCCCGTTGTGAGTTTTGGCGGGCATGGCTTGTGCTCGTGTCCTGTGGGCCTGCCCGAGAGTAGTGTATAGATGGCTGCCTCCTCCGTTGTCTCCCAATCTCTCCCGTGTCATTTTGTCCCAGGAGAGAAGAAATCACTGGTCGTGTCATTGTGAGGCCAACCCAGTCCGAACGGGTAAGAAGATCGCGCTTCATGTAGTTGACAGGGTCGCGGTTTTGATTGGGTCTGTAGCAGATGTAAGTCGAGCACAAGACCAAGTATGCAAGCCTTGCCTTAGATCTTGAGGCCTAGCACCCTGGGGTGATTTTGGGCTCCTCGGCCCACTCCCAACCAAAGCTGAATCTCGGAGTTCTGATGGCCCCAGTTGTGCGGTGCTTGTGCTCCTATGGTAGTCATGCTTAAAGTCACTTGTTGTCGAACTAGAACCTGATTGAAACTGCCCCAGGATGGAAAGAGCTGGTTGAGGGCTGCTACCAGGACGCTGAAATTGCTGTCCTGCTTTTGCGAAGTGCTCTTTCTGCTTTCTCACCCGCTCATTCGTATTGGCCTTGATATGACGATTCAGGCGACCGCCGGTCCAGTTCATCTCAAACCAAACTGTCGATTGAAACGAAGAATTCTAAAACGGTCCAGTGTATCGGCTGGCAGCGTCATGATGTGGCACGAACTGACCAGCTTTGCAAGGAAGGTGAATAACCTCCAGAAAACGTGCAGAAAGACGTGAGGTCATGGATGCTCGACTTGAACAAAACGCAGAGCGCGTTTCTTCGCGATCTTCGGTCGTGGCTGCCTTTCATCCACCCTCAGGTTACTCATCAACCTAACCCTGTTTGAGTTTCTCGATCTGTGAACATCCAACGAGAACAGTTGTGCAAATGCATGAAGGACAGTCACCAAAACGCAACACTCATTTAGCATGAGTGCGTGACTAGGTTCCATGGCCGTAGCAGGCTAGCAGCTGGTATGTACGATGCCTTCGGGTACAGTCGACAAGTCTGCAGAAATCTTGGGGTCTTTACATGTCGGATTAGGAATCGTGGTTGTGTACGGCATCATACAAGACCTGTCTACCCCATGCCGTCGAGCACATCGAATATACGGAGCTGAAGCAGGTTGGCCTGTTTGGGGCGACGAGATCATGTTGAGAACGAAGAGCATGATAGACAACAAAGCGTCCCCGTATCAAGATCACCAACTGGGTAGGCGACTGAGTCCGCTGAACAGAACACTCACATGGGTGGCAACGGCGTTGCACTACTACTGCTGTTGGATGTGGTGATAACTCATAGGCTTACCAAAATAGCAGAGACGTGGGAGATGGAGCGAATATGAGTTACTCAACCTTGGTCCTTTGGCCCTGAATGTATCCGTACAGTACGAGTAAGTTGGCAGTTCACAGTTGGCGGAGGCCCATAGCCCAGAGTCCACCGCCAAGACATGCCAAGCATTCACATGACTCAGACGCCCACAGCTTCCGCTTTGGTGCACCAAGTTTTAAAATTTCATCTTCACCAGGCCATCAGGCTGTACTCGTGAGCTACCTGACAAGTGACTTCCCACAGCTACTGCATTCTATCTTGCTGGTACACAGCAGTGGGACGTAATTCTCCTACGATAGCATGTTCCCCTCGATTTTGTCACTGCTTGTGTAACGGCTTCCCGGCTCATGATCTCAACGAGCGATGATTTGCAATCTTGAGGACATCTGAGCATCTCAGAGGAGTGCCCCCGTTACTTTCCTTAGGATAGGTGAGAAACCCTCTTGCAGTTTTCCTGGCACATGAATCGGCAGGTCAACGCTCCTATGATGAATACCAATACCAAAAGCATAGTTCAATTGAGACACCAGTCTTTGAAACGAAACTTACCATCATCAACCATTCTGAAAGAGATTGCTCCTCACCCGATACTCGTGTGGGAAGCTGGCCATGGTGCATCGAATGCTGTCTTGCTAATCATCGCCTACGCAGGTACCTTTGACGATCTTCAAGTACATCACCGCTTAGGCCCCCGAGATTCGCGATGCTGATTGCCAGAGCAATCGTACAGTAACCAACGGAAGGGAGCCGGATCGACATTCTGGAGGACTGTCAAGAACTCGGGAATCCGCATCGGTGCCATGTATTAATCATGAATGGTGCGAGGGTTGCGAAGATCGGCTGTTACTTTCAGATAGTCACTCGTAGTTTAGTGCATAAATGGCACTTAGGAAGCGGGCAAGGTTCCAAGGCTCCCACTATTGGGGTGCGTATCGGGTCCTCTGAAGTCTGCTGTCCACATTCAAATCCAGGAATTTTCGGGCTCTGCTCCCCGTGTGGGATTCCATTGTAACGCTGTTTGAGTAATTCGAACTGGCCACGGGGTACCCATAGAATTATCACTGTGATCGATGCGGAGCTCTTCCCCCAACAGCTTGTGCACACCAAGACTCTGTACCGAGTATACCTTTCCAGAATTATGATCAGGCTGATGACGTATAGTAGAGTTCTGAGTTCCTTCTTCTCCCACCTGGATCATACTCACTTCTACCGAGCAGTCGCTGGAACGTATGCACTCTAAATTTGTGGATTCTGGAGCTAAATAATGCTAAGATGGCTCTTCGCTACCATCGAATTTGTGTTTGAGTGCGACGTCAGTGGGCAAACTGCAATTCAATGCCAGGCTCCCCTGTCAAATAAGGCTCGCACCGTGGGTCCATGACAGGAGGAAATTACCGTAGAGTTCAAGCGAACTGAGCCCGCCCAGGTTGCCTTCTCCCGAGGAGGTTCTATGAAAAGGGCTCAGCTGCTCGTATGGAGACCAGAGGGCTGAAGTTGGCATCTGACACACAAAGAAGGCACGAGATGTAGTGGGCGAAGCTGTGCTGTATCAGAGAGTGCCACGTCAATGCCGTAGGTCTGTCCCATGCATGTGCCAGCGTTTTCATCACGACGTCGACCTCGATGCGAGTGGCTGTTGAGGTGCAAGCGTGGCCTGCGAGGTCAGAACCAACGTGAAGGGGCAGTGGATGAAAGCGAATGGGAAACCCCCTGCTGATCATGCCCCCAAACACTTCCAACCATCCACATGAAGCGAGCAGGTCCTACACCTGGGAGAGCGTATTGGGACCTGGTGGACATCGGCCTGTCGATCCTGACTCGTCCGTTTCCATGCACTGGACTGGAGCTGTGCGTTGCTGGCTCCGTCCGTAGCGGGTCGTGTCGGACATGACAGGCGAGTTTGTAACCATACCCTGGCCTTCTCTGGCCATTCCCAGGAGCCTTGAAGCAAGACTGCTGGCACTGTATGTTTGTAGATGAGGAAGACGGGGCCACTGTGCATTTGACGCTGCATCAACATTCTGCACTTCTAACTCGATACAACTCTGCCATCGCACCTGCTTCGCGGATGAAGCCTGTTGACCGCCCCGCTTGGCCTTGGTGGTGACCTGGTTCTGGTTCTTGCCCACTTTCTCGTTGCCCACACCGCTCCTACTGTTGCTCTGCATTGCCAACTTCGCTCCTTCCATCCTCGCCCTCCCCGTCTTGCTCTGCTCCTGCCTCTGGCTCAGTCACAGTCACAGCAAGCATCGGACTTTCTGCTCCTCTTTTCTCTTTTTCCCTCAACGCCTTCCCTGCCACGGCCACTGGCAACTTCCTCTGTGCCCACTTCCCAACTCCCCCACCCACTCTCTCGGCTCTCCCTCCTTTCTTTATATACAACGCCCGCCGTTTCTCCCCTCCTCTCTTTCTCTTTCACTCTTCCAGGACACCTTCTTATTCTTACACCCTATACAATCCCGTGGGCCATCTTGACCTCTCGCCATCTACACCGAGATTCATTTTGCTTTCTTCCGCCAGCGTGTTACTTTTTAAACCATTACTATCTTACGACATTCTGTTGGCTTCCAAGGATCCCGTTATCTTAATCCCAGGACTTCCCAGGAAAATCCCAGGTCTCGTTTTTGCTTTTGTCTGACTGTTCTTGTCCGTCAAAGTCAACTATCCAGGATTGCCCTTTTGAGGAATTCAACTTTGAACCTCGACATCAATTCAACCTTCAACCCTTCTCCCAACACACTAGAGGTATTACATTTTCCCTTTATTTATTTTCCCTCGCTTGCATTGCCTGCCATTGCGGATCTGACGCCCTGTTAATTCGCCTGAGTTGTTTACCTCAGCTACTGGAGCTTTCCTCACTGCCGCCTGGGGCCCAGACCCTGGGCCGGCTGGTGAGCTGTGAAGATGAGAACTGGGTTGTCAGCCCTCGATCTCTCTCCAGAATAATGAAATGAAAGCAATATTCTCCCTATTGGAATCCCCGTGGAATTGGAAGTGGAATGGACCCGATTTGATCCTGGTGTTTTACCCCGTGGACAATTCCGTTAGGACATGGCCTTTCAGGATATTGGACCCTTTCATGTTACTTGATCTTCACCGGACCTCACCATACCTTCACCAACTTTTGCTATGTGTGTCATCGTGGGACCTCGGACTCTCCACCATCAAGTCAGCTCGACCAGTTGTGCATCAATGGCTAGATGCACCGTGATACACAACCTTCCCAAAGCCCGCCCTATTCCCCAAGATGTACTCTTCACACTGCAATATACAGTGATGATGTCATCAGTCTATATGCCCTCGATACAAAACTCTCTTCGACTGTACCCTCTGGAAAGGAACACCAGCTACCAGACCCCCCCCTTGGCCTCTGCTTTACTTTTGTACCACTGGTCTTTTCTAAGTGAACGATCGGAATAACCCTGGTTTCTTTCTCGACAGTTTCTTCTTCACCAATGGTCAAACGGAGCTTTCCAATACCACCAAATTTCAGTCAACTTATTCTGGAAGGACTAGGACTAGGTTCAAGCGTCTACATTCAACCACTCCAACATACGGCCATGCCTAACCCTTCGCTGGTACAGCTGGACAAAACGACTCCTAAGGCATTTCGTCACGACTATCCGCATCTATCATATTCTTGCTTTTGACTTCGTTCTGCACTCATGTTTCGTCTGAATGACCTGAAGTACTAATTCATATCCTTCTGCCAGAACTTAGCCCTCTGGATCTGTATCTTTTTGCAATGCTATCAAAACCACGCTCCCCCGTCGGGGTTGACCGGAAGCCGAGGACAGTTCCAGTGACCCACACGGATCCCATGGATTTTCCTCTTTCTACTACTATGGCCGAAATTCCCAACCCACATTATGCTTTGACGTCGTTGTGCCATGGATCTCGCCGGCTTAACAGCGTCAACTCTGATATCGTGTCTTGCAACAACTACCCAGGCTCGTCGGGTGATGACTATTTCTTGTCCACAACTTCTAGCATGAGCTACATTCCTATGACTTCAGGTGCAACATTCCCTGGGACCATGATGCCCACATTGGGCCACCCCGCTATTGGCAACTACGAGCTTGATTCAACGCCATATGACTCCTGGGTAGCAAGTGTGGTGTCGCCGAGCTCTGCGACAGATATGAATTTCGTGTCGTTACCATTCCATTCCCAAGGCCCCTCGCAGGACATTATGAATGCCTTTGTGGATGTATCCATGTGTGGCCCTGCTGTAATGAACAATTGCTACGGATCGGACGGATTCAACTGGCCACCACCAATGGGACGTCCGGATACACCCCCCCCTGAGGCTTATATCCAGGGATTGTTGCCCCAGCAACTCTCGCCTCCCGAGGAAATCCAGGACGAAGCTTGTACCGGTGGACAGGACTTTTCCCTTTACGACGTCAATGACATTCCCAAGTCGTCGTCGCACAGGTCAGATTGCCAAAGAACTCGTGCATATCATCCGTACTGACCTAGCTTCCTCGAGCAGTATTAGCAGTCGACAGCTGGCACAGCCTAGGCCAATAAGATCCGCCTCGGAGCGAAGTGATCTACTGGATGACAACGCATCTCCTGACAGCCGGATTGCCAAAGATGACCAAGTGGAGAAGGTGAAGGCCCGGATCCATCCATTATACAATGCCACACCCGAGGAAGACGGAAAGTTCCATTGCCCCATGAAGGACAAAGCCGGCTGCAATCATGAACCTACCGGGCAAAGGTGCATCTACAAGTAGGTTCATATCCACCAAGCAGTCTGATTCCCCTCTAACCCTTTCACCCATAGCAAATATCTGGATTCCCATTTGAGGCCATATCGTTGCAAGTTCGCCGATCCAGAGTGCGATGAAGCCCGGTTTTCTTCCAATGCTTGCCTATTTCGTCACGAGAGAGAGGCCCATGGATTACACAACCACGGAGTGAACCCATTCCTTTGCAAATTCCCGGAATGTGACCGAGCCCGAGAGGGAAATGGATTCCCTCGAAGGTGGAACCTACGTGACCACATGAAGCGAGTTCATGAATATGATGAGGCAAAGTGTGCCAAAGACCGGCCCTCCGGCTCTGAGCCAACTAAAAGACGAAAGGGATCCGGCGTCCCTACGTCTACTCCAATGAAGAGGTCTTCATCGTCTGCTCATGCGAAAGCACAGGCGATGGCAGGGGCAGCCATGCCCAAGTACATGGCCCGCGTTAACCAGGCTCGATACAGTATCCCAAGAATGTCTACCGGCAACCTGGAACACGCTGCTACATCACGGCCGGTGACGCTGGACGATGTTCAGTTCTCGCCAGCAGCCACTGTTCCCAGAACCTCACGGAATCCAGGATCATATGGACCGACGTATCCGATATAGTGTTTTTTCTCCCCTGTTGCATGCTAGCCAAATGACCTAATGAATCCATGTACACTGTGTCCAACCATCCAGGAGGCTCTTTGAATCAGTTTCTACCTTTGCAGATTTCTGCCGCTTCCGGAAGTGGAGCCAGACCACCAATGCAATATATTAGACACCAGTACCACACGGTGCAACAGAACGAGAGCTCATGTCGTGAGGGCGAATAGCGCCCTCGTACCCTTGAGCATCTTTCAAGCCCGACGTGATCCAGTTCACAACTCAACAAGGACTAAATGCCGATTGGAAAAACCCCAGGATAGGCCAAACCAAACCCAGGAACATCCAAGGCTGCTTGTGATTACTGCCGTGAACCGTGAGAGCGAGCGTGAAGCAGCTACTGGTGCAAGAAGAAGCAAGCCATCTCGCTCAGACGAGGAGGGGCTGGTGGTGTACGTGCGTGTGCGTGTGCGTGTTACCCACGATAGGGTATGAATATATATTTCCTGTTAGAATACTTATTTTCCTTTGACTACTGCTTTTGAGCGCATTTGCTCACATGAGGTCGTAATGATGATAATTGCAAGGCCCAGATACTACCTTGGTAAGCATAAGTGTTCCGTCCTTCATGCTAGAATACCAGCGTTGTTAGGCTGGTAAGCTCTCCAATATGGTACACGCAGTACTCGGTCTTACTGTAGGATGTAGGTGTGCGTCAACCCATCAGGAATCAGGACATCCCCACTTCCGCCCGAATTTTTCGAACTGTTTTCTCCAGAGTTTGGGAGCCCAAAAATTCACAACTCGTTCAATCGTGATGCCAGTACGTCCAGTTCACCTTTCAGCCTCCTGAACCTTCTCATAACTGACGCAATCGGTAGCTCGTAATCATCACCGGTCTCCCCTGCTCAGGCAAAACATACCGTGCACAGCAGATCACCAATGAACTAAATGCCTACATCGCATCGAACCCAGCCTTGTCGAAACGAAGCGTGCAAATCATTCATTCGCACCACTCCTCATTAGATGAGATATTTGAGCCTGATGATCTGGTCGATGTGAAGCCTGGCCTCCGCGATGAAATATACAACAGTGCTTCGCGGGAGAAGACTGCACGAGCAGAGGAGTTCTCTGCAATCAAGCGGGCACTGGCCAAGGATAACATCGTCGTAGCGGATGGCTTGAATTATATCAAAGGCTACAGATACCAACTATGGTGTGAAGCCAAGGCGGCTGCCACAAGGTGCTGCGTTGTCTACGTAGCCGCACAGGAAGACGAATGCAAGAAATGGAACCGCGAACGGCTAAGGGCACGGGGAAAGCATTCTGCTGATGAGGTAGAGCCCATACCGCCTAGTAGGCAGGCACCGGACATCCAAGGAACCAACGTCCTAGGAGAGTTGGCGCCTGAGAGTCATACTGCGGTCTACGGAGACAGGGTTGTGGAAAAGATCAGCAGGTCGGGATCGTCCTCTTTGGATGGTCTCGCTCTAAACGAGCCCAGGGACTCGAGGCCGAATATTCCAGACGACAGCATGACGCTGAAGTCTCTTTACATCGACGAGAAAGGCAATGGTGCCTCGACTACGGGAAAGGCCTCGACCGGAATCTCTCACGCAGTAGAGACGCCCGCACAATCAAACACAGGAGCAGGAGCTGATATCAGCCTACCCTCGCCAGCCTCGACGCCCCCTTACTCCTCAAGCACGCTTACTTCTCTGATCATGCGCTACGAACCTCCGTCGCCCTTCTCACGATGGGACACTCCGCTGTTCACCATCCCATCCTTCGATGCTTCGCTGCCGACCGACCAGATCTGGGCTGCACTGTACCCGGCACCCACCAAGCCCATGAGCAAGAAAGCACTCGCACATCTCTCTTCGTCCCAACGCGACAGCAACGACGGTGTTCGGAGTAGCAACTCAGACCATCCACAGGCCACAGCCACAGCCACGACAGGAGTCAGACAGCATGCGGCAACCGTCTTGCCCCAAGCCACAACCTCGGACGCACTCCAAGTCCTAGAGAGCGCCACGATGGACGTGGTCAAACACTTGCTCTCAGCCGCCCGCGACGCAGGCCTGGCTGGCGGATCAGGGGGCGGCGGAGGGAATCTTGCCTTCTCCATCCCGCTACCGCCGCCCAACGCGAACTCGCCCATCGAAGCGACCATCTACATCCCGCCGTCAACGATCCTGAGCCAGCCATTGCTGCAACGGCTGCGCCGGAAGTACACGCAGATCCAGCGGGGTGGGATTGCCCACGGCCAAGGCTACATCAGTGGCCGGCAGGCTGTCATCGAGGGGTTCGTCACTTTCCTCGATGAGGAGTGGAATGGAAGTGAGTGAGTGAGTGTATGAGGGTTGAATGAGTGAAGGAAATGGAAAAGCCGGAAGCTGTAGTTTAAGTATGTCAAGATGAATAGCATATCCTTTGGTGAGGCGGGGCGCGAAGAATGGCCTGGATCGGTACGAGTCAGTGGGGATGTCACGTCACGGTGATGGGTTAATATCGAAGGTCGGAAGCGAGGGACTGCACGGCAAGCACAGCACACCTCATCACGTTTTCACGCCTCAGCTGCCTCAGCTGCCTCAACCGACCAAGTCGAAGCCGGCTACACCATGGCTTCTGTTCGACCACCTCACGATTGCTGCACCACCATGCGGACACGCGACGCTGAACCTACCTCATCTTGGAGGCCCCAGGTTGTGGCTCCGTCGAGGCTCCGTCACACTTGCACACCAACAGGAAGAGTCACGCCTTGGCTATCTCTCTCTCTCTCACGCACACACACACCCACCTTCGCGTTGATGGTGATGATCACCGATGCCTGCGGCCGGTCATCCGTGGCTTTACTGTACTGTACGATGACAACTTGGTGCCGGTGCAGCTCCGTGTACAAGAGACATCCACGACGACATTGACATTAATGTCACGGGCGGAGAAGAGGCCAAAAGGTCAACTCTACTCCCAAGGACCGAGCTTGCCCCTTGTGACGGAAGAAGGTGATCCCATTCCACGACCGTGCAATCTAATTCGTGTCATCTATGCTACCTAGGGATGGAGATGTAATCCTGACCATGTGTAGCATGACGCAAAGAAAAATCTCAAACATGTCATGCTCTTGTGCTGCGTTCGTGTCCCTGAATGTCTGTAGAAGCAAATCAACCCTTGACCCAGCCCCTTGAAGCATCCTTCCCAGATAAACTCCATTCATCAGATCCATGCCATGCTCGCAAGAGCCCATCCGCTATAACCTTCTCCAAGAATGCTGAGCAACAATCAACCCCCATAACAAGCTCGCGAAGATTAGAATAGAAACAGGAGGTGAGGACAAGAAAATGCTATCAGTTGCCTTTGTAAAGGTTTATCCAGAAACCGAGTCTCCGTTGCCCATATTTATCGGTAACCCGACGATGATAATTAATCGAGCCTGTCGCATAATCGAGTAAAGATGAAATCTAGCTAGAAATCCGTAGCAGTGTTCGTAGTATTAATGATATGCCAAAGAGGGCGGAGTGGGGGCCGACTACCCAAGCGCCACCCAAAAAAAGAGGAACAAGTCAAAAATGATCGTTAAGAAGTAGAGGCTGAGTAGAGACGCTGTATGGCTGAAAAATAAGATCGTTGTCGCAATAAAAAAGGTCTGTCAAAAGTAAATGTAGTGTTCAAGAAGACATCCCATGCTTGGGCCAGTGCTGCCCTGTTCAGCGGCCAGTACGCAGAAGGCCACTGGCTGCCATTCGAAGTACTCCAAGTGCTCAACGGAACCGAGGGAAGGTGACCATGTGATTTGGCAGAGTCGATATTCTGTCCTCCGCGGTCGGGACTTGGAATCGGATGCTTATTGTGGATACCAATCACATGTCAGGCGGTCTCTCCTCGGTAAATCAAGCCGTGTGTAGCCATTCTGCCAGGAAAGTCGCACCCACCCAGTGGCGATAAGATCGAGTACTCGGTTAAAATGTTGGAAAGCTATAGCGACACTCATAGAACTGGTCAAAGCCATGCATCAGCTTGGTTGGCAGTTTCATAAAGAGACATCTCCGAAGTCCCGCATCAGACAGGCAAGTTCGGCGCGTTTCGCGGCCTCAGCAAGGAAATTAGGAGGCAATTGTCCCGGATTGGCAAGGGCAGCATGCGATGGATGCTCCTGCGACATGGAGTTGGTGTGTGGATGTAATTGTCGTTGTTGATAGTCATACTGCTGAGGAGCTTGATACTGTTGTTGAGCTTGCTTGTTGTAACTCTGCTCTTGGACAGCTAGTGCTTGCTGGCGCTGTTGGCCAAGAAAGCTGGCCTGTGTGTCTTGAGAGGCATACATGTGTGTTTGTGGTTGAAGACGGCCAAAGAATGGCTCCATGTTGCCAAGGGAGGGCGATGGCAAAGGGGCGTGTAGATGGGGGGTTTGCTGAGGTTGAGACATGAAGGAGGGCTGTAGCTGAAGACCGGGTGGTGGCTGGTGTGATGTTGGAGGTGGTGGGGGAGGGTTCAGGGTGTTGCTGATCGGGCTTGGATGGGAACTTGTAGAAGTACTTGAAGATTGGGAATAGGACTGGGTGAAAGCAGGAGCAGAAAGGGTATTGGGTTTCTGTTGGAACTGGTTCTGCTGCATTTGTGGAGATAGCCGAGCGCTTCGGCGAGGATAGTTGCTCATCTTTGCGGGATGAGTGATGGAGGATTGGTTTCAAGAGATGCAGCCGCCTTTTCAGCGGCTCCTTCTCAAACCCCGTCTGTATGGCTTTCGAATAGATCAAGAAGGCGAATCGCGAAACTCGAGAGCGAAACGGTTGATGAGGAATGTATTGGGTGAAGATTGGAAGGCTGGTGTTGTGAAACAGGAAAGTCAAAGGTGGTCTGTGGTTCTGTGGTAACAGAAGTAGCAGCGCAGGAAGCAGGGAAGATGGAATCTCGCCGTAAAGAGGCCGATGTGCCCTGCCTGGGTGTGTTTGTGCGAGGGCGAAGGTGTGAGGGTGTGAGGGACGAGGGACTGGGGACTGGGGACTGGGGAACGGGCGAGAGTCGAAAGTCGAAGGTCGGAGCTGGATCCGCGAAGGAGTGATGGAGTTGCCTTGCGTTTTCGGATGCTGGTGCTTAGCTGGGTGCTTGGACTCTTTGACTCTGCTAGGAACAGTTCTACCTCTTTGAGCGAGGTCGAGGGTGAGTCTCCAAATCGTCGGATGGCAGTGGCAGTGGCTGTGGCACAAGCAGAGAGTCCTGGTCTCGTCTTGGGGGGTGGGCGGATGTTCCGTGGGGTGCGTTGCGGGGCTCCCCGTGACTGGAACGGGATGAGGATGAGGATGAGGATGGCTGTTCTGGCGTGCGTTGTGCGCCGTGCTCTTGGAGGCCGTGGATGTCCCCTGTTGGGTGCCTGTCAAAGCCAAAGGTACGAGGTACAGTAGATTGGGAGGGTGTGTTGGCCCTGCGTGGGATAGTATGGATGGAATGAGGAAGAGATGGAGGCTGAGAAAAGAAAAGAGAACTGATCGAGACTAGAAAACGCTGTTGTAGTGATGGCGACTGGTGACTGGTGACTGGTGGGTGGTACTACCACGGTGAGGCATTCATAATAATAATGGAGACCGCCACCCCGGGCATTCCCGTGAGCAGATGCCGACGATAGCCCGAGAAGAAGTGGGTGGACTACGCAGTCTGGGCTGACGGCTTCGGAACAATGAAGCGTGTGTCTGGAAGCGGACTGCCCACTGCTGAGTCGTGACTCGTGAGTCGTGACTCCGGGGCATGCTATCGAGTACAAAAGGACGCCCGAGGCGCCCGGCCAAGCTTGTCGTCTCCGACTTCCAAGGGTTGAACTTGGTACCTAGTAGCTTGTTAGGCGCAACGTACGGGACCTTCTGCTTCCCTTGCAGACACCTCAGGGGGGACGGTTCCCTCCTTCGCTACAGAAATGCACACCCAAACTCCCGGTTCTAAGGTTGCTCCCCCAATAAGGCAACCCTATCTACTATAGTACTCCATACAGGACTGCTGTTGTTGCCTGCAAATCTGCAGCCTACAGGGTTCATAGTGGATCGTCGTCACAACCACGTTCCATGATTGCACGATCAGACCACGGCTTCGGTCGGTGAGCTACAGCTCCCAGTGGGTGAATGTACGTGGAAGATGATGAGTGAACTCTGGCCCCATCTCAAGAGTCATCACCTGGTTAACCCAGCTCGCCGGCCAACCTGATTGCCCTGTCCTCAAAATACGACTAAATCAAAAGAGGATTCTCTAATTCACTGCCTCGGCTTTGGGCCACCGGTGGCATTGTTCTGCGATGGACCGACTGTCCCTGATCTTCCTCCTCATGCCCATAATGATATCATCGTCCTGTGGAGATAGATAGATACTGATATACATGAGACCTCATGCCTCACGCGTAGTCTGAAGCAAGAGCAAGAGAACGGTCATGGGCACTCCGTACTGTAGCGTGTCGGTGGGTATCTGGAAAGTTGTCACGAATGCCACTAGCAGACGCCATGCAGCAGCCCTACCATCTACCCTTGGACCCTGTGAAGCTTGTCCCCGTATACGGAGTGTACCTTGCCTAATAATAGGCTAAGTGCCCAAGAGTCAAGAGTCAAGACACAGAGAAAACAGCTGCCAAGCTCCCACGGCAATGTTGCAACGTCAACCGGTCGGTGTGTCTGCCAAACTTGAGTACTGCGATCAAATCACACAGTCCTCATCTTGTTCTCTCCGACATGGCAGCGAGTAGCGATGACAACGACGAACTCCCGTCGTTGGATCTGTTTCAGGACCCGGCGGGCTTTTACCCGCCTGAAAAGCCACCCAGCTTCACCACGTATCTCATGAAAAACGGTCGTCACATCAATCTTCGTCTCGTTGGCCACAGTCCATTATGGGTGGGCCATAGTCACCGTTTGATAAGACCCTTTGCCTGCTAATGTTTTCAAGGGCCATCTATTGTGGAATGCCGGACAAGTTGTCGCCCAATATCTTGAAGAGAACACCCAGCAGCTGGTCCAAGGCAAAAATATCCTCGAGCTTGGTGCCGGGGCCGGGCTCCCTAGCCTTGTAGCCTCCTTGCTCGGGGCGAAGCAGGTCGTCGTGACTGATTATCCTGACAATGAGCTTATTGTGAATTTGCGCCACAACATTGACCTGAACTTGGCTGCTCAAGATATGCCCAATATTGTGGCGGAAGGCTTCCTTTGGGGTTCTTCGGCAGACGCACTGACAGCCCATCTTGAAAAAGGCAGTAGCACCTTCGACGTGCTGATTCTGGCCGACATCTTGTTCAATCATTCGGAGCACAACAAACTCCTTGACACGGTGACTGGATGCCTCAAGAGAACATCTGATTCTGTGGCACTGGTGTTTTTCACCCCTTACCGGCCCTGGCTACTGGAGCGAGATCTGAACTTTTTCAAGATGGCACGAAGCAGCGGCCTTCTCGTCGACAAGATCATGGAGCAAACCATGGACAAAGTCATGTTTGAAAATGATCCTGGCGACGAAACCCTTCGAAGGACTGTTTTTGGGTATACTGTCAAGTGGGACCTTTAGGTTGGCATTTTTGCAGTTACCAGTCCGTTGGAATAGAGAGTAAGCTGTTCTTTCTCTCGACTGGTGCTTTTCAGAGGAGAGTCGCATCCACAACAAATGAAGCCCACAAAGGTGGTGGGCAAGAACGACTTGGCCGTTTTTCTGCCGCAATTCAGGGCGGCCGCTCTCAGGCTGCTTAAGTCCCTCGGTGTTGTGTTTTCCAACTTTCCCTGGTCCCCAAGTCGACAACGACAACGTGTATCATTCTCCCCGCGACACACCAGGGCTAAACAGGATACTACAATTCTCTTCATCAACTCTAAATAATCTTGTCCTTTGATTTGGGACCAACCATGTCGTCCAAGATGCCACTTTGGGCGCAGATCAAATCCATTTGGAAGGAAAAATGTGTTGGATGCTTCGCACAGTCTGAGGAACTGGTCGACAGAATTCCACTGCCACCTTCTGGTATGCTGCAAGCTGCCCCAGTCTCCGTAGGCGGTCTGCCTGCATCAATCTTGATGCTCTCAACGCACATTATTCTTACATATTCCAACAACCAGCAGCCAATCATGTGACGTATCGTGAGATTTTCTGTTCGTCTTTTGGCACACACTCGAATAAACTATCACCAAGAATTTATCTCTTCCTCCTTACCTCTACCCTTGTCATAGTGGTCAATAGCCATCCATCCCATCTGAGCCAGGACTCTCCTAGCTCAGCACTAGCTGAGTTACATTCAGGACTCACCGTCGAAGAAACGAATCCCGCTGCACAAAGCCAGGATCAACAATACGGTCAGCCTCAGTCGGTGGCTCTAGATGCTGGCAGCCAGACGGGGACCCAGGCGATAGGCGAACCTACAGCATCTGCGAGCAAGCAAACATCGGATGCTGACCAAATCGAAGACGCATGGGTAGTCCAAGGTGTTGGTACCTTTTCCAACAAAGCCGTTTACACATTCAATGGGGACACCCTACCAGAAGGTCTCTTCAAGAGCGACTACCCTGTTCAAGATAGCGAGCGCGACATGGATGAAGGAGTCCCCCAAATCCCCTACAATCATCGATTTGAGCCAGAAAATGTCCAGATTCGTAATGGATCTCTATATCTGAGAGTACCTGGGAGGCAGAAACCTCGTAAACGCCAGAACAAAGAGATCAGCAGTGCCCAGATCGAGACGACAGAAACCCACATTCTCCATGCCAGTGTGCGCACCAGAGCAAGGTTTAGTAAGGTACCAGGGACCTGTCACGGTACGAGCATTGATATCTCTGAAAACTCGAATTTGAGGCTCACGAGAATGAAGGTATATTCTTCTACAGTAATGATCAACACGAAACCGATATTGAGTACCTGACCGATCCAAGATCGCTGTCGAATAACGGGCCCGACGACCCAATTCCTATCTGGTACAGCAATCAGAAACGGGATCCTGTTGGAAGTTCACCCAGTGCCGAAACTGGCCCGGCACCATTCGATGCTACAAGCCGGGTTCACGAGTATCGGATTCATTGGACGGCGGAGTTCACGGCATTTTACATCGACGGTGTGCTTCAAAAATACCTGACTGAAAATGTCCCCAGCCTTCCCGGGCCATGGCTGTGGAACAATTGGGCAAACGGAGACAAAGGTGTGTTTGTTATTACTCCTGGCAGCAATGTCGTTGGTATATAGTCTTCTGAGAGCGAATGCTAACGCTGAGGCTGCAACAGGATGGTCAGTGGGTCCTCCAGCGGAGGATAACGAGCTTGAAATCCAAAGCATCGTCATGTACTATAACACCTGGGCACCGGACGAAGAATGATCCAGATAGCTGCCAAAATCAGCTGGCGTGGATTGTGGATTGGAGAGGGGGCTATGAGTTTGAGCTTGATGTATGATCAGTTCCGACATCGTTGGGGACAGTGTCGAGGGCAATTGAATGTACGAGGACGCAGGATATCATTAGAGGATGGGCAGATGGGATTCGTTCGGCATAAGCTACGGTATGTGCCAAACCCCTCGGTGACATTGGCCAAGTCTTTCAAGACCGTAGCAATAGCAGTACTGGCGATGTACTTGCATTAGTAAACATTGACCATCCTCTAATGTAACCACTACCACAGAGCACGATGGGCCATCAGGGCTACGGCGGTGGTAATTAGAAGAACGGAATATTGCCGTAATGGATGGTGGATGCTCCGACCATGCCGTCATTAATATGGAGCCGAGGCGGTGCTGTGTTGGTCTGCCACTGCCAGTAGGGTTGGTTCATTTCCCGACGGATGGCCCAAGAAAAGGGTCGCATCATCATGTGGCGATTTCTGGAGATGCGCGTTGTCTTTGCTGGGGCTGATCTCATTTTCACCTCGAGTCCTTCTCCGTACGCGATCCCTACCCGAGGTTGATCGGGCCACTCCGCGCTTCCACGGGGTCACTCACCTCGTCAGTCAGTATCGCTAAGTTCCCAGAACGGAGCATATTGGCGCCTGTTCGTGTCAACGAGACGGAAGGGGCAACGCGGTTGGAGAGGGAGAAAAGGCTAATTGTAGGAAATACGTGTGCTATCGCGGAGAATCGGGCATGGCAAAACTTGGAAGTCTGGGGTCATCTTGAGGTTATTTCGGACAGTGATGTACTCGTATAGCCAGTAGCCAGTCGGTCTTCTAGCAGGGGCATGATGGCCTTTGGTTTATTGCACAACTTATGCGAGACGGAATTAATTTGGAAGCTTTGGTGGTGCTGCCCCATATGAAGTTGAGAGCATCTGGGTATCGAATGGTGACGATGACTACGGTTCAGTGTGCGGAGTACGGGAGGAGGGCAGACCACGATCAGAACAGAGCAGGAGACAGCCCTGCATTGACACTAGTGGCCTCGTCGAGATATCGAGTGATCGATCGATTGGCGGGAAGAAGGGGGGGTGTCCCATCGATTGGATCGACATGGGTGCTGGATCACGCAAGCGACGTTTGCCGGTCGGAGAAAGTAATTACAGTACGGAGTACGGAGTACATAGGTTTCTCGCGTGTCGTTGTCTTCGCTTGCAGAGTGCCCAATTGACTTTGGGTCGCTGACTGCAACCCTTTTATCCGGGTGAGCCTCAACTGTGGTTCTGGACCATTGCCTAAGGCCAGTGCCAGAGGGATCTCAGACTCCTGTGGGTAGGACTCAGGACTCAGGACTCAGGACTCGGAGCGAAAGTCGACCAAGGGTGGGGGCTGCAGTGCGGGCAGCAGTGGCATTTAGCATTTGGCCGGGGCTCAACAAAATTGAAATGGCCGATAACTGATTGACTCGGGGCTTTGGTGCTCGCAGCTACGAGGACATGGAACGATCGCATGGATTGCTAGTGATACTGGGGTGGATGATGGGTGATTGCAGGTTGCAGCCACGAGGGATCCAAATCCATCCCACCCCTCGTGCCTTCCTCTTCCTATTCTCTCCCTCTTGCTTCTCTCTGCACTTCGCACTTTCCACAACCCTAATTCTCCTGCTTCTGAACATTGCTTGTAAAGTTTTGTATTGTATTGATCCTGACAGTACAGCCTTCCCACCGATAACCTGGCCTCCTCCAACTCTGGCGTCTGGACATATCGAGTCCTCGAACAGTAATACCCTCGGGTATCAATTACCTCGTACTTATGTAATTCAATGCAGCCACCAACTTTCACCCGACTCCCGAGCTCGTGGCAACTGCAACGGTACTGGTACTGTACAGTTACAGGTACCCGACTCGTGAGTCGTGATTGGAAAGGCAAAGGCAAAGCAAGCCTGCCCCCGCCGATCAAATCTCGCCATTGTTTGGTCTCCCTCATTTCCAACTCCCGCCGTGCATTGCATTTGCTTCCTTTTTGTCCACTTCCATCCAGTCCCATCTCCAGACCCCTTTGAATCTTCCTTTTCCTTAAAGGTTGATCTGCCTGTAGCCTGTCACTCATTACCGTTGTTCTTTTGCTGCAGGTCCGCTCCGTACTTGTCCGCCCTTGCCCCCATTTTTTCCTCGCTCGTTCCACCCACCATTCGTTCATAATCACGGCACTGCGCTACTTAGTCGCTGGCCAGAGCCCCTCTTTCTTGTCCATATTAGATGTCATGTAAAGCACCGATTCACAAACGGTGACCTCGACCGTCTTGGACACGGAACACCTTTGCGATCCCCTTGACCCTCTTCCCACACCACCAATGACGTTTGTGTCTCTCGCTTGATTTCCACTGTACGGACAACGGAGTACTGCCTCCACAGCACGCCGACTACTCCTAGAGCCCTCCTACGACGTGCTACTACCCTACCCAAGATCTTCCAAGAGAACTCCTCGCTTCAGCCGGAATCCTGAATCGGGTGTGCTACTCTCTTGATAACGGAGTTTCTCCTTACACCACTCGACCCTGCTACAACATCTCCTCTCCTGATATTGCACGAGTATACGGAACACTGCTGATGACACTCTGCGGCTTGATCTCCGTCGCCACTTTGTGAGACCGCCATAGTGGTGGCAGCTGTTCGAGGCATTTTCCGTTTCAACAATTTACACAACAGCAACCCTGTTCCAACCCCGCCTTCTCCAGTTCAAGTCCTTCAACCTCAACTCACCGATCAAGATGTGTAAGGCTCATGTCCTGCGCTTCTGCTGCGGTCATGGCATTCTCATGCGCATGGAACTGTGCAAGGTCGGCCCTTGCCCAATGCTGAAAACCACCGGCGTCAAATTACCTCAACAGCCTTACAAATGCTACAACTGCCAGAATCGGCTCTCAAGCAGCTCGCTGCGACCAGTCTCCTCACGAGGAGGATCCTGCTCATCCACAGGAAGTTTAGATTCCAATGGATCAGCTGGTTCCGCCACCACACCACCTTCGCCGATATCTCCCATTTCTCGAGTCGATTCAAAGGCTATGGCACCACTGCCCGGGGTGGTGCGCCAACCAGCAGAGTGTGGAGAATTGGCTCGAACATTCAGTCGCACACAATCTGCCTCGCAGAAAGCCTTCACCTTCGCGTGCTCCTCATCCTCACATTTTCTTACACCTCATTATATGAACCTCCCGAGTTACTTGCCGCATCAAGACCATTCTTGCCCACCATGTCAAATGGAAGAATATCGGGAGAAATCCGACCGAGACGCCATCGCCTCCGCCAAGGCGCAGTTTCCTCATCTCACAACCGAGATGTTGGTCAGGAACGGACGAGTCTGGGAAGATTGGCAAACTAAGCCCACACTAGAAAAGTTTATAGAGGAAAAGAGAATCGAGGAGAAACAAATGTGGCTTCACGTTACCCGGAAGTGGACGCAAGACTTAAAGAAAGGACGGGTTTTGGTATCAGAAGAGGACGGTCTGGGCCTCATGGGATGAGATGAGCAGCTGTTTTCTTTATAATTATGGTTGCGATGTTCACGAGCAATGAAGGTCGGGGCTCAAAAGTGATGGTTATGGTTGGAGGTTCCGGTTTGTTTAAGATGATACCCCAGTGACCTAGAGCAAGAGCATGGCGTTTATTCCTGGAGGGCGGCATCTCCGAGACGGGACTCAGTTGTAACCTAGGATTGTTCAATTCTTAGAGTCAAAATCGTGTATACTTGCATTTTTACAAGGACCTGGATGAAGTTGAAATTGGTGCACGCGACCTGAAGGCCAAGTGTGGTCTGACGCTTCCGAAGTGTACCAAAAGCAGCGACCTGCAGATCTGCAGTCTCTTGACCGCTGCATTTCCTGGGGTAGACCATTGATTGATTTGATGGCTTGGTGCAGATATCCCGTGCTCTGTGGTGGTGAGTGGGAAGAAATTGCGGTTGGTGCCCCTCAGGCTGGTGGCTGTTGGCTGGGCTGCACGAATGGGTTGCTGGAGTCTGGACTTCAGGGTGCCAAGGTCCAAGGGTCCCCTTACCGATATGCCAAGCTCCCCCCCGGGAGATTTGCATTGCCTGCGGAACGGTTGGACGATCTTCCGGCCTGCCGCGTCAACACCTAACAACCTTTAACCTCAAGTTGTACATAGATGCTCGCAAGGCACCCGCCATTCTTTCTAGGATACCTCGTCCTAGCATCCGCCCTGAGCGCCGAGTGCCAGAGCTTAAGGGTGTACAAGCTACACAAGCAGACTTAATCCTTCGCTTCGGTTGGAAGCGACATTGAAACCTGAACTGCACCATGTTGCTGAAGACGCTTCCAATCCTGCTCGCCCTGCCTTCCACCATCCTCTCCATCGTCATCGTCCAGCCCGATGTCTTCTCCGCTTTTGACAAACCCGAGCTACTCGGAGCACAGCGGCACGAGGGTGTCCCCGAGTACACTTCAATCTCTCCCCATCCTCCTCAGTTCGAGACTGCGGACGCAAGACACAGACACCGCCAACAACCAACTGCTTTGAGTCCCAAGTACGCCACCTTCCCGGAAATCCTTGAGGAGGTTCTTGAAGAAGACGACTGGGTCAAAATCACGAGACTTTCGCCTAAACATGCTTATTCCCCATCGACTTCCGTCACCGACGACGACGACGACGACGACGAGGATGACCCCCTCCCAGTCGTGATATGGCACGGCCTAGGCGATTCCGCTGACGCAGACGGCCTCATATCCGTTGCAGAGCTCATAGACTCCATCCACCCGGGTACATACACGTACATCATCTCGCCGACCGGCCAATCCGGCTCCGCCGACCGACAAGCATCCTTCTACGGCAACGTAACTTCCCAGCTCTCCTCCGTCTGCACCGCCCTCGCCTCCGACCGCATCCTCCGTACCGCACCCGCCATCGACGCCGTCGGATTCAGCCAGGGCGGCCAGTTCCTGCGCGGCTACATCCAACGATGTGGCGGGTGGGCACCGCGGGTCCGCTCGCTCATCACCTTCGGCAGCCAGCACAACGGGATCGCCGAGTTCCAGAAGTGCGCGTCCGCGACCGACTGGATCTGCCAGGGCGCCAACGCTCTGCTCAAGAGCAGCACCGTGTGGTCCGACTTCGTGCAGAGCCGCCTCGTCCCCGCACAGTACTACCGCGACCCGGCCGACTACGAGAACTACCTGGCCCACTCCAACTTCCTGGCCGACATCAACAACGAGCGCGCCGTCAAAAACGCGACGTATGTCACCAATCTCGCCGCGCTCGAGAAGTTCGTCATGGTCGTCTTCCGCGATGACCAGACCGTCGTTCCCAAGGAGAGCGGCTGGTTCGCCGAGGTCAACATGACCGCCGAAGCCGAGCGCACCGTCACCCAACTCCGCGACCGCCCCATCTACAAGGAGGACTGGATTGGATTGAAGCAACTGGACAAGAAGCACGGCTTGGACTTTGTTTCTGTCGCCGGTGAGCACATGCAGTTGAACGACAGGGACCTGAAGAGGTTATTCAAGACATATTTCGGTCCATATGGCAAGACTTTTGAGAAAGTAGAGGAGCAGCAGCAGGCGGAGGAGTGGAAGCTCGAGTTATAAATCCCCACCCCCCAACCTTCTTGAAGGAAAAGCGTGGTTGATACTGGGGGAAGAAAGGCAAAAGCAAAGCAAGGTGTTGGGTGTTGGGTATTGGGACTTGGACACTATGTATTGGTACTGGTCCTGTTGATTTTGCTTGGAGTCGAAATAATCAATCTGTCAAACAAATAGGAATAGGTTGCTTCCTTCTATGATATACTGCTACCACTACCAACCATAGCCCGACCAATACCCGAGGCCGACAACCGCTTGTTTGTTCAGATTCCCATTTCCTAACGACAATATTGAATCTGTTGTCACGCCTTGCATAGAGCATAGAATTGCTCCGACCAAACCAAACCCTTGATTCCGCCATCCTCTTGCTTAGTCGTCAAGCAGGTTGGGCTCTCCATTCTGTTCGCCATTCACCTGTCGCCCTCCACCCACATTGTCCCGGGTGTCCTTATTGCCTGCCTTGTCTTTCTTCTGGTGTCCCTTGCGTGCATAGAACTCATCGAGAAGCTTGGGGTTGACTCGGTTCAGAAGCTCCTTGGGGAAAATCCGGAGCAAGTTCCACCCAATGTCCAAGCTGTCAAAAATGGTCCGCTTGTCGTAGGGGCTTTGTGAAATAAACTGCTTCTCGAATTTCTCCAAGAATTCAAGTGAAAGCTTGTCTTCCGAGCTCAAGGCTTCCTCACCCACGACAGCTTTCATCGCTGCAGCATCACGACCAATGGCGTACTTGGCGTACAGTTGGTTCGAAACATCACCGTGATCCTTTCTTGTCAAGCCTTCGCCAATGGCGGACTTCATCAAGCGAGATAGAGATGGGAGCACGTTGATCGGGGGATAGATTCCTTTGTTGTATAGCTGTCGATCGACGAAGATCTGTCCCTCGGTAATGTAACCCGTCAAATCAGGGATAGGATGTGTGATGTCGTCGTTAGGCATGGTCAAGATGGGGATTTGAGTGATGGAACCATTTCGCCCTTCAACACGGCCGGCTCGTTCGTAGATCGTGGAAAGATCAGTGTACATGTAACCGGGATAACCACGTCGGCCAGGGACTTCTTCACGGGCGGCAGACACTTCTCGAAGAGCATCGCAGTACGCAGATAAATCAGTGAGAATGACCAGGACGTGCTTTTCGAGCTGGTAGGCATAGTACTCTGCTGTTGTCAACGCCAGACGGGGGGTGATGATACGTTCGATCGTAGGGTCACTGGCCAAGTTCAAAAACAAGGTGACTCGCTCCATGGAGCCGTTCTCCTCGAAATCTCTTGTGAAGAAACGAGCTGTTTCCATGTTCACACCCATAGCTGCAAAGACAATACTGAAGTTATCCTCATGGCCATCATGCACACCCTTGGTTGGCTTTTTGACCAAACCGGCCTGTCGACAAATCTGAGCTGCGATTTCATTGTGAGGCAGACCAGCAGCTGAGAAGATAGGGATTTTCTGTCCTCGAGCGACTGAGTTCATTGCGTCGATGGCAGAGATGCCGGTTGAGATCATTTCCTCGGGGTAAACCTTCACCCGGGTTAGTATACGAGACGCAAATTCAACCATGGGCGATGCGGGCATACACGAGAATATGGATTGATGGGACTGCCGTTAATATCTAGATAGTCTTCTGCCAGCACTTTGGGGCCTTTATCAATAGCTCTTCCTGAACCATCGAAAATACGCCCAAGCATGTCTTCGGAGACACCGATCTTGAGGCTGTGACCCGTGAACTCGACTTTCGTCTGCAAAGAATGAGTATCATTGAATCTTTAGAGGGTGCAAGACCAAATACCTTCTTCACATCGATGCCAGTAGTGCCTTCAAAGACTTGGACTACTGCTCGGCTTCCTGCAACGTAGTCTGTCAACTCGCTGTTCTCGTGATAGATGCCGCGCTTCGGTGGCACTGACCTCGGGCTTCGAGGACTTGACCAGATCTTTGGGAGCCATCCGGTAATGTCAAGCTGACAATCTCGTTGTACCTTGGGAATTTGACCTAAGACGAGAGGTGGTCAGCGATTGCCTAACCCCCAAGCAGCTCTAGAGTTGCAGGTAGACTTACATTGTCTAGGATAACCAGGGGACCATTGACACCTCCAATTGTGTTGTACTTCAATCGAGGCTTGACAGAAGCCATACGATGGTCTAGTCCGGCCATGTTGGCAGCCTCTGAGGAGAAAATAGTGTACGGAGGATTGCTGAAGCTGGAGGGGTGGAGGGAGAGGCAGAAGGAATTAATTAATGGCTGAGTAGCAGCTCCAGCAAAATGGACGAATCGGTTAGAGACGATGATGCAGGCGCAGGCGACGGCGCAGGTGCAGGTGAAGCAAGACCCAGGTCGGGCTGCAGAGGGCAGGAGCTGACTTTAATTTGCCGCTAGAGGCTAGTGCTGGTTGCTGCTCTAAGCTGTGCCCAAATCTTCTATCTGACAAGCACGAGCCGCCATAAGTCAGCCAATCAATGCCCTCCCCCACTCGACCGATACTCCGAGCAGTGAGGCTAAATCTACCGCCCAGTCACCCACATGATAGCTATCTCTATGGTTATCTCTCGTCCTCGTATTTATCTCTTGTCTCATTACTTCATGGGACCTGCTTGTGAGAGCGGTATATCATATCGAGTGAAGATTCTTGTTCACACAGGGGATTTGATGACTGGCCTCTTCTAGATCCTCCAATTTCTCAACTACTCAACATGAATATCTGCTCTTATACCATCCCAAGCTTGGGCGTGAACCAGCCTGCTTTGTTCGGATTCGTCTTCAGCCCAGAACCGGATTCCCCAGCATCGTTTACTTGCTGGGTAGACCCTGGTAGCAATGGTACATCGTGAGTTTGCAAAAATTTCTAGTACCGACTCATCAAAGAAAAGACGGAGCTCAAACAGCTCCCTGCTCTGACCGCCTTGCTCCTGAAAGGAGAATAAGGTAAACGGGGCTGTCTCCGGGAAGGTCAAAATACCGGGATCAATCTCGCTTGAATGCGGTCGCTCGACTTTCAATGTCTCTATTACAGGCATAAGATACACCATGGTACGAGATGCCATCTCATGATCCTCGGTATGAAATATGCTGACTCCAATACGCGAACACTTAGATGACACTTCCATCAATGCTGTTAACTCGAATCGGCATGTTTGAACATCCATGAAACACTCTCCTCGAGGAGTAAGATCAGGCGAGCCTTGGATCACCACTTGGCGCGTATCCTTTCGCAAGCCTTGAAGACAGCTGGCCGGAGAAATCCCCAATGTCCTGACAGTGAAGGTATTTTGAACATCCGGTGTGGCTTCAATTGATGTGATCTCCTTGAGCTTCGACTTGAAGGCACCAGTTACACCTCTCAGAGTTGTCAAGGACAACTCTCGAGGAAGGCCGAGCATGCCACTCCAATTTTGTCGGTCCACTAGCTTCTGTGGTAGATCTTCCTCTGTAATCCAACCCCAGGCGAGCTGGTTTGAGGTGAGAGGGTCACGGAAGATGTTGACTGCATACATCATACCGTGATCGAAACGGCCACCAAAAGAATATTCCATTTTTGGCACACTTTGCCCCGCCGCATTCGTGCGTGTACCCAGAGTTCCACACATCCATTGCAGCGATCGTTCCCAACGTGGAAATGTTGTGCTTTCTTGAGGGTATGCTGCAAAGGTGGATTCGGGATGCGACGTATCCGACCCTTCTCCTCCGACCACTACAAACTCACGACTCGTCTCTTTTTTATCGTCACGCAGAGTCATGAAGCAAGCACATTCCCAGTTAATACCGAGGTCACCTGACCATCTGGATATGTTGTGATTCATGCCGATGTCAACAATGGCGTTGAGGTAGGTCCACTGCTTCAGATTGGTTGGATCAATAGCATACAAAAAAGCGGTTGGGCCATGGTCTCTCAAGCCTCCTGAGATAAGTCCATAAAGTGCCCCCGAGTCTTTATCTCGTCCCAAGATTGCGTCCATAGAACGCCATCTGGCAACAAAGGGATCACGCCAGCCTGTAATGGCAAGACCTTCCGGTGGCTCAGGAAGAATTGGATTGCCTGGTATTTTGGTCCAAGACTGCCCACCATCAGCCGACGTGGCAACCGCCAGAGTCTCTGTCTGACGAACATAAGGTATAGTATAGTGCAGAGGCAAGCGGCTGACTCCAGTATAGAAGACAGTGAGCTGCCCAGGTTCTCCTCTGAGGCCTGTAGGCACAAAACAACCTGTAAAGCATCCCTCCTTATCAAACCAAGAGCCAGGCTTGATGGTGCTGGTTCCTGAGACCGTCCAATTCAACATATCTTTCGAAGTTGCATGACCCCATCTTACCGTGCCCCAAACGACTGATCCGGAACTATTGCGACGAGGGTTCCACTGAAAGAACATGTGATAGAGCCCTGTACTTGCGTCATATCCAGGACCACAAGGATCATTCATCCAACCGCTCGGTGCCTGAAGATGGTAAAGCGGCCGCCATCGAAGGAAATGCAATGATGGCAAAGAAATGTCGTAGACGGTTCGAGAACCAGGTCGCTCGGTCGTGACATTCTCGTCTCCTTGAGCGTCACTAACTGGGGAAGTGCCGTCAGTAGGTGTTTTTCTAGTCTCGTGTGCGGCAAGGGTCTCGGCAAGGCTGCCAGGTGCTTGGAATGATAGGGTGCGAACTGCAATATTATCCATCGCCAGCTCTGAGTTGCAGTAAGGACTGTATACAGCTCGAGGGCCTGGCTCAAGTGTTATACAATTAATGTCCACGGAAGTTCATGAAGAGGACGAAACAGTACATGCCTTGCTGCCCTAGAAAGTGGAATCCTCAACAAGGGGACCTCAAGCAACGCGTAGGTTGAATTTGTCCCGTAGGTAGCATTGAGACACCTTTAAGTTCGAGGAGGATACGCCAGCGGGCAGGATGCCAGATATGGATGGATACATTTGGTATTATGGGGAACTGTTTCGCTACAATTCGGCAAATGGCGTCGCTGCAGAGCGAGGTGTGCCCAACCGAATCCTAATGTTTTCCAGCATTCGCTTTTCTGGGATCATAGATCACTGCACATTCGGTGAAGTAATCGCTGCAGATACATGACAACCAGGATCGCGTTGTGAACAACGCCACTCGACATGAGGGCTTCTTTTGAGTGGTGCCAAGGACGCCCTTTTCGCTCGGGTGGTGAATTCGACCGATGCATATAAAAAGAAGGGCCGAACCTTTCTCCGCTGAGACGAGAGAGTTATCTTGTTTGCTATCTTGGCATTTTGGTGGAATTTGGTAGACAGTTTGCGTAACAAACATCTCACCTTACCGAATAGAGTGACAGAAGCAAATCTGATTTGCATACAGATAGCGCACTTGCCGTCTACGTCCAGCTATCTCAGTCTCGGTTCAGATACGTTTCTTTCAACGCAACAGCTTGACTTCTTCCTCTCAAGCAGAGGTCCGATACTTCGTTGGCCTCTGTGGCATTGGAGTGCAAGTATGAAAAGACGAAGAGGGCAGAAGCTGACCAAAGAAGTCACTACCTAGAAGACGGCATTTTGTACAACAGCTATTAGTGAATAGCGGGGACATATTTCCTCGCTTGGATAGCACTAAGAAGCAAGTAATCGCACTTGAGGTTGCTTTGTCGTACTTCTCACAGCGAGAAAGGTTGACTTGCCGATTGATTCGACTTGTCGTCTTCTTTAAGTTGGGCAAGATCAAGGCAAAGACACCAATGGTTGCAGTGTCCTCTTGTTGTGCCAAGGTTGTCCAGGCAGATGTCGATTGAAGAGTTGCTAGTAGATACTCCCAACATACTCAGCTCAGCTCATAGCTCCGTAGATCTCCTGTCATGTACTGCGAGGGGACGGAGCCTCTCGTAATATTCATTCTGGGTCGCATTCGTCGGTTACTGACAGTTGATCCGGCAAATTTGACTGCACCTACTGCGACAAATCTCAAGTCGGATCATGAGCATTATCCATCCGATCGAACCTCAACAAGAGAGGTCGGTATGCCTCGGGAGAACATGAGAAAGAGGCTACCTTGGTAGGAAGTGCGGCCGGGAAACATAGTTCTGCTTCACTCCCCAACAGGCTCAGGTCTCCCACTGAACAGCAATTTGTATTTCACAACTTCGACGAGTTCCAAATGTGAGTTCATGTCCATGGCCGAGTCCGAGATCGCACTGTTTGCCTTTTGTATGACACCTAGTGGTTTCGCAAGTTTCTTCGCCTCGCCAGTCAACCGCTGATGTTTGCCAATGTAAAGGTAGACCTTTTTCATCCACTTCCCGTCACTCTTGTCCTGAGTATCGTAGAGTGGAAACTCAAGCCTGCCAAGCCTTGTAGTGACTGTCGAGTTGCTGGAGGGAGAGTCCGATGGCAAGGTATGTGGCCCATGGATAGTGCCTTGAATTTCAACAATAGCAAGTCCTGATGGTGTTTGCAGAAGCTGCGGCAACGGATTTGACGTAGAATCGTGCTCACTGGGATTGGGAACTGAGGTTTGCAAGTTGACAGCAGGCATGCTTTCTCTGTTGAGACCAAGGTCTTCTGTTATTAGATTCGATGTTGAATTGTAGACAACTACTGTGGCTGAGGCGTTTTGTGCGAGTCTGGGATACGAAAAGTTGGTCTGCGTTCACTTTACGCGTCTGTTGACGTTCGCGTGCATGCGTTGTCCTGGCCTCTCGTGTCATCGAGCCGAGGCAGGGGGTAGAGTGAGCCGCTCGATCTACTTGATAAGCGCCCTTGCCCCACCTGTACTTTTTCCGCTAGTTGAATAGAATATCAAATCTACAATAGTGTGTGAAGAGTCAAAAGGTACACTATCTGGTAGATGCTGAACCTCTATAATAGCATTCCTCGCTTCCTGCACTAACCTCGTGGCGACCATCTGATCTAGCTACAGCAGCTAACTTGGATTGACCTGACGTCGTCCGTACCATCAATAGGCTTCCCTAGTAGATTGTCACCAGCGTGAATTTAGACAACTCAAGGTTATCCTGCATATTGTCACGTAAGCTCTATGGCTCGGACCCTATGGGTAGAGATGCATGACACATGATCAATAGGGGACGGGCCGCCGAGATCGATGGATCTGGCGGCGTCCACACCATCAACAGGGCCGCCGAGAGGTTGTAAACCGCGTGAATCAAAAACCCAATGTTAATGCAAGATAGCCCAGCCATACCGCATGTTGTCACATGAATGAATCCTGCGACTATAGTACCCGGTCCCTGGGGGTAAATGTCGGGAGCACGTGGTCGGTAGGAGCCACGACAACTTCACGGCAGCAGTAAAGAAGTCCTTTCACGCGGGTTGAGTCAGTCCATTGGACCATCTAGGCCATCATTCACATATGAAGATCTGAGTTGTGACTGACTAGCTTCCATTTGAAACGTCCGTCATGAATTCATACCGCGTGCGCTGCATTCATGACTGGACATTACCTTCACCTCGACGGGTAAATGCTCCCGATACAAAATTCCGAGCCTTCTTGACTACTAAGCAACAGAAAATCAAGAATGCATCCAAAGGGGCTAGGAAAGGCACAAATCTTTCTTCTTTGGCAACTTGACTGCCAGGAAACGCGGTAAGTGATTCACTCGTGAGGCAGTCTGGTCGTGCGGTACGACTGCGACTGCGACTGAACCTTCAACCAAGGTCTGCGTCGCGCGCTGCTTCAGCGCTATCGGCGAGCCATATTATTCTTACCTTCAGACAGGATCTCCTGATCAGAACCAGCAATCTTCCTCTCCCCAGACAAAAAACAGGTTATCAAACTGAAGAGTAAACACGTTCACTGCTGTGGTCGTGCGCCGTCATCGCCCTGGCAAGGCCGTCGGTACCTCGGTGACTCCTTTTTCTAACGCGGCGAAAAGAATCTTTTCCGCGCGCCCAACCCAGCCAAAAAGAAAAGAGGTCCAGAATACTGCTCGCAATGGCGCGACGAAATCGACATCGGAAGAACCAGATTTCGATGGAGTCTCAACCATGGTCCGACATCACCAACAATAGCGGTCTGCAAGGCAACCGGTCTTTTTTTGACAAGAGTCAACAAGTTGTATTATTCCCATCACATACCGCATCCATCACTTGGAAGAGTGACTGGCTCAGGGGAAAGGAAGAGTATGAGAGAGTCAGACAGCGTGTTCGACATTTTGCGCCAGCATTGTTCAAAGCAGACCCAAGACCTGATGTGGATCCTGCAGAAGTCTTTCCTCAGGATGCGTCAGAGTGGATCGAGCACAAGAAAGGGTACTTGGCGTTCATGGAAGCAGAGAAGCGTGAAGACATCGAGAACATGAAGGCTCGAATCACTGCCATGGAGAAGATACCACCCGCTCAGAGAAAGGTAATGCTAGCATTTTCCGGCAAGGTCTTCAAGGATGGCCTCAGCCTGGTGGTAGCACTTCCCACAGTCTGGTCTGTCAATTACAGTGGTCTTGGTAGAGGTATGTCCAATTGGCCGAGTCGAGGTGAAATGCAATGGAATGGAGATAGTCGCCAGAATGGTTCTGCGAAGACCAAATGCGGAAGATTCCTCCCACCCCCACGAGTCCCAACCACAGGCACATTACAAGAGCAATCCTTCATGAGACCATGGTTTTTGGATGAGACTGGACCGATTCGTAGCACAGGACCCCAGCCAGACGAAATTCGATACCAAAATGCACTCATGGACAATGATCCAGAGTTCGAGGCGACGGGCGCTGCTTTGATAGGATCTGATCTCATATCCGAAATTGGCGAATGGAGAGAACCATATATTCTTGTGCATCAACACGAGGAGCTCCAACCAATGGCTGAGAATCCAGAAATGCAATACCGCTATGTGGAGCAAGGCATGGCACCAGGACTGCAGTACGAAGCTCTATACAACATGCCTGTGCAGTACCAATACTGGGGTGGTGGGCAGGAGCAGGCTGGCACGTATGGTGATGGAGCGAGCTGGTATTGATTGCAGAGTATTTCACCAACGACCTGGCGGGAAGGCAGTGTACAACGTTATGAGACTATAAAGATCTCAATACCTTTTTGGAGTGAATGCTGGCGGTGGCTAGAGCTTCACTGGAATTCTTTGTGCTGTGAGAGTATAGCTGGGATGGTTGGACACGTGGTGTGGGAGGGAGAGTCAACTTGCTTGGACAAGGACACATGCAGGATTACGCATCGCTCGGAGGCGTTGGGCAACTGACAAAGGGATACCACTTACTTGGCTACTGCGAACGGCACCTGGGAGGGCTACATGGGCGTAGACAATGAATCAATGAACAGCAATGGTGACATGAGTATTCGCATGGTCGTGCAAAGGAAGAAGGAGCTGACTTTCTGAAGGGGGGACAAACAGGGAGTGGGCACGTGACACAGCATTTGGCCGTCCTTCGGCTAACCTACCTCACTTTTGCCACTAGCCACTAATGTGTTACTAGCGTTCCAAATTAACCATTAGCAGAGTCCTTCCCTACCCGGCCTAATTTCCCTGATGGGTGCCTGCTCCTCTCCATCAGAGATAGAGTCAGACTTACATGCATACAAGTACATAGCCGACGTCAGCAAGATACTGGAGACGTGCGATTGTTGCACCAGCGAACACGCAGACCCAATGTTTCAGAAACACACGCAGCGATCAGCGATCCGGGGTGCCATGGCGCATGCATTTGAATTTGCTGCACGGTGCCGACTCGTGATTTGACGCCGTGCAGTTCCTCCTCATTAATCCAAGCCACCCCATACTCGGTGCCATCCCAAAATGCGGAGGTAGTTGCTACCAAGGTACCTCGGCTACCGTTATGATATGATGCAGACAGCCACTGTAGGTCCTCCTGTCTGACATAGTCCATGGCCGTCAGTAAGCTCAATCGGTCCTCCTTGAAATGCGCTGGCTGTTGTCAATGTCTTGAAACTCCATCTCTTCGACTCTGAACATGTCACGTACGTACAAAGGCAACAAAACCCCTCCTGTTGTTCCCGCTGCTAACTCGTCTCTCCTCAGTCGCAACAGCCGTAGCCACCTTCGCGGGCGGCCTCGCGGCCGCCGCATATCTGGACGGCAAGTTCCTGATTCGCCATGATTTGAAAGCTGCATCGCTGCCAAAACCAAAGAATGCAATCAAGTTCGTCACTAAACGATTCATGGAGGGCAAGCCGCTTCTTTACCATGTTTTCAAAGAACACGCCGAAGGTCCCAATGCGGATATCTTGTTCTTGATCTTTGAGGATCGTTCATGGACTTACAAGCAATTCTTCGAGGGCATCCACCGAGTTGGCAATTGGCTGATGAATGACCTTGGTGTCAAGCCCGAGGAAATAGTTGCTCTCGATGGTGGCAATAGCCCGGAGTATCTCCTCCTCTGGTTTGGTCTCGAGTCTATCCGGGCTGTTCCTGCCTACATCAACTGCAACCTGACTGCTGGTCCGCTCACACATAGCGTCAAGCTTTGCGATGCAAGGTACCTCCTCGCAGACAAAGCCACGCAAGGCCTCGTCGCACCATGCGAGGCCGACCTCAAAGCTGCCAATGTCAGGATCATCTATTACGATGACCAATTCATCTCTGCTCTGTCTGACACAACCCCAATTCCTCCCTCTCGGCAGAAAGGTGTCCGCCCAGACGAAGTAGGAGGCTTGATCTATACTTCTGGCACGACTGGAATGCCGAAAGGTGTCATTATGGGACGTGCTCGAGAACTCACCACCGCTTGGGGCGTGTCCACCTACTTGGGGCTCAAACCGGGTAATCGAATGTATACCGCCCTACCTCTTTACCACGGCGCCGGACACGGGCTGTGTGTGACGCCATCGATCTGGGCTGGCTCAACAGTCGTCCTCTCCCGCAAATTCAGCCATAAGACCTTTTGGCCTGAAGTCCGCAAGTCCCGCGCTGATATCCTCCAATACGTCGGAGAGCTATGTCGATACCTTGTCAACGCTCCCCCGTCTCCCGAAGACAAAAACCACAACGTCAAAGTAGCATGGGGGAACGGCATGCGCCCAGACGTATGGGAAGTCTTCCGCAACCGCTTCGGCATTGACACGATCAACGAGCTCTATGCCGCAACCGACGGCCTCGGCTCCAGCTTCAACGCGAACCGCGGTGAGTTCGGCCGCAACGCCATCGCCGTGCGCGGCCTCCTCTGGCGCCTGATGAACAACGAGATCGAGAAGCGTGTCCGCATTGACATCGACACGCAGGAAATCCTGCGCGACTCTAACGGCTTCGCCATCGAATGCACCACCGACGAACCAGGCGAGGTCCTGCACCTCATCCCGGACCCGGCCGCCGCTGAACAAATGTTCCGCGGCTACTATAACAACCGCGACGCGGGATCGAAGCGTTTCATCCGGAGCGTCTTCGCTAAGGACGATATGTGGTTCCGCTCCGGGGACATGATGCGGCAAGACCGCGACGGGCGCGTGTACTTCGTCGACCGGCTCGGCGACACGTTCCGCTGGCGCAGCGAGAACGTATCGACCAACGAGGTTGGCGATGTCATGGGCGACTTCGACCAGATCGCCGAAGCGAACGTCTATGGCGTCCAGGTCCCGCACGCGGACGGCCGCGCCGGCTGCGCCGCCGTCGTCCCTGTTGATGGTGTCACCGCCGACACGCTCGATCTCGTCCGCCTCGCGGAGCACGCCATCGCGACACTGCCCCGCTACGCCGTCCCGATCTTCGTTCGCGTCGTGCCCCAGCTCGAGTATACCGGCACGATGAAGCTCCAGAAGGGCCGGCTCCGCAGTGAGGGCATCGATATCCAGAAGATCCAGGTGTCCAGCCCAGAAGATCGTGTCTACTGGCTACCTCCCGGCGCCAAGCAATACGTACCCTATGGCCCGGCTGAGTGGGAGGATGTCAAGTCTGGGCGCGTCAAGCTTTGAACCTGTAGAGAGGATAGATGGAATTTCTAGACTGGGCGGGGTGGAAGGAGGTGACTCGGGAATTGGTTTCGAAGGGCTGGGTGTGCAAATCTCGCTGCCTCCAACATGATGCATCCTGGTCTCAAGGGTGGGTCGAGGAGAAACAGCATTTTGAAAGGGGGTGCGAAGGTCAATCAGATTTTCCAATGCGACAAGATGTGGGAGCAGAGACAAGGCACTCCTGTGGTGATCATTGCTTACATCATTAAGAAAACACGATACATCACGAGAATCTAGGCCACGACAGCGACATCAGTCTAAGAAGAATCCCTGTAAGAGTCAAGGAAGTACGATCTACTAGATGCAAGGTTGTTATTTGTAATGAACTTGTATTCATGTGGTATTTGCCTCATGGGATCATATATGGATTCTTCTCTCGCCTAGTCTCACATCCCATGCTCCCTTTTCTGCACTGTCATGCATCGAGAGAAGGTGCAAGAGCTATGATGGAGATAGGCCAGCCATGGCAGCTGAATGTCAGAGCAATTCTGGATGTCCATTAGGCAATCTCCGGACTACTCTCGTAGAACATCATCTCCAGAACGAAAGGGTATCGTGTCTAGACTCCACTCAGTGCGCGATAAGCCCTGACACAACCGCTAGGGCTCCCGTCCGTCACACCTCGACCAAGCTCATACCTCTCCGCGTCCCGACGATATCTATAGATTCTCCACGGGCGCACAATGGCTGCGCCCTCATTTGAGCTGAGTTGGAAGAAAACAGGGAGTCGAAAAGGCAGACGCCAGCCGAGCTAGAAATCAAGAGCCAAGGTCAGAATCCCACACCACCGCTATGCTAAATCAATTGAGTCGAGCAACACCAGGATTACACCTTTTCTTGCATCATTGGTAGAACCACGGGATGGCTCATTTGCCGTACATTCATACATTTCGATATTGGAAGCTCGCTCCACGGGGGATGGCAATGGAGCAGATTGGAGATAAGACATGGTCATGAAAGGGACACCGTGTATCTGAGAAAGCCATGGGTTAGGTACAGCGCGGAGAGGTCTCAAAAGTAAAGGACTTAATCAAGCGCGCGCTTGAGGTCATTCCATTTCTGCTTGAGCGTCTCATGGTCGACATTGAGCTGATCATCATGGTTAGTAACTGACGAGGACAGGGATTGCTGGGAGTGCTAACCTCAGCATACTTTAACTTTATTTCCACCAGCTCGCGCTCCATTTCGGCCATTTGCTCCTCCATATGTCGGTTTTCGTTCTGTACTTCGATGTTTCGTTGCATGACTTGCTCGGTGGTGGCTCTCATCCGTTCCTCAACATTTGCAGCTTCACTTTCAGCCACTTTTCGGAGTTCTTCTACTTGACCTGTGAGACTCTCATTTCGGTCTTGAAATTCTGTGTTCTCGACTTTCAATCGCACAAGCTCATTCGCGAGCCCGATGTGTTCAGCATCAGACTTTTCAGCACGTTGCTCCAAGGATCGGATCTGTGAGGCCTTGGTGGCGCAGTCGGTCCTGAGATTCTCCAATTCGGTCTCTCGAGCCTTTTCAGCCTTTGTAGTTGTTTCGTATTCATCACGATAGCGGTTCAGCATTTCCGGTGTGAGTTTGACGGCACATGCATCTTGAACAAGTAGGTCCGCCCGGTAAACCTCTGTATCTGAGCCACCAGAACTTCCAAAGAAGCCAGATTCAAGTAACGACTTTGATGATGGTGTTGCATCAATGTAGACGTCGAACAACTTTTCTTTCAAGAAATTGGTCAACGCCTGCATATCATTCATGGCCAACAGGGTTTGTACATTGCGTTGGACGACTGCCATGCCGAATTTTAGGATAGCCCCTTCAAGACCCTCGCAAAGGACCAGATCAAAGACACGCATCACGAGTTGCAAGGGAAAGCGGTAGGCGAATAAGGTCAGGAACCACTGCGTCGCATACAGCTTTGGTGTGACACTTCGTCGATTCAGGTGGCAGTAAAGTGCAGGCTCAAGGTCCTCCAGAAGTCGCTCAAATTGGTACAGATGTAAGTGCAACCCAGGCATATCCTGTATAAAGAGGTCGCGCACTTGGTATTTGTTCATCAACCGAACCAAAAGACAAAAGGCTTCTTCCTCTGGCATGGTGAACAACAGGGGCATGATGATGAAGTTCATGCCTTGCGGGTATCCGACAGCATCGTCAAAGAGCGCATAGGCACGACAGACATGGAACAATCCGTCTTGCAAACCAGCAGCGGCAGCATATTTGGAGTAACTCGTTCTCGAGCCCATATCTCGCTTGATGACTTTTTCCAGCTTGACAAGGGCGGCCGAATCCTCCTTGGCCTTTTTAGCCCTTTCCGTGGCTAGGTCTGCTTGTAACTTGGCACTGCTAAGAGGGTCCGTGGCCTCCTGGGACGGAGACGGAGACGCAATACCAACGTTGGTACTTGTGGCTGGGGTTGAATGGTCTGAGCGAACTGAGGATCGGGAAGATCCTACCGAGTCTTTCTCCTTGGCGCTGCCATTCACTGTGCCGTTCAACAGAGGAGACTTTGGAGGAGCATCTTTCACTTCTTGGTTGGCGTCTCGCGAACGAAGGTCCCAGTATACTGCCTCGAGATCTTCGTTCTTGCTTCCAGCGAGAACTTGCCAGATAACATGACGAATAGTCTGAGGAATGCCACCACTAATGGCTTGGGTAAACGCCTCTGGGCTCGTTCGAGCAACGGCTTGGGGGCCCTCATTGACGACGTTTTGCCAGAAGTCCCAGTCTATTGGAGTTGTTGTGTCGGCGGGAGCAGCGGCGACCCCTGACACGGTGCCTGGGGGGAGATTCGGGTTCACAGGAACAATTTCAGTGATGGGAGAAGTTGGAGACAAGACCGGGGTAGAGACCACGTTTTCGTCCTGTCCGACGCTTCCAGGAGTTGCAATACCAACCCCAAGGCTGGCGGAACGGCCAACTAGGCCAGCCAGTGCACCTCCTTCTCCTTTCTCGGGGCCATCTAGGCTGACGACTCCCGCCTCTTCTCTCAACCGCAACATCTTGAATTGCTCTCGCAAGGATGCTCGTGAAGAGTGTCTCTGACCGCTGGATCCATCTTGAGTGTCTTCAAAGGCCTTTAGTGTGAGATCGGGATTACTTCCGACGGTGGAGGCAGATGCGGCGGTATTGCGTCTGGTATCCAGAGCATTTCTTGATGGCAGGGAAGGTGACTTCATGTCTTTTGAAGTGGCAGTCGTCGCGCGGCTCAACCAGCCAAATGGCGTGGTCACTTTGCGGCCGAAGGAAGAGGCCTGGCTCGGTTGTGCAGGCTGGGGAGGTTGCGGGGACGTAGCTCTAGGTTCTGGAGATTTCTTGGGAGGAGGGGGTGGTCCCCATGGGACAGAGGGTAATGAAGCAGAGAAGCCTTGGAATCTGGATGGACGAGGAGGCTTCACGGGAGGCTGATTGTCGGGGGGTGGTTCAGTTGCTATAACTGCAGGTATTCGCTGGTCGCTGGTGGGGCGACTGGCAGTGGCCTCGTCAGGGACTGGAGAGTCAGAGGAAGGCTCTGATTTGGGATGGTCTGAACTAGCGTTGCTGTTCCTGATGTCGGGACGGGATTTCTCATCATTGTCGGGCGGAGTAGCATCGGTAGTGGTTTGAGAGCCAGACGAGGGCTGAGCATCATGAGAAGAATCTCGCCTGGATTGATCGTTACGTTCATTGGCATCCTCAAACTTCTGGCTACTGTCAGATGGGTCCTCCAAGGGAGATGTTGCAGGAGACTGTACGTCTTCTCTATCTGTATTGTCCGCACTTGACTGAACGGTTTCCATTGTGGTCATGTGTTGCCTAGCAGGCAGCGTCTAACATGACAGCATGAACAGGATGTAGATCGAGTGGGTATGTTTGCAAACGCGATGATAGAATAGACCGGCACAGTAGAGGAGGATGTGGGTGATGGTAAGGAGCAATGGGGACAGCAGGCTCAAGGTTGAAGCCGGCCAGGAACCAGGAGGGTGTGGGAGAGAGCGTGAGTCAGCTGTTGAGAGAGGAACTGATACAGGTGAGTGAGGGGCTTCTGATGATAGTGAAGAACGTAGGTTGTTCGTGGAGTGTGGTGCAGTACAAAGGCAATGGATTGATTGTTGAAGGTTGATACTGTGGATTTGGTTTATTTGGCAGCACGAGGACTCAACAATGCGTCCTGCAAGTTTGAGGATCGGGATGGCGTTGCTGGTGTTGAAATCCAATGGGCGCAGGCACTTTTTTTGCCGGGATGACGATTGACATTAACAGGCAACTAAAACCCACTAATTGTTTAGTTGGAAAGGTTAAGCAGCCAGTTAGTAGCTCCTGGGCAATTGTCCCTGTGGATAGCTCACAAAACCTGCGTTTAGTTTCCTCTTGAGCCTTAGCTCAGCTGCCTAGCAAATTTAGGTAGGTGCTAGTCACTAAAGTTAGACGGGGAGGAGGTCAGCAGGCTTGCCCAACACGCGGCTTGAAGGCAGGTGCGCGCGCTATTCGTGTTTTATTTTCACGCGTTGGATTTGGTGGCTCGAGGCGTGGAAGAGAAGATCTCGTGTAACACAAGAATACAGGCAAATCGTGTCTTGACCTACGAGGAGTAGACTAGTAATACAATGTCTCGTACCTCGTGCTGTAGCAGCTGTCAAGCCAGTGTCAGCTTCAGGGATATCCTCTGACTAGCACCGCCCCAAATAGTCCAGGCTTCGTGGTCGACCCTGAATCGACCCCGTTATGCTCCCCTGTGAGGGAGCCTGACCCCTGTGACACTCCCGCTCCCGCTCGCCCATCGGCCGCCCACTAATACAGAGTACAACACTCAGGTTGAACGGTGTCCAGACTTACGAGTACATATGTTGAACGACCTCCTTTAATGGGACCAGCAACCCGTTTCATAATTACCTGACATGCCAGCTGCAGTCGTCATCTCATCTCTGAAAAAGGCAATTCTTCATTTCCATTCCTGATTGGCGTCATTCGGCGGTTTTCTTCAGCCTCTGCTCCAAATCCAGCCAGCGCCCTTTCCGGAGCGGATCCAGCTTTTGCAATTCGACAAGCCACTCTGACATGTTGCTTTGTTCGCCCTGTGCCAGCCCGCCTTTCACTTTGGATTCGATCACAGTGCTCTCAATCAACGCCAGGTACGCCCATTTACAGTCCTGTGCGTCTTCCAGCACCTCCTCTATGTATGCTCGTTCCGCCGCGATATACTCCAACCGCTCTCCATCTGTCAGGTTAGGTGCCATGCTTTTCATCGACTGTTCAGGGTCAAACGTGCACATCAAGTTCTGATGATAGAACCATAGCGATTGATCGTACGGGTCAAATAATGCTTTGTGAATCAACTCGAGCTCTGCTCCATTTCAGCCTGTACTCAACCCGATATCTCTCCTGCTATGCGTACCTTCATCGAGCATCTTTTGTCTTTCATCATCGCTTGCCTTTTCCTCATCCAGAACTCTCAAGATGAGCTTGATTCGGTTGTGCCATGCCGAAAAATTCGAGAGGTTCGTCCCAATCATCTTCTTTGTGTAGTCAAGCTCAGCCCGGACCATACTTTCCCCTTGCAAGGCTGGACTTTCAAGGCTCTGGATCACTGTTCGACGATATGCCCAACCATGAAAATTTCGATTGTCTCTGCTCAACATCTTCCCAACCAACCCGAGCTCCTCCTCCCATAGTTTGCGAGATGTTGCAGCAGGTAGGAGACCAGTCGACCGCTCTAGAAGCCACAGCCTATGGTTCCAGATCCAATAACATTTGGGGTATTTGACCAGGAGCGGGAACAGGAATTGCAGATCCAGCTGAATGATATCCAAAATCTCACTGTTGCAGTCTTCATTGCTCTTCTCCCCTGACACGACGGCTTGACTCAATTCTTGGAATTCTTGCACGTAGATGCGGCGTCGATGATTCCACACAGTGTAATATTCCGGGTTCTTTTTGAGTAATTCGGCTGTTTTCTGGAGTAGTTCGGGCGTGAACTCACTCGCTTCGATCTTTCAAGGACTTTCAGAATCACCACGTAATGGGTCTGTTGAGCCGCACAAACCTTTTGGTTCACCTCCTCCACGAGGTGCTGGTACTGTTGGATCTCTTTGAGTTCTTTTTGGAGTGCGTCGGCTGTACGCTCGCGATGGATGGCACTTCGTGGTACGTCGTGCTAAGAGTTTCTGTCAATACTATTCTCCAGAGGAAGATAGACAATGTAGATTTCATACACTCGCCATGGAACGGACTCGAGCAGAATTAACTCCTTGTCCCGTCGATTGGGCAGTTGCGAGGCTTGCAATCAGTTGGTGGTGTTGGTACGAGCGAGCATGGCAAGTGTACGTCGAACTCGGGGTTGATCCTTCCTCATTTAAATATTCTCCCGATCCGTCTAGGCAACACACCTGCCCAGCTAGAAAACCACCTTCATATTATTATTATTCTTCAAACTATATTCACTCACCCCTTACCAGCTCACGACAAGTGATGGCTTGTCACTAACATTCATACAGCTGTATATTATCATCCGGCCTCAGGCTCTCCACACTGCCTCCATCGGCTTTGCACGTTCGGCCTTCCGGCGTTGGAGACTACATTGGCCGGCTCCTCATGCGATTGTAATCGAGCCTGCCTTGATAGAACGCAGGAGTGGCACAGAACATTCAACTCCCTTTGTACCGCTCCCTCAGCTACCATAAGTGACAAGTTGGAGCGTCAAAGACCTTGGTCGACAACTCAAAGTCAGCTCCCATGGGAGTCTCGAAGGACTCAGTTCAATCTTTCGATTCGGTCTCAGTATCATCATCTAGTTCGGCAAGCGATGCTCTGATCCAAGATCAGAGGCAGATCAGGGTGCACCTCACACCCGACGATCAGGACCCAGATGGGGCAATAAAGGAACATCCATCTCCGCCCACCCTGCCTCAACATCCAGCACCATCATGGTTGCTATTGGATATCCTCCCAGTTCCGCGGCGTGGCACCAATACAACTCGACTTTAGGAGAGAAGAAGAAGCGTAAGCGCTGGTAGTGTCTTCCAAGCTAGGGCTCACTTCGCCTCTCCTGATCGTTTCATTTCTCCCAGACCGCTTCTCGTGGAAAAAAGATCATCCTACCAGACGAGCCGTCCGCCAGCCTTGCTTCAAGGACGTGAAAGATACCACAGGCAGCGCGACAACACTTTGAGTCCTTTCCGATCAATCAGTGAGACGAGGTCTACCGATTTAGTGCGGCAGAGACAATATCCCAATGCCTATCACCTTCGACCACCGCAGTATACCCCATCGTTTGTTCATGGGACAGACGCAACGCCAGCACATGTAGAGACGCGACATAGTACAGGACCCCTACGTCAGATAAGCAGCGGGTTCTGGACGGTTGGTGGCAGGTCTTCCGTTCAAGTAGGTCAATTGCCAGGTATTCTCTCCGCCTCTGGTGAACTACTTGTTAGTGGAGCAACTGCTCCTCTTCATACTGCCAATTTCCTGAACGAACCAACGTTCGAGGACAAGATCATTGACCATGAGCGGCGGCTTGCTCTTGCCCTTGAGATTGACCAGGCCAATCGAATTCTTCCGCAGCCTTCAATGGAAGGTGGAAAGATCGACAAATTTATCCCGAACCACAATCAATACGTTTGGAGGGATAGCATGTGGACGAGGGCGTCGCCCGCACATGGTAAGTTGTCACTGCTAACATGGTGTTCGTTGGCTGATTCAAGAGGAAAGATTCATCAATAAAGAGTGAAAACGAAACCCGGCGTGAAAAGGCGGTACCAGCAGTTCCATTCCGGGTGTTGGATGCCCCAAATCTAAAGGATGACTACTATTGTTCAATTCTTGCATACAGCCACACTTGCCACACGCTGGCCGTCGCTTTGACACAAAAGGTCTACCTGTGGACGGAGAAATATAGTGTTCGATATCCTCCACTATCTCCTGCCCGTGCCACCAATTTTGTGACATCTCTGGCATTTTCTTCTGAAGAAGGCGGCAAGGCTATCCTTGCAGTGGCTAGGAATAATGGCACTGTCACACTTTGGAGCTTGCTGGAGCCACGCCCACGATTCGAAGCTCCCCATCACAGTCCGGCATCTTGTGTGGCGTTCCGACCCACTATCACCTGGCGAAGGTCGGCAACCTATGATGCCACAGTCATTTGCGAAGACTTACTGGTGGGAGATGATGTTGGCAAGGTTTACTATTACTCCCTTGAGTGGTCTGATCATTGGCAAGGGTCGATGACGCTTCTTGCCAAAATCGACGCGCACAGCCAAAATGTTTGTGGTATGGCATGGTCGCCAGATGGCAATGCTTTTGTCTCTGGAGGTAATGACAATCGAGCACTTCTGTTTGACGCCGACTTAGTGCTGCAAGCTCAAGATACTGAAGGGCCTCTCGCAAATGTATCTGCCAATCCTCCGCAGAATTCAGGTATGATGCCTCCAGCAACGCCTATTGCATCACCTGATCGTGGCATTCCTCCTGGAAATGTAGAATGGATGGAACAACAGGCGCAGACAAACCGAATGCAAGACACGCTCTGGGCAACTCCACCTCCGACACCCTTGAGGGGTCGAACTCCTACTCGGGCCCCACATCTTGAGGGACATGAACCTGGCTCCGACCGGAACAGGCCTTTGCTGCGCAATGAGCTTGGAAATCCAGCTATTCCCGGCTTGTCAGATGTTCATATTTATTCTTTCTATCATGCGGCAGCCGTGAAAGCCATTGCATTTGCTCCTTGGCAGCCGACACTGCTGGCAACTGGGGGTGGAAGTAATGATCGTCAAATTCACTTCTTCCATGCTGGATCCGGAGCAACTCTGGCTCTAATTAACGTCTTTTCACAGGTTACCAGTTTGGTTTAGAGCACCACCAGACGTGAGATTGTGGCGACCTTTGGGTATTCGCAACCTGAGCATGAGATTCGAATTGCTGTTTTTAGATGGCCGAGTTGTGAGTGTGTGGTCAGTATTCCATGGGACAGGAAGCAAAATGGCGAGATCGGTCGGGCTCTATGGGCGATACCGTATCCTGGAGGTCCGAACGACGCTCTCCCGACCAGGAGACAGAGTGAGGCGGATGGCTTCGCTGCGTAGGAAGCGGTTCGGATCCGGGAAGCAGCTCGAACTGGTGAAAATGGACAAGTGGCACAGACAACTCCGCCGGACATTCGACGAAGTGATTCTCCCACCGCCAATGTGACGAGAACTCGGAGCCCGATCCTGACACGCCTAACTCTGAGCTCTTGGTCGAGACTAAGGGACAATGCTCGCAGAGACCTAAGAGGCGAGGGTGAGACGTGGGCAAGCCGGACGGAGGACGAGGGTAGCTTGATCATCGCTTGCTGTGATCAGACAGTCAAATTCTTTGAGATCTGGGCAGGCAAAAGTAGAGGTAAAGGCAAAGGGTTAGGAAATCGGCCTGGCGTGCTTGGTGGAAGCCGTGTTCTCGAGGGCTGGTGTGATTCTGTGGGCGTGGATGAAATCGGACTTGGAGAGGAGGTTATCAGGTAGACATGATAAGCAGACTAACTACGAATTCTGTATTACCCAGCATTATTATCGCCATGAGGGCGGCAAAAGCATCTATCATTCGTGCAAAGGTATGACGAGTGCCTTTTGTACTCGAAAGAGGGCCACTGAGCACATCACCCGGTTTTTTGTCCAATTACTATTGTAATTTATCATTGCTCTTTACGTACGTCGACTGTAACAATTCCAGCCAGTCATTCATGTAAGCATAATGCAATGCTAGCTGAGGCACAACATAAGCCGTGAGCATTTATTCAGCCGACTCCTCTTTTGGCGAATGGATCTAACAATGTTGACCGCCGATGCCACACAACAGCTATAACCGGGAAGCAGACAAAAACCCAATGCCCTGCTCGCTCAAGAGTCAAGGCTATGCCGTATCAAAATGCATCCATAGGATACGCCTGACTCTGTGCATTGCGAATCAGTGAATGGCAGTGAACGACAGTAAGACCGCAATGCTTCTTCCTCCATACCTTCAGTAAGGATATCGACCAGTGTGACAATGGTGGAGGAAACAATCCTTAGCTGTAGTGCCAGTGTGTCCAACTTGCTAAGAATGGAGTCGATGTTTCCTTTTTCCGCTTGCGCGAACAGTGAGTTGTTCTTTGTCAGAGCAATGGCGCTGTCGCGACGTATTTGAGCTTGAAGGCGTTTTCACACTGGTACCGGCTCGGTCTCGGTCCTGTAGCTCCTAGCTGGACCTCGAGCTCTTACTCTTCATTTGATCTTTGCTGGTCTTCGTGGCGGCGGGAGAACTTTGAAGTCTCCTCTGGTGCTTCGCTGGTTTCACGACTGGATCAGTGAAGGGTGCTGCGTCTCCCTTGTCCTCGTCCTCGATGTCTACATCTTCGTCTCCAGAAATGTGAATGTCGTCTTCATCCTCTGCGAACGAGATCGAGTCGTCGTTGATGAAGCTGTCCATCTCAGAATCTTCTTCGTCGTCTTCATCCTCTTCCTCGTCAGCGGAAGAGCCCTCGTCGGAAGACGATTCAGCGCCTTCATCACCCTCATCGTCGGGATCCGAGACCTCCGCCCCCGAGACCTCGGCCTCATTGTCTAGTAGACCATGGCTTTGCCCATTGATAACAAACCCTTCTTCATCTTCTTCATCCTCATCCTCGTCATCTGAATCGATATCACCGTTCTCCAGCGCCAGCGGTTCCTCAACGTCGCTAGACTCGTCACCCCCGATGAGGTCTTCGAGTCCCCGCTTCGTGGCCTTCGCTTGTCTTCTCCCATTGGCGAGCTTCTTCACCGGACGTGACACATCTTCGTCCAGATCGTCCCCACTGCTGCTGTCCCAGTTCTCGTCGCCCTCGATGTAGATCATGCCTGGCTCATCCTGACCGTCGCGTCTCGGCGGTCTTTGGGCAGCGAGGTGTTTGCGAAAACTTAGCTGCGCATCGAGCATGTCTAACTTTCCTTTCAAAAGGAGGAGGTCATCAAGTGTTCGGGACCGCTGGGTCAGGACCTGGTAGAGCGTCCTCACTTTTGCAGCGACGTCAGGTTGCGCAGCAATGGCACCGCCATGCGCGATGCAGGTCCACTGGACCCAAGTGATGAGGTGCCCGTATCGCCCGGGACGACTGGCCAGGCGCTCCGCGAGTTTGGACAGGAGAATACCTGCGAGTGAGCTGTCGAGACGTTGTATTGTGTTCTTGACGATGTTGATGTCGAGAGTGTGGAGGCACGCTTCCAGGAGATTTTGGTCGTTCGTTCGTAATGACTGTGTCAAGACCGTGCCCAGAGACATCCCCGAGGGAATGATTGGTACCCCATCCCTTCCGCTGATGGAGATCCGAGTATCTGGCAGTGTGAGGTTGTCGGCGATTGATATTGTATTGGGATGTTTCGAAGCAAGCAACTCGCCGAATGTCGGTTCTTCGGCAGTTGATTCGTGTTCAGACGCTGCACCGTCGTGCATCTCTTCATCCTCAGCCTCGAGGGCTTCACCCCTGTCGGCGTCCGCCATCTCTTCGTCTGATCCATCGCCAGAGTCCGCTTCGGAATTCATGTCCTTCACATCGACCTCGTCTGCCGAGTCTTCTTCATTGTCTTCCTCGCTGCTCGATATTTCTATGGCATCGGAATGGGGTCCTCCAGCAGTACCGTTGACAACGACCGCTCTTGATTCATCAACAAGTGACTTGCCCATATCCTTGACGCCGTTGAGGGTAGCAGTGTTGAGCGTTGATGCGCTGCTGACCTTGACGACCTGTTTCACACCATCGAAGAGAAGCTCTCCGTTTCCTTCATCTCGCCACCGGATCTTTTGAAAGCTGAGATCAACCCCACCTTCAGAAGAAACAAAGATCAAGTCTGGACCCTGCAAAGAGGCTGCGACTATGGGGACTTGATTTTCTTCGCTGCTAGTATTAACGAGTTGTACATGAGCTGAAGCCTTCTTTGCGAGGTTCTTCCTGCTGGATTTCAGATCCCCATTGAGCTGCTTGGCCACCTCGAACGGTTCAATGAATAACTCAACCTTGCCATCTTTTGTCACTGCCGATAGGATTTGTTGGGTAGACCCGGATGGGAAATCCTTGGAGCCATGAGAGAGCTCAACAGCGACCACTCCACTGCCAGCAACCAAGGTTCGGACCAGTCTCTTATGTGGGATATCATAGATGTTTATGTATCGTTCTGTGTCTGCGGCGAGAAAGTATTCGGTGAGTTCTGTGGGACGATCTTCCGATCGCACTAAAGAATGGATGTTATTTTTGAAGGAGTCGTATCTATCAAGATGAAAGTCTTGAAGAGACCCAAGTGTGACGGCGAAAGGAGTGGATGATGCGCAAAGAATATGAGGAGGCTTGACCGAAGGTGTGGCCAGCACGGCTACAGCAGAGTCCGGAAGGGATATTGTCCTAGCATTGTACGGGTCAGTTTTGGTTCGCGGCTAGCAGCGAGGGTGAACAAACCTGGTTATCTGGGAGGTGGTGAGATCCCACTGTACCAACTTTCCATCTTCGCCGATGCTCCAGCCTTCCTTGTACTCTGAAGGAGAGAATTTGAAGTCCTTGATGCCTCTTTCATGAGCACCGGCTAGTGTGCCGACTATCTTGCCCTCGGCAGGCGAGAAGAAGCAGATCTCTGAGCTGCTGGTTCCATAGGCCACTACTGCAGCTTCACTTGAGTCCTGATGACGCTTGCGTTTCTTTTTTGAGGGAGTTTGTTTTTGTTCTTGGTAGGTCGTGCCGTAGTAGCCCCAATCAAGACTGGTAACCCTGGACCCAGGCCCGGAGTCGTGCTGGCACCTCAAGCGTCCAGTGGTGGTATCATGGATGCGGAGTTGATTCGAGTCGAAGCTCTGGACGACCGATGCAAACAGATGCAGTTGGAATTGCGACGGTGCGAAGGCAGACTTCAGCACTGACGATTTGTGCGTCGAGGCGGTCACTGACGGTGCCGCTGGCGCAGCAGCAGAGAAAACTTTTGGCCTCGCAGTAGAGGAAGATTTTCTGCTCATTTTTCAACAGGATTTTCAGGTCAACCAGGAGAGGGAAAAGTGGAATTATGGGAGTATCGATCTGCGACTAGGGCATTGTCTGGTATGTGTCGAGTCGAATGGGAACGTCCTACATTGACCAGCTGCCCAGCGACAATGATTTATTGCAAACCCACGGCCACTGGCAGAGAAAAAAAGTTCCAGTTGAACGGACTTGAGAAATATCCGACCTTACTAGACTCAGGCTAGCGTAGATTATACCCATTCTACCCACGGGCCACCACCGGCATCACTCAGAAGTCAGACCGTATGTCGCACCTAGCCTATTCTTTGGTTCTTCATCGTATCATTCAAGTTGTGTTGTGCACACAGATGGGGACGTGTTTGCTCTCTGAGCGTCTCGACTAAATTTTAACGATTGTGCATCTAACGTTGAGACTGGCTCCTGCATTGCGATCAACCTATGCAACAGCAGTCCTTTAACAGGGGAAGGCTCTGCTTCTACTGGTACCTGCGCCCTGAGCGCTACCCATAAAGGCACAGCCTTTGCTATTGATGGAATGCAAAGTTAATCAAGATCGTGAGACCTTACTGACGGCTTCCCCCTAGCAAACGACTAACGGTGAACGATTATGCTGTGCCTACAATTGTAAACCCCGGTAGGCATGCAGTCAGCCATTTCATATGCACTCAAAAGGGCAAAATCATCACCAGGCAGGATTTGATTCAGGCTGCGGCTCGACCGGTCAAGCCGGGAAGCCGCGGAGATTATTGCACGACGGCAGGACACAACCACGGATGGAAATGGGTTTATTGACACTGATCGTAGGCCTAACATCGATACAAATCTCGTGAGCCTGCAAGAAGTGTCAGGTCTGCCTGAGTTTGGCCTTGCTGCTCGATATCAAGAATGATCCTGCCTGCCACCCTGGATACTGGGGAAGGATGATGACTCATACAAGGAGTCCACGTGACCTGGAAGACTCTGGCGGGATTCGTCAGCGACGATCACGGGATCCCACGGGCGAAAATTGCAGATCGCGCACTCGAAAATTTGGATTGTTGGAGATGGGGATGGAGAAGAGCAAGGATGGAAGAAGATTATTTTATTATTCTGTTTCGCCGGGTCAGCCATCTGAAACAATATTCGGCTGCAGACGGTTGTTGTGGGCTGGACGCGAACAAAGGCGATATCCTGGGTGAGCAACCTGAATCTGGGAAACGAAAGTGTTAAGTGTTCAAAGGTGAGAAACAGGCGGCCGAGCACTCTTCTCTCCCTGGCTCTCTGTGTACTCGTACGTGTGTGTTCGTGCGGGAGGAGACCAGGAAGCCAGGAGGAAGAGGCAGAGGAAGACGAAGAGCAGGAGGACAAGGTGGAGGAATCAAGTGGCAGGGCCTCAAAGCTGAGTGGCGCACAGATGCAGCTTAGGCATGGTCTCTGCAATGTCTTGGCCGCACCTTGCTGGATGGGGCATGGACGGGGGCCACATGGGCCTATCAGACTGGCGAGTAGTGGCGCACGGAAAATGAAAATGGATCGGACGGACAGGGGTGAGGGCACGAAAAGGCATTAGGAGGGGAGGGTAATTGGTGGAAGTCTTTTTCTGGCTAGGCACTGATCCACGCAGGAGTCGGGAAGCGCTGTCCACCGAACCGAGGAAATATAAGTCAATTCGCGCCCCTCGATGTTTTTGCTGCTCCTGAAAGTATGAGTTGTGGTTGTGCAGCTGAAAGTCCTCGCTTCCTTCCCAAAACAACACACCGCCGACACGCCCACCCCCGACGCGCTCTCGGAACAACTTATCTCCTGCTCCTTCACCCACCTGCCAAGCCCCCTCGCGATTCGCATTGACGCGCTTCTCTTTCTCGACTATATCCTCTCTTTGCTTTCTCCAAACAGACCAAAACAAATAATTCCCGTCCAACCACCAACCACCGACTGCTTGGGCTTCATCACCCATTCCATCGCATTCATCCTCGCGCGCATCCCTTACTGTCGCGTCACGTTGCGGGCCTTGTCACACGCCGCTGTCTGTTGCTGCTGCCTCTTTTGGTGGTGCGACACTCGGCGCGACAGGTCTACATTGTCGCCGTCGCATTCAATTCAACCTTGCGTCCCCGACTTTCATCAAGGTCTTGGCACTTCTATCTTGGTCACATGACCTCTCAGTTTCTATCGACTGCCTCGCCTCTTCGCCACTCGCCGCCCATCTCTGCCATTACTTGACAACCCACCATCTCAAAAAGTCACTGCCTCTGTTGCCACTTCACTGTGTCAGCATCGCAAACTTTCCAAGCTTCGACTACTTATTCATCGAGGCCTCACCTTTCTTTCATTCCTTGATCAACACCCACTTCCTTGACCAAAGTTGACGCGCGCGTTTGTTTTCCCGTCCGTCTTTCCAAGCGCCACCTCTCGCCACGGTTCGCGCTTTGTAAAACAATATTCCTCTCTTAATAATTAATCCTCACCGCATCCACCGCTTTCGGCTGGCCCGACCTTCCGCCATCGCACAGTCCAGACTTGCCATCCCCGATTCTTGGCATCATGGACGTTGATATGCAACTAGAGGCTAATAGGTACCACACAACTTCTTTCCTACCCATCACTTCCACTCATCACATGATCTGACTTTCCTCAGCCTTCCTACACAATTTAGTTCAACCTCAGACCAGCCGCAAGAGCCTCATGTCGCCGAGAACCTGGCTGCATCCATCTCCAATTCCGAGGCCACTGTTAATCCACTGCCAACAAAGCTACCGATCACCGAGTCGTCACCTCAGAATGAGAAACCGTCGGCGGCCACAGATGCAACCCCGGTCGCTGTACCAGCATTGCCTCCTGAGGATGCTCCACCTGCCATCATCAATGGGATGACTAACGACACCGCTGAGGCAGTCGAGAACTTGAAGTCTATAAGCAGCGTGCCTGATTCTCAACCAACCTCATCTGCCAACAATTCGCTCCCTGCTCCGTCAACCACAACATCGATTGTCGACACCGTCCTCGCCGATTCTTTCTCCATCCCCTCTCCAGCTCCCGCTGAAACGCAGCCCTCTCTCGCCGCAGTTGAAACAAGCGATTCAGCCATGGATCTCTCTCAACCTACCGCGGCAGTTTCAGACCCCCCCGTCTCTGATCTGCGCACCCAGCCACACTCTGATGCGCTTTCGCCTGAAGCTGTCGCTGAAATCGAAACACAGAAGCATCAACTTGACAACTCAGTTGACGCCTCGGGCGCTCCTGCTAAATCTGAGATCTCAGAGAAAGCTCCTTCGACGGAGGGTACACAATCAGGGCCTGAGCCATCTGTCGACCAAGTCACTTTGACTGATATTGGTTTGCCATCTCCCACCCAGTCTCCTCCACCCGCCCCTCAACCGACACATGCAGAGTTGCCTGCTGACAAGCCTGCGGAAAATGCTGTAATGGAACCCGTTTTGCTGCCCGCGTTCGGTTCTGTACAGATTGCTGAAGCCGCTCCTCCTACTGAGTCTGCGCCTGCACTTGTGCCCGCGCCGGCGTCTGAACCAGGACCTACCCTGGGCTCTCTTCAGACTGAAGGACCGGCTGCACCATCGCCATCGCCAGCACCAGCACCTACTCCTGCACCCTCTAGGCAGATCGAGCTTGAAGATCAGATCATGACTGATGTGGTGGCTGCTCCTGCGAAGCAAGCCCGCGAGAGAGAGGACGATAGCGAAGAGCAAGGGCGTGCTGCCAAGCGCGTCAAAACTGACGAGCCGGATTCGAAAACTGAAGATTCTTCTTTCAAAGTCCCACACGTACCTGCTGTCACAGCGCAGTCGCCTCTGGCAAATGGCAACACTGCGGCCAACAAGGACATCGTCGATGCAGACGATTCTGTAACACCAGCTCGGCTAGCGCATATGAGGAAAGTAATATCCAATCTGAAGAAGAGCAATGCGTCTTCGGCATTCCGGCAACCCGTGGACTACATAGCCCTCAAAATCCCAAACTATCCTGAAGTTGTCAAACACCCTATGGACCTTAGCACGATTGATAATCGCCTCAAGCACAATAAATATACCTCGGTAACTGCTTTTATCCGCGATTTCGAACAGATTGTCACCAACTGCTTCCTCTTCAATGGCCTAGACCATGGAGTCTCTCAGCAAGCCAAGAAAATGCAGTCATCTTTCAACAGTCAAATGAATAATCTACCCAAAGCGACGGTTGAAGAACCGTCTAAGGAGAGCAAAAAAGCGGCCAAAAAGGCAGAGCCCACAAGATCAGCTCCACCACGTCGGCCATCCGTCTCTACATCTGGTCCTGGCATGACCACGGCCGCGTCTCCCAAGACTGCCGCGCCTCCGACACCCTCGTTTGCCCCTGGTCCTGATGGGATTCCCTTGATTCGCCGTGACTCAAGCTTGACAGACGGTCGTCCTAAGCGAGCCATTGTTCCGACAAAACGGAATCAAGATCTTGGTAGCGGTCGACCCAAGAAGAAGAAGTACGAGTTGCAACTCAGATTTTGCGATGAAGTCTTGAAGGAGATCTCGAACCCCAAGCATTGGCAAATGAACCAGTACTTCCTCTACCCTGTGGACCCAGTGGCGTTGAACATTCCTACATATTTCCAGATTGTCAAGAAGCCTATGGACCTGGGAACAATCAAGACTCAGTTGGCCAACAATGGCTACGAAAAAGCTAAGGACTTTGAGGAAGACGTTCGTCTCATTTTCAAGAACTGCTTCAAGTTCAATCCCGACGGAGATCTTGTCAATGCAGCTGGCCATCAACTGGAGGAGCTTTTCAACAAGAAGTGGGCGACCAAGGACGATTGGATTGCATCCCGTGAACCACAGTCAGAACCTCACACTGACGCCGATGAAGATGAGGAAGACGAGGAAGACAGTGATGATGAACCGGAGAACGAAAGCGAAGATGAGCGCAATGACAAGATCAAGCAACTCCAGAAACAAATTGAGATGATGTCGAAGCAGATGGGTGAGTTGACACAGAAGAAGTCCAAGAAATCCAAGTCACCACCCGTCAAGAAATCGAAATCGAAAGGTGGCAAGAAGGACAAGCAAGCGGCTGTAGCTCCTGGGGCCGGCAAGGACAAGAAAGAGAAGAAGAAGACTGCGCCCAAGTCGAAGCCCGAGAAAGACAGATATGTCACGTTCGCGGAAAAGCAATATATCAGCAACGGAATCGCCATGCTGCCTGAGAAACAGATGCAAGAAGCTCTGAAAATCATCCAGAACAGCGTTCCGTCTCTAGCAAACAGTGATCAGAACGAGATTGAGCTTGACATCGAGGATGTTCCCAACCATGCTCTTCTTAGGCTGCTCAACTTTGTCAAGAAATATGCCGGACCACCACCAGATGAGCCTAAAGCCGAGCGACCCGAAGTGTACAGTGCTCCTGCCGCGGCCAAGCACAAGAAGAGTAAACCTATGAGTAAGCATGAGCAAGAAGCGCAAATCGAAGAGTTGAAGGGCAAGTTGGGAGCATATGCTGGAGGAACGATGTCTCCAAGTGCTGTGCAATCTATTGAGGAAGGCGACAGCAGTGATGACGACGGGGATTCAGAGGAGAGCGAGGAAGAATAGGCTAAAGAGGAAGTTGTTTGACGCCGATCGCTGTTTGTATGGAGTATACTGCATCGCCTTGCTGCTATCATTGACAAAGTAGAACCAAATCTCGACATGACTCGGCCAATCAGAAGTTGCTGGACGGATCCATGACCTCTAAGCCCTAAATTTCTGAATACCGGAGGGAGCGAGCGAGATAACGAGAAAACCCGAAGTGTGAAAGGGTGTGCCATTGGCCCCATTGGCACGGCCTGAAATGAGAAAACATGAATACACACATTGATACATCTGTTGTATAAATTTTCCGCCGTAGATTACAGTTCCCATACTCTGTCTCTGTCTGCATTCTAGAACGACAGATACGGGACCAGGGATTCATCACGTCCAAGTCTCGGTCATCATTCCTAGCTTCTCCCCACGCATGCCTCGAGCTACAGGGGCACTGCTTGAGTAACACCAGACTTGTTGAGACAGATGCTTTCTCCAAGCGGTAAACACAGCTGACAATCATCAAGAATGATCCCACCACTCTCTACCATGACAGGAGACTCGAACCCATTGTTCGCGAAGGTATGGAGGCACGTCACAACTACGCTCTTGGATGCGGATGCTTCTTGGAAGAGCGAGAATGAGGCCCGCACACGCCCAGTTCACGGTTCAGAAGGTTGCAGCGCCCTCGAGACGGACAGCCATCATGATGTTGGCGGCGAGGTTGGACCGAAACCCAACGTCGAAAAGGCCACGTTTGAACAACAACTACGCGAAATCAGAATCGGGAGGATCAAACTCGAGCTCCTGAGGTCTACACTCCAGGATCTCCCATATCACCATGTGGAATTAAAGCCAGAAAGTCAGAATCTCACCTGCTTGGCTTCTCGACGGCATCCTACAATACTCGAGGACGAAACCATGAATGGAATGATATCCGACCATTCGACATTACCAGCGCCTGCAAAAGCTCAAGACCGGGACCAGCAGATTTCGTCGCACACGGGTGACCTCCTCGCCCTGATCACAGCCTACCTCAATCTCGGTGACGAAACGAATGGTACGAATCAATTGGCCTTCGAGGACGCAGAGCTCCTGGCCGATGAAATTAGCAGGTTCAAAACAGATATCACTGCCATCTCCTCCGCAGTCAGTACGCGGCTCCTGGCCCTCGAAAGCTCGCTCATAAGCCTAGCATCTCTAACAGCTGTCGAGAGCTCTTCGCCACCAGCACCAACCACACAACTGGTGTGCATCCAGGATTCCAATGGTCAGACAGGATCTCTCATCTCAACACTCACACCACAAACAACCCACCTCTCGCAGCTCCGCGGATCAGCACTTCCTAACTGTCTCGCCACACTGACGCAGAACCTGCACGCGATTCTCCGATCCCAGGCCCACCAACTCCAATCATCGCTCCTGCGGCTCGAGTCCTCCAAGCACGGCGTCCAGTCTCGACACGCACAGTCGCGTGCCGCGTTCCTGGCAACAGTGGCCGCTACAATGGACCTGAAGGCACAGGTGTTGGTGCTCGAGAAGCAGATAGTTGTTGACGCCGGCGGGCAAGAGACCCGAGAATGGGTGAAAATGAAGCTGGATGCGTTGACGGACCAAGAGAGCGGGCTTGAGGACCGGATCATGGAGTTGAGCGGTGTTCTGGCCGAGTATGAGGCGGTGGATCCAGAGTTGAGGGTCCTGAAGAGGCTGGGCGCCAGGTACCGCGAGGTCGAAGGCGAGATGGACCTAGTCAAGAGGGATATTGAGAGGTTGGAGAGGGAGGAAGAGAATGGGCGGTAGCCAGGCAAAGCCTGCTGAATTCCGGATCACGCAACGTCTAAGGACTCAGAAACAGGATTTGTGACAACGTACACCGCGTTGCAGGGAGACATTCTTCCATTCTATGTAGGTACGTAGGTATGTATGTTCATAGGCTATCTTTCCGCCCTGCCTGGAAAGTAACTAGTCATCGTCCAGGGGCGCATCGTTCAACTCATAACTCTCATAATTCGTAAGGCTTGCTCGGCCGTGGCCAAACCCGCTTGTACAGACTGACGCCGATTGCATCCATCGGGTTGATCTTTCCATCAAAGGTGGCCTTGAAGTAGCCGTGCGTGCCGAGCGGCTCCTTGATGAACCCCTGGCGGCCGCGCTTCGTCCACAGCGGCAGCGCCGCGAACCACTGTACATCCTCGCGGTTGAAAAACATATACCGCACCGTCACTAGTTTCTTGTGGATCTTGAATGGGGCGCCTGTTAAGACGATGCGCTTTGCGACGACGCGGTGGTGGGATGGAGGGATTGTCGTGGCGGTGCCGATTAGTTGGAGGGTAGGTGGAGAGATGGAGGCTGTCTGGTCGGTCATGGAATCGTTGAGCGCCGGTGCGGCGTCCTCGGATGGCGCTGGCCTGCGGAAAACAAGAACGGGAACGGATCCCCAGGTCAGTGGACCGGTGAAGGTTGCGATGGCCGTTCGGCCGGGATGGAGGAAGCGGTCGAACTTGTGTACATCGTTAGGCGTCTGGCCCGCTGCCGACAGGATAGGGTTGATAAGCAATCTCCTATGACCTATCTGGACCACGAGTTCGTCCTTGGATTTGAGCGGCGTGTCATAATCAGAATTGAGGGTCAAATTCAGGTTGATGACTGCATGTTTGTGTTCATGGCGGAGGAGAGAATACAACGAAGCGGGAGCAGGGGTTGATGCCAAAGAAAAAGGGACGTCCCGTAGTTCAATCTCAGCCTTTGTACCTGCGATGACTCCGCCACCGAAGGATTCCTTGAGAGCAGCACTAAAGGACTTTTTATAGTCGGCGATTTGGAGTAGGCGACTGTACTCAAGTGGCTGATAAGGGAGATCTTCGGCATGGTTCCACTCGCTGGTCCTCAGGCTCTTTAGTCCTCGATATTTTGCAAGCCTTTCCCGAGCCAACACATCTGGGTGTAGTTCGATCTCGTCGGGAAACTCGAGATCCTCTTCGGCCTCTTTCTTCCTGTTTGCTCGATACTCTTCCAGCTGTCTTGCTTCCTCCCCCTCATCCGCGTCGATATGCATTTCAGACTCAGGGTACTCTGACACACCGACTTCCGTCATTGCATCGGCAGCTCTTGTGACGACTCCGTCCTCTGGACCTAGGGCGTCGGTGTCCATAGAGACGTCTCCCTCAATGTCTTCATCAAGCATATCAGAGTCGGAATCAGAAACGTCGTCAAGAAACCATGCTGCCTGATAGTCAGAGGTACCTTTGGGCAGCCTCTTCGGTGCCGCGGGAATATGTGAGTTGTCATCAGAGAAGTAGTGATGATCGTCAAGTAGAACCCCCTTGTGATCGTTTGTGGCAACTGTGCTTGCAATATCATGCATATCAGCATGTTCAGGTGCCAACTCAGCAAGATCGTCCTGGTCTGCTGTTGGATTCCATTCTTTGGCCGACTCATTCAGGTCCATTTCATCAGCTTTTCGCTTTTGTCCCTGAATTGACTGCTGCTTGATGCTGTTGATCTGAAAGTCACCCCATCCAGGGACGTGTACCAGCCGGTCGGCATTCAGTCCCTTGCCGCGGATTGTGCCAGAAAGTGTTGCATTGCTCACACTCGATCCCTCAGCTTGTGGGGCCCACGATACATTCTCGATCAGCATCCAGCTCCTGTCATCCCTCCACCGTATTCCCTTTGTAGAGGCCGTGCAGATACTCCGGACGAGATTTGAGCGATCTGCTTTGCTGTCCAGGCTCGATATCTTGTCTAGGTTGGGGAAATAATGACTGAGTGCAATTTTCATATCGGTAAGGTGGCGGGACCTTTTCGCGGAAGGGATTTTGGCTTCCACGTCCCTCACAACAGCTGTGACGTTTGTGATGCCTTGTCCTTCGAGTGCTCGAAAAAAGATGTCTTCCTCTTCACCGTATGTTTGTTCTGCGTCAAGGACAAACACAACCCAGTCAGCAAGCTTGCACACGTCTAATGCATTCAAGAGATCGAACTTCGTAGGCAGGTAAAGCAGGTTTCGGCGGAATCGATCGACACGGACATGAACAACACCACCTGAAGCCCCGGCGCCAGGAACATCGACGCTCTCGTTCAAACTGTCTATGGTGGAGAAAACGTCGATAGTATCTGACAATGGGACAATGGCAACATGTTTGGCAGCACCGTCCACTCCTTGGAAGATATTCTCCTCGCGGTCTCTGGTTTCCTTCTTCTGTATGCGGTATTGCTTTGCTTGATTCCGTCGGGCCAGTTTGGACATGACTTGCTGGTGAGGCGTTTTCCTGTTCTCTGATCTTGGTTTCTCTACTTTCCCTAAACAATAGTCAGTTGTAGACCTTTGAAGAAGGAGCAGATTCCATGCCTTTCGCCTTGTCCTTGAGAGCACCCTTCGAGGCGAATCGCGTTTTGTATGGTTTATGGTCGACTTTTGTTGTGTTTCGGTGGTGATGAGCAGACCCTTGGATTGGCGCCATTGCTGGAGAGTTTCCAGAGCCTCCAGCCTTGAATCTGAAGGGCAATGACATCTCAATAGAGAAGATCGAATCCTGACAAAAAAGGTCGAGTTTCAAGTGGGATGTTTCCGAATATAGTTAGCGGTGTGAAATCTTGGCCGCTAATATAGGGTGGAGCATTGCTTATCTTTTAGTAAGGAGCTTCGGCGGATCACATGACAGCAATGGCTGTGAATCGGCTTGGCGCACTTAGTATGGGAGGTGTGCATGTGGCACTATCCAGTATCTGGTCGTATTGGTCGACTACATAGTTCCAAAAGGACCTGAAGAGTGATGCCTTTCACAGGCACTCCCGTTCTGCCGCAGTGCTTAGTGCTTTCGTTTTGCAGCCTATATTATCTATGTAAATTCCTGCAATATTATGGCAACTGTACTGTCTTGGTTTCAGAGACTGTCTTTCTATAGATGCATGTGATTCCCAATTTTGTCCTCCATTGGGCTGGGAAACTGTCCCTTCCCCCGAAGCTGGAGCTTGGGCGATGGAGGGCATGCCCGCGCGCAGAAATACTTCATCCCCGTAGCTCCCAAGTCCAGCGCCTCACGCGTTTTCGGTGCTTGGTTGAAGACCATTGCTTGCATCCTACTTCCACTTCCCGCAGCCGTGAGAACGGCTCAGTGAGAGCACATACTTCTTGATGGGTTGTTGGTCATGATGCGGTGATGGACACGCGAGTGGCTGATGTAGTGTACACGGACTGCTCTTCAGTTTCTCGCGCGTCAGTTCCGGCTTGCACAACACCTATAAAGGACTCTTCACCGGTCCCTGGGTTCTGAAGAGCTAGATGCCACGACATCAGCTGTGAGTGTGCTCAAATTTCGAATTCCGACTATCTTTCGAGATATTAAGCCGACAAGAGAGCGATCATTATAGATACACTGATCGCTATCAATGATAGTCGCACAGAGCTGACCGCGGTCGCAGTGCTTTCAGCCTGTACCACGACGATGGAGTCTTGTGCAACTGGCTTCAAGCAGCTTAAATGGAGCTCAGGCGTCTTGAACTTCGTGGTCGAGGTTGATGAGTAGAAGACCGACATAACTGGAGTGACCCCCCAGGCGAATGAGTTTACTGGAGCGGAGAAAGGTACAGTGGTGGTTCTTTGCGAGTCGACGAATTGGACCTTATACCCGTCATGGGATGTTGGATTGCATGTGGGATCAACCATGACCGGGGCAGCTAGTGACGATCCAGTGATGTCTAGAGTGGCATTCATGTTAGCTGAGCGAGGACCCCGGAAAGAAGATAAGGAAACGTCTCACCTTGTACTGAAATCGCTCCCCAAAATCCATTGTCGGTCAGGCTGCAACTAGATGGTGCGTTGTCGCGAAGTTGGACGGCTAGCTTTGAGCAGATGAAACTCGCATCGTCAGAAGCCAATATATCCGAGAGTGTTTCGTTCGCTTGCGACATCAAATCAGCAGCACATGAGTTGCCTAGGAGAACTTGACAAGTGCCAGCTTCAGATGGGGCGTACTCGTGACGATTGACCACATCTTTGAACACCAAGGCACAGCCTTTGACGCCCTCGACTCTGGCGAGATCAAGTGAAGCGGGCGTTCCCAGGTAGAGATTTCTTTCCAGATTATCGACTGACGAGTTTGTGGGCGAAACGTTGCTGGAGAAGGCTACTGTCCATGTGAGAGGATCGAGACTGATGGCACTGGTGATGTTGGCGGTCCCAATTGCTTCTGCCGTAACATTTGCGATAGGGCACGATGAAGTTGTACCATCGACCTGTGGACAACCGACAGCATCACAGCCTAGAAGCTGTGCTCTGATGACAGAGTTGAAGGCCAAGATGCTGCATATAGCTGTATGAAAGAGAGTATATCGGGTAGCCATCTGCGCCGTTACGAGCAGGTCGCGGCCTTCGTGTAGAGAACGTGCCAACCTTTGAAGTAGAGCTGAATGGGTGGTCCAGCCATTTTACCTGCCTGCTTAACCTGTCCGCCGGTCTTCATCCAACCCCGGGGAATGTTCTCCACTCAACCACATCTAGACTCTCAATATAGCTCTCCACAATGCCCTTACCTCAATGTAACTCCTCCTCTATTCTAGCCGCTTGCTCTGGAACTCGAGTCGGCCGTTGTCAGGCCACTCCGAAGGACACGCAATAGTGCTCTCGCCAATTGGGACCGGACACACCGTACCGGTGAGGGTATATGACTACATTAGCGTACACCTGACAGCCCAGGCATCGCCGGTTGAAACACAGAATACTATATTTGGGACAGAGAAGCGGGACAGAACGGGCGAATCGCATTGGCAGAGGGCGGCCGATGTGGGCGGGTGGAATCCACCAGCAGATCATGGGCGCTTAACCAACGGTTCGTATGGGAAAAGACGCCCAACGTCTGAAGGTGGCCAAAGCCGAGATCCACTGACGCTGTTTGCCGAGACAAGGCTGGGATGCATGTGAAGAATAGAATCGTTCTAGATGCGGCTTCCGAGCGTCCGACGCTCCATCATGGGGAGAGACATACGCAGTTATGGACCTTGGTAGAAATGAACATATTTCCCTCTCCGCCGCTACATCTTAGTCACCAGAAGTATCAATCTACGCAAATCTATCCAACGCCTTGCTTACCTCATTGCCGATGATTCATCGTAACACCGCCATCTTAGGTAAAGCTGTGTCCAGGTTGAGCAAGGTGATTTTCAGCCCACACATCCGGATTGAGGTGAGGGGGGTTTCTGGAAGTTCGCACATACAGGTGCGGAACGTCCTTGTCAGCAATAACACCATCGCGGCTTTCTACATGGCTTTGCGCTTACTCGACACACTCGCTGTACTACAGCCCATGCTGATGGCTCACATCCGTGGTCCTCCTAACCATCCTCTCTGTGTATGCATGTGCAACCCTGAATATACCCTTGGACAGAATCATTATAATCAGATCCTTATCATTTCAAGGCAGACGCGAGATACGAGAATAAGAGGAATGTAGCTTCGGCGCGCTATCTGAGCTGTGCGATTCCATGTTATCCGAATGGCGATATTACCACTGGAAATGTGGACAAGCAAAGGCGTTGAGGAGACGGATGATAAAGGAGGAAGGGGGTCTTGCTGCAAAAGCCTGGACGAGGGCACCTCCCCCCACTACCAAAGCCGTAGGAAGGTGAGAGTATTCAACATTGCAAAGGTTGTGTTACTGTCAACCAGCGTCCATGGGTGGAATCATCAGCAATAGTTCTTTCATGTACGCCGCTGCGACTGCCGCTGCATATGATTGCCAGATCTTGTTTTTATGCGAATCAGCATAGTCGGAGATTCCACGTATAACGAGACATGGGATACTCTCCATCAGCCCCGCTGCCTCCATCTCAACCACGCATATCATGCTTGAGTCCCTCTTTAGCTGATTTCGCATGACGCTGTCCTTGATCAATGCGTTCGCTGACCCAATCGTGCCGTAATGAACTTGTGGTTTAGGATTTTCCCGTGGGTTCTGAGGAACGAGTTGCGCCTTGTCACATGTGTCACAAGTCTGGCCACCTTGATGGTTGTAGGTCTCGTTGAAGAGCAGGTCTAGACTAGGATCAGGCCGTTGCCACTTCTGTCATATTGGGATATTTGAACAGGATTTTAGAGAGGTGCTCGTTGATCTCATTACCAACCAACATTTGTCGAGCTCTTAACCTTTCGACATGGGCGCTGAGTATGGGAGGCGGCTTGCGCAGGTGCCCTGTTCTCTCAAAAGCGCCAGAACTCACGTATTTGCCCATGTCGTACTGTATGACACCGCCAAATGAGCGTTCTGGTTTGCTCACGACCACATCGCCAAGTCTGACATCAGCGTCTCCAGGGATACCACCGCCAATCCCCACAAGAAGTGCGAATTCAAGCCTCGGAAAGTCGTTTTTCATTTGTGTGCCCACAATCGCGGCATGGTTGTTACCGATTTCGGGCATGACGGTGATCACGACGTTGTGCTGACCAACGGAGCCCAGTGAATATGCATTCTGCCCTCGATTGATGGTAGGTAAATCATGATGAGATTGATCTAGCATGGCCTCCACTGAGACCAGTTCGATGGACATTGGGCAAACAATACCGATGGTGTACTGTGCGTGGGATAGTCGCGGCTTCGCGCTCGGAAGGCGAGGGGATGTCACTGTGATGTGAGGTGACCGTTCAGCCACGTAGTTTATGCTCGTGCCGGTATGTACGGCGACATCGCTTTCTCTGTTAGCGACGGGAGGTGTGGTAGGAACGGGGTCCAGAGGACTCGGGCATTGCGGATCCACCATCACTTGAGTGATCTCTCTCTCGATAGTCATCTTGTTTGTGTCGCGGTGCGGTGCGCATCGCGAAGGGTCTGCCCCAAAAGCGATCAAGATGTCATAGATGTCAGACCGGGACGTTTCGCTTGCTACCTCGAGGGGGCAGCCGAGCTTTCCGCCGGACGCATTAGGGTCGGCACCACGGTCGAGCAACAAGTGTACAATGGCGGCGTGTTTTGCGCTGCACGCAGTTTGAAGAGCAGTAGAACCTCCAGCCCCTCGCTCGTGAACACTGGCGCCATTGTCAAGCAGCAGTGTTGCAATTTCCAGGCTCCCGATGAAAACAGCGGTATGTAACGCATTCCCATACTGGCCACCTCGAGTACTCACGTTCGCGCCGTGTTTAATCAGAATTTCTGCGACCTTGCATCTTCCTCGCGAGGTCGCTGCAATGAGCGATGTTCCATGAGAAGGACTTGACTCGTCCACTTTAGCTCCGCCTCCAAGGAGAAGCTTCACCACTTTGGAATGGCCTTCGGCCGAGGATAGCTGAAGAGCAGTCACTCCTCGGGGCCCTTTTGCATTTGGTGAGGCGTGATGATCCAGTAAGATCGAAACAATCTTGCCGTGTCCAAGAGCTGCAGAGGCATGTAGTGCATTGCCGTCAGCGCCAGGCTGGGCTTTTGGGTCAGCGCCATTTGCCAGGCATTTTTTCACTCCTCTGGCATCAGCTAACCTACAAGCTTGTATGAGGACGGAATTGAGAGCTTGCTGATGGGCGACGTTTCCTTTGTACTCCTGTCTGATGTCAACCTTGACACCTTGGAACCGGCGATAGAGCGAAGCAACAAGGCTGAATTTGTCCAAAATAGTCCCAGTGGAGCGAGACCGTCTGTGAAAAGGTTCAGGAACCAACAATTTGTCAGAAATGGGTTGTGTGACAGCTGTGGTACGTTCGCGACGGATTTGGCGAACTAGATCATAGATGACATTGTCGACATTGATTCTCGATTTGGCAGAAGCTTCATGGAATGTACAGCCAAGTTCCTCTGCCAGCTGGCGTCCTTCATTCATAGAAACTTGTCTTTCCGAGTGCGCTAAATCACATTTGTGGCCCACCATGACGATAGGAAACCGGTCGCGATCCTTGACTCGAAGAATCTGAGAGTGGAAAACCCGTACTCCGTTCGTGAGAGCGCCAGTCTCTTCGTTCAAATAGCCTTCTAACGACGGCCTCGATGTGATACTGTACATCAATATGAGGCCTTCACATTCTCGCATCCATTGCTCCCGCATTGAAGCATATTCTTCTTGTCCCGCTGTATCCAGGATCTCGAGCTGAGCCGGTCGCTCATCGATGATCACCACCCTGCGATAGGAATCTTCGATTGTAGGGTCGTATTCATCCACGTAGTGGTCCAGTACCGCCTACAATCACTGATTAGCGGTCGAGTCTACTCGCAATGCGATAGTCGGAAACTCTTGAATACCTGGATGACAAAACAGGATTTTCCTACACCACCGCCTCCCGCAACTACTATTCTGTAGATTCCATTGTCGTGCCCTCGCACCGGCGCATCTTGACGTGATTTGCTGGTCTTTCTCATGGCTCATGTCTTCTTTCTTCCTCTCGCAATCGGCTCTATGGTCGACAACGAGAGGTTGGGCGAGGCAAGGACTCTCTCACATGGTGGAAGTGCACTTTGGACCTACATGATCTCAACACTGGGCGCAGCAGGTTCTCCGGAAGCACAAGGGACTGCGTCCGGACATGAAACGCTGTCGCGCTCACAACGCCACGGCTGAAAAGTGCCCCTATTAGTGGAGCTAGGCGAGAAAGGGACGCTTATCACCCTGCCTATGTGAAGAACTGTGTCAAACACTGTGATAGTAGAAAGTTACGGTTCTTACATCAAATGACACCCATCAGGAGGCAGCTCCCGTGTAAATGACACGTCTTTACTCCAACACATATTACGACTTGCCCTTCCTTGACGGCAAAGGCAACGTAAAAGCGGCGAGCAACCTTCATAAAGCTTGGCAGAAATAATTTCTGGAGCGGGCTGAAATTTGGTGCAAGCCAAAGTCACCACCAGACAAACTCTTACTCGAAAATACTTTCACGGGTCTCCTCGACCATGCCCAACTAATTCGCCATTCCCATTGCTTCTCCGAGAGCGCTGTCTGATATGGAGAGCTTGGTGGAGAATGACGATGGCCAACTCACCATCAAGAACCTGCAGCCACCCACCAAACGAACCCCAACCAGCACTTTGTCGAAAGAGCAGAAGGAAGAGCAGAAGCATGTTGCCGAGGCCCGTAAAAAATACGGACGTGGTCTTCCTGTGCGTGTCAACGAGGTCAAAGACAAGAAGCTGCGTGCAAATTTGAAACGCATCGAGAACAAATATCGGACTGCAGTCTTGCATGCGAAAGATGCCGAAATTCTGTACGAGAACGAGGAAGGCTTCTTACAACCGGAGAGCGAACTTGAGAAGACGTACAAAGTCAGGCAGAATGATATTTTGGAGGCTGTTGGATCGCAGCAAGCAAATAAATCCATCAACTTCAGACTAGATCTAGGTCCCTACGTGTCCGACTACACCAGGAATGGCCGAAGCCTCTTGCTTGCCGGAAGAAAGGGCCATGTTGCTACATGTGAGTGGCGCGATGGGAAACCTGGCTGCGAGCTCCACCTCAATGAGACGATAAGAGACGCGAAATGGCTACACAATGACCAGTACTTTGCAGTGGCGCAAAAGAAGCATACCTATATCTACGACCAGGCAGGAGTCGAGATCCACTGCCTCAGGAAATATGTTGAGACAACGCACCTGGAGTTTCTGCCCTACCACTTCCTGCTCGCGGGCATTGAGACCAGTGGATTCTTGCGGTATACGGATACCTCGACAGGACAGATCGTGTCGGAATACTCCACCAGAAAAGGCGCGCCAACCTCTCTCGCCCAGAACCCGTATAATGCAATTCTACATGTCGGTCATCAAAATGGTACGGTCTCCCTCTGGTCGCCGAATTCGACCACGCCGCTGGTCAAGATCCAGTCGAACGCTGGCCCAGTCCGATCGGTGGCAATTGATCGTTCTGGAAACTATATGCTTTGCGGTGGACAAGACCTCCGACTAAAGCTTTGGGACATCCGAGCAATGAAAGAGATACATTCTTACACCACGCGGCAGCCTACATCTTCGATCGACATCTCCGACCGAGGTCTTGCTGCCATTGGAAGTGGAACCGGTGTCACACTTTGGAAAGATCTCTTGACAACTTCCACTGGGCCCGACCCTGCGAAGGTCCAGTCCCCGTACTTACACTGGGGCGATGCTGGCTGCCGTGTGGAGCGGGTTCAATTCTGTCCTTTCGACGATATACTGGGCATCTCCCATGTCCAAGGGTTCAGTAGCATCATCATTCCCGGCGCCGGGGAACCCAATTACGATGCTCTCGAAATCAACCCATACGAGACGAAGAAACAACGACAGGAAGCTGAAGTGAAGTCACTCCTTACCAAGCTGCAACCGGAGACCATTGCTCTGGACCCGAACTTCATTGGAACGCTGGACATCCGCAGTGCAGAACAGCGGGCGAGGGAGAAGGACCTGGACGCTCCTGCTGTTGACCCCCTGGCCAAATTGAGGGAGAAGGAGCGGAATCGAGCCCGAGGCAAGAATAGTGCGTTAAGACGGCACTTGAGGAAGAAAGGTGGGAAGAATATCATTGACGAGAAGAGTATGCACCTGGAGGAGATGAAAAAGGAGCGTTCGGAAAGGGAAAGACAGAAGCTGAAGAGGGACAAGGTCGAGTTTGGGCCTGCACTGGAGAGATTTGCCAGGAGAGCAGTGTAGGAAGGATAGATGCTCTTGGTAGTGACGATAGCGTTGTGAAGCATTCTCATGCCATTCTATTACAGAACCCGATATCCATTCTCGAGTAGATTCTTCCTTCTATTTGAGATTTTGTCACCTTGGTATAGTCATTCTTCTAAAGCTGTCGGTGAAGCCGCCAAACCCTGGTCAATCGTGCGGGACATGTGTATACCGATTGACGACCGGCTGCTCACCACTTCCCTTTGCACCGCCTTTCGACCACCTCCTCCTGGACTCGATGTAGCCATCGGTACTCTTCCAGGCGGAGATGATCATGTCCACGGTCTGTTGGACACCGACACCGTGCTTGATGACTGCTCTAACCACGGGCCCTCCTTCACGAATTTTGTTTGCCTCCCTCTCCATCAAGTCAACATCGGCGCCCACCGCATCCGCCAAATCGCATTTATTGATGACTAGTAGATCACTCCCGGTGATGCCTGGACCACCTTTTCTGGGCACTTTGTCACCGCCGGCGACATCAATGACATAGATGATGAAGTCCGCCAGCTCCCGACTATAATTAGCAGCCAGGTTGTCTCCTCCGCTTTCAATCAGCAGCAAATCCGTCTGGAATTTCGCATGTAACCCCTGCAGAGCAAGCAGATTCGCGCTGATATCCTCCCGCACAGCGGCATGCGGACATCCACCAGTCTCGATGGCTACGATCCGCTCTGGGGCCAGGGCGCCGTGTTTGGTGAGAAACTCGGCGTCTTCTCGCGTGAAGATGTCATTCGTCACGGCCGCGATGTTGTACTCCTTCCGAAGTGCGAGGCACAGCTCCAGCATCAGCGCCGTCTTCCCTGAGCCGACGGGCCCGCCGATCCCGATGGTGAACGCGCGGTCGGCGAAGTCTCGCCCCTGCACGATAGGCATCTCGCGGTGCAGGTAGGAGCCGGGCCCGTCGAGGACCTCATGCGTGTGGCCATGTCCGTTGGTGGGATCGTGGGAATGCGAGTGCGCGGCTCCATCGTCGTGGGAGTGTGTCGCCATGCTGAGACTTGTGAGGAGGATAAGGACACAAGGATACCCTTTTAGGGGGTTACGGGAGCAGTATGGCTTTATCTCTCTTTCTCAGTCCTTCTCACGCTGCTCTGCTCAACTCGAGGACTCGGAGCAGCGGGCGGACGAATGGGGCGTGGGTGTGTTAGCTGGACAAGATTCCTGTTGGAGGAAGGGTGATCAGTGACTATCGCTGGAGCAGGTACTAAGCATGAAGCCTTGAATTTTGGACCTCTAATGCTAGCTTGGAGTCGTGAGAGTTCTGATTGTGGTGGCACAAAATTGCCCAAATTGAACGGTCGCAGTGTCTTTAGGACGAATGTTATATAGAATGAGGGGCAGGACCAAACAAATAATTCAAAGCCTCACTCCCCTGCATAAATACCCCGCATCGTGCTTAACGTTACAGGGAGTACGGAGTACTATTTTAGATAGGCGCCCTCGACCCTCTTAGCCACTAACTTTCGGTAGTTACTTAGGTGCCTTCGGTGCCTAAGGCGCCTGAGCACCAAGGGTCTCGGGTAACCAGAATCCATGGGCAGTGCTGTTCTCCAGCCCGGAGGCGCCCACCTTTTGCATATGGATACAGATGGTGACGCAAAGGTGGTTTAGCCATCGTGTATGTTGCCTCCATCTACACCGAGCGCCGAATTTTTCAATCACAACATATTGAAGACCAACCATGTCGATCATTCATATTGTTCTTTTCAAGCTAAAGTCTTCGCTGAGCGATGAGGAGAAGAAAGCTGTATAGCGCCGCCACCACTCTCCTAGGAGTGGGCGCCACTGCTGACCTGTGGGAAACAGTTCTGCGATGACATGCTCGCGTTAAAGGGCACATGTATCCACCCGACATCCCAGGAACCCTATATTATTGCTGCGTCTGGAGGAGTCGATAATAGCCCAGAAGGCGCTCAGGTATGAAGAAACAAATATCGAACTCATCGATCCATCATGGCTTCGTGTTGACTGGCAAAAATGTACTAAAGGGCGGCTTCACGCATGGTTTCGTGGTCGAGTTTGCATCGCCGCAAGATCGTGACTACTACGTCTCGAGCGACCCGGTGCACCAGGCCTTTGTCAAAAGGAATAGTCCGCAATTTGACGATGTTAGAGTCGTTGATTACCAGAAAGGCGTTTACTAGGACGTCCTAACTCAAGTCCAGATGCTAGTTGCTGTGCCATGGATCTTGAACATATATATCTCTTTGGTGTATTAATGCATGTTCTACACAATTGTTGGCCATCGTCCGCGCTGAGCGCCGCACTGCGGACTGCCAAACCACTGTATCCTGTCCGTGCTCTACGAGACGCTGAAAGACTCGCCGCATCCGCACTGTTCGGTAATATTCGGGTTCTTGAAAACAAATCTAGCACTCAATTTGTCTTCCATCCAATCCATTTCACTCCCGATGATGCTGAACAGTGCTTTGCTGTCTATCAACACCTTCACGCCTTCTTGCTCCACCACTTCATCGAAAGCACCGGGCTTCTCAACGAATTCCAAATGATAGGCGAGTCCTGAACAACCTCTGTTTTTCACTCCTACCCGGATCATTTTCGGATTGGGCTGATCCAAAAGCTCGCGGAGATGGACCAGAGCGTCCGGGCTGATAGACATTGTTGCCTTGCGAGGTCTTAGCTTGCTCCTCCGTGGTTTAGTCGGCTTTGCTTCTGCCTCCTTCGCCGTCGACGCCGCTGGACTGGCCGCTTCAACCGGCTTGGACTTCTGCGCCTCGAACTCAGGCACACCGATGCTAGCTGTTTCTTGTGAATCGCGTGGCTTCTGGCTCGATTGCGCAGGCCTAGCATTACTGGACAGCGAAGGAGGGCCGGCGATGGAGGTGTCGGGAATGTTGGTGTTGCGAGGTGGAAGCGCGAAATCAGCCGGTAAGCTGTGAGGTTGGTAGGAGGGTGTAGTATATAGCTCTCTTTTGGAGGACTGTAAGCTCCCTCTGCTCGACGAAAAGGTTCTGAAGACGTGAGGATGAGGACATGACAGCGTAGTTGAGGCGATTGCCAGCGCTCTGAAGAAGGTGGCGGATGACGTCGTTACGGGGAGGAGGTACGTGGGCGACATTATGCTGGTGAGTTGTGATGTTATATCATGAGACTGGTATGTGAGAATGACCAACGGTGTATAGTATTCGTGGTGTGCAGGAGGTAGTGGCTTTGGTCGTAGATCCGTGACGCAGGATTGTGGTTGACAATGTGTAGAAGGGTTTGCCGACGGTTTGAATTGGAATCTAGGTTGAGGTCAATTCTTTGTCAGCCAAACACGGCACCGGCATTCCTGCCAAAAGTGATTCCTCCAATTGGAACGAGGGTAATTTCAATCTACCGCTCGGGACTAGGCGCTGAGGTTATCCGTCATTTTCGTAAATAACTATTACGGAAGAAGAGATAACGACCGTAATACTTAATACTTTACGGGCTTAGTATATATTACCACTAAGTATATCAAGATAACCGCAAGATATAGGCGCTAGGATAGCAAGGGATAATAGGAAAGCTTATATCGGTGTTTTAGCCCGCAGCCCAGCGCAACTCAATTTGCTATGGGAGCCTAGGGAGCCCAGGGCTACCGTATAGTAAGGACAGTTTTCCCTACGCTTATACATTATAACTAAGCTCTTACAGCAACTATTTTCTACCCTATAAGTATACTATAATCGATATTTTTCCTATACTCCTATATATAATCGATATTTTCCCTATACTCCTATAGTCTATATAGTAAACCCTCTATCGCCCTTCTATTCTATCGTTTTAAGTTTAATAGCTAGTATACCTATACGTACTATATCTCTCTAAGTTTTATTATCTCTAGCTATACCTAGATACGCCGTACTCTCTCTAGGTTTTATTATCTCTAGCCGTACCTAGATACGCCGTACTCTTTAGGTTTTATTATCTCTAGTCGTATCTAATACTAGCTTCTATTATAGTAAAGACGGAAATTAAAGAGAGGAAGAATCTTACTTACTATATTAGCTTTTATAAATACCTAACTAGTATTATCTATCTATTAGGGCTATCTATCGTTAGCTATATCTTCGCTAATAGAAGAGCTTCGAATATAATAGCGCTTCGATATAATAATAACTATACTTTTACTATTCTACTTATTCTTAGTCGTTTTACTAGGCGAATAGTTACCTTATCGTCTCTACTATTTACTTATATATAGCTTTATCTCTATCCTTCGCTTTTATACGCTCTTCTTTCTTATAGCGCTAAAATTTCGTATTAAATAAATACTTTCCTTTATAGTAACGATAGTATTCTTCTAATTCGAACGTAGGTAGACTAGTTTCTAGACGAAACTATTCCTACTATAGCTTAAAATTTTCTAAATTCTAAATTAGGCTATCGTCTCTAGACGAATAATATAGATAACTAGTTAGTTTCGTAAAGAGCTCTCTAGCCTTATATTTAATTAAGAAGTCGTTATATAGCTCTATCTATATATTATATATCTTCTTAAATAATATCTTCTAAACCTAAGCTCTTCTATAATTATTAACCGAGTATATAGGTAGTAGTATCGGACCTATAGCGACGGCGGTAAGTAAAAGCTTTTCTTTTAATTCTACTATAAGTATCTTAGCTATAATATTAATTTTCGTATATCTTATATTTCTTATAACTAGGCTACGTAACGAGTTAGGTTAGACAACCCGTAGACCTTTTATAACCCGAGTAAAAAGCCCTATAGGATTTTTAGTCCTTATAAAAACTCGATTAACTAAAAACCTAATAGAATTTATACTCCTATTAGGTTTAGTCTTAGTAGCCTAAATTACTAAAAATATCTATATATTACCCTAGCTATATTAAAATACTATACTATATAGTATTTTATAATTTATAAACTAATCTTTTTACTTAAGGCTAAGATAATAATCTAGACTCTACTAGAGTCCTTAATCTTTACCCTAGAGTCCTATATAGTTCTAAAAT